AGCCGCTGCGCCGGGCTCGGTCCACGGTTAGACGTTGTTAAATTATTACGTTTATTTACCGAACCGTGCATAAATTACCGGGCCGGGAAAGAAGAAAAATGGCGGCGCACCCGCTGCCCCCGTTAAAGTTGCAAAACCGCAAAACGCGGGTTAAATTCACGTATTACGGGCAATAAGTATACCGTACGCGTTTTCTCCCGTTACCGAGACAAGTAGATTGCGCTCTTTCTCGGTCTCCCGAACGGAAAACTTTTAATCCGAAGAACAGCTACCTCCCGATTCGACGTTTCCCCGGGTCTTGCGAACAGGCAATATTTTCCGGCCAAAATTTAGTTTCCCGGCAATAATCGTCGCGTATCCATTACCATCGTCCACAACGGTCTCCGAAATCGCTTCGGCAGCGGCGATGGCCTGCCATAATCCAATGCAACGATTACCACGGATACGTGAGTTTCAATCTATCGCGTATCAAATTCCCGCGATCCGCTATCCGGAGTACAAAGAGCTCCCGATCGCGATTTTTTTCGCGATATTTTGGTCACCAGGGTCAAAGGATATTTAGACATTAATGCATCGAATAGATGCACGCGCGGAGAGCTAGGTCAAATTAAATCGATAACGCCGCGGCCTATCGCGTAGATATCTCTTTTTGCAATATTTTGGCCAAAGGGTGTGGACGTTTTCGTATCGAAGCAATTAATCGCGCCATGCCGAAGAGTCGAATCGCATCAAATTGATAATGCAACCTATCGCGGGGCCATTGACGCGTAGATATCGGAGAAATGATCATTCGCGGGCGAAACTTTATCGGGTCTCCCGATACGAGTGAGCACCCTAAGGAAGTCGTACACGGGTCTTGCAGGTAATGCTATTTAACGACCGATTGACAACAGGGATTACCGGAGCTTTATGCCGCTCCGAGGCAGGCCAATGATTTTTCAAATCGGACGTATCGAGCGTGAAAACGCTTTCATCGGACGGATTCGGTATTCGACGGGCGTATCGGCTACAAGGTGCTATCCAAATTAGTTTTCGCTTGTTCGAGTAGTATCAAACCCGAATGCAAATGTCTTGCGCGAAATTCGCAATAGGTACGAGCTTTGGTTGCACTCAACGTATGCCCAGCGAGTTCGCGGTCCACGAATTCAACTAAGCTGAGAAATTAATAATAATTGTTTAGGGTCTTTGATCGTGACGTTATGTAAATGCTCGTCTGCGATTAGACTTAAGGACCATTATGCACGACACGTGTCGATTCTCAAAGGTGCTTTCACAAACACTCGAGATAATCGATAATGAAATTGTTGATTTATACTCGAAGGGGTTGTTCAGTCGGCGATAAGATGGCTGAAATTCAAGAGAAAGTTATCGTTCGCTTGTCGCGTTATGAATATGGTCGTGAGAACGTTTTTTCTGGATTTCTGTATCAGCTGATTTACAGGCTGCACCGCGGAACGATTGATTCTATCGCATATTCTTCCACATATTAAAGACGCGAGCATTTAAAACCGCTGTCGGGTCCCACCCGTACGATTGTTTTATAAAAACGTGACAATTGCGCCTCCGCGAAATATATTCACACACTTGGCAGTCCGATAACTATTGCATGTGCGTGCAATTTTGAATGGAAATTCATTCCGCGAAAGCGGTTTCAAATTACTCAATTTACGGCAGAACGAAGCTCCAATTCGCACATGGGTTTGCGTAATGTTATTCCATTCGAAAGTAGATAAATCGAGTGATTAAGCGCATCCATGGGATTGTAGAAATGCGTTCCCGCGCGTTCATCGAGCCCTTGTTATGGGATGGTATGAAAATTTGAGAATGTTACATTTTCTTTTTACACGTTCGACTTATTTCATTCCGTCATCCGATGACGAGGTTCGTTCGTTCTACGTTAGATGGCGGCACGCTTAACTTCTGCTTCAGCTGCTCTCCTCGTTGCACCGCGAGAGTGACAGAGACCAAGGATACGAAACCCACGTGCTTTCCTAATAACTCCCCCTCCCCAAGTGCAGCCAAAGCTCGCAACACTGACTTACGATCCTCTAATTTTAAAAGCGTCCCGCCATATTGAAACTACGTACAAATCGTTAAACTGTTTACTAGGAGGAGAGGGCACCTTGAGTCGAAGATCGCAATTTTCGGTTTTGCAAGCAGCGACTAATGAAAGCCAAACGAACCTCGGTATCGTTCATTCTTTCCGCGGCTTCACTTAGCACAATATAGTAAACGATGATTCAGGCTCTTTTGCACACCGTAAAATTTCATTTTGCTGCAGATCGCGCCGTTACGGAACCGCAGGTATACCCGTTATTTTCATTTCGACGAGAAAAAAGCGACGCTTCGAAATGAAAGCTCCTTCGATTTCACGTTTATATTGACTCGTGCGACCTCTCGCCAAGAATGCTTGTTTCTTATTCATCGAATGATATACTTCCTGCTGCTCGATTCACCGACTGCGCAAGGGGTTCAACGGTCATAAAGCGAGTTGTGAGAAACCTCAAGACCTCGGTCGGAATGAAAACAATATTGCAAGGAATATCGCGGAATGGAACAAAAAAGGGAGGGAGAGAGAGAGATGAAAGGTGGTTGGAAGACTTCCGTATCCGTTCATTTGTGGAGCTCCGCGACCGAAGCGGAAAACGAAGAATAATAAATAAATATCAACGTCAAAAATAGAGACGATAGCTATTTCGTTGCTCGCTGTTAATTTACATAAATGACGGTTTAAGCAGAAATTTCGATGCGAGGAAAAATTAAATACCAAAGGGAGCGCGATTTTTTCTACGGTCACGTTTTACTTCGGACTTAATGATGATAAACAGCTGAATAAAGTGTGAAACCCCGCACGATTGTGATAGCGACTGCTGGGTTATACGAGATAAATTGCAGTTCTTTCTACACTTTTGACATTCACGGTGACGAGAGCGGAAGGCACGAGTTATAAGTGTAAAAGCAGGTATACAAATCTCCGGCGCCTTTCATGCCATTGCCATTGTAAACGTTTACAATCGCCGCCTTGTAACCGCGATCGTTCACCGGGGTATTCTCTATTTCAATTCGTCTGTGCACTTGCAACTTCTAAAGAAGTAATTATATCGTCGCGGAATTATCACCCCTGTATTTACGCACGATTACCAATACCTACGGTAGAAATAGGCGTCGATAATATTTCAATTCTCCATCTACAAAATCTCATTTCCTGACTAATGCGAGATGAATCCGCGATAGCGAACAAAAGCTCCGATAAAGACCGTAATTTCATTAGCCAGTTCATTCACTTTCTGTATCCTTTAACGTTTTAATTGGACGACAAATTAAAGGCACCGGCGCAAATATTGTAATTGGCCAACCAATCCAAATGCCGTAGAATACCGGGTGAAAATTGAAATTCTGCAGATATCGTCCTTGCCTGTCTGCATTGTCGGGCAATGCGTTGCTACGAACAGTCGAACGTTGCACCGCTAGAGATTTTCACTAACAAGGGAACATAATTTCCACATCTGTCCGAATGTAATCCCGAAAATCTTTTTAGGATAACGGCTAACTGTAAGTAGGGTACACCCTGGATGGTCGTTCAAACTAATGTGCACCCAGATTTCAAAATGACACGAGAGAACAATATTTTACTTTCATATTGAGCGGTAAGATAAATATACGCGAATTGCGCGTATTTCAATATACGCGCCTACGTGATTAGGATGGGCACGAATATTAATTTCGAGTAAATAGGAGAGCTTCGCGACAGGCTAATACGTGTACAACAGCGGCAAAATGCAATACGTGGGAATCCATGTGTCTAAATTCAGTATGCACGTGCACTTGACGAACATAATACAGGAAATTCAACATACGTTAATTTATGCATCAGAAATTAATTACGATATTCCTTGCAGTAAATAAACTCATAAAAATGCATATAAGCTCTCCCTAACGACGATAGCTCTGTTATAAAATGCTTCATCGATTCACGAGTCGAGTTAAACGGGATATGGCCCAAATACGGAAATTAAAAATATGCGGATGAAATTTTAAATAAAAAATTAATAAATTCTGGATGAAAAATGTTTAAAAAAACGCGAGATCCCTACAATTTCCCTCGCAGGATATGGATTTAATAGGTCGCGGTCGTAGAGAATAATTCTCTTAACAATACCTCCGACTGAAATATAACACGGTTATACCACACTTTATTGGAACACGTCAGTACTTCAGGTGCAGCAATCGATACTAATAATTTTCTGCAGCAACTTACAACCGTGGATGTCAGCCATATCATGTATACACATTAACGATTATTCCCCCGTCATGTTCGGGGTCGAGCCCAAAACAATGGCCCCGGTACTTCTGTCACCCTTGCAAAGTAAAATTCCCCGAAAAATATTATATTTACGCAAATAAAAATAATTTCAAGTCCCTATGACTTAAAAATTGCTACATATTTATCGATGGCAGAAACTAAAGCTAAACCCTTTTCAAGCGTAACGATCGTGTACTAGAAAACAGAAAACCCGACAAACCGGACGAAACGACAAAAAATCCCCAATACCCGTCCAGATCTGTTTTCCGTGTTTGACCGTTTTGCTCTCGATCCTGGAGAAACGTCATTCGAAAATATTGCCGTTTGTCGCAACAAGGGCCCCTAATCCTGCCCGGGTCAAAATCACGGATTTTACGAACCCGACAAAAAATAGCGAAACACGCCGCGTGGACGTCCGAGAGTGTATTGTTTGACGTGAAAAATGCGATCCTTGCAATTGATTTTCCTTCGTACGAGCTTTGATTCGATATGGTGGCCACGGCCGGCCGTTTTTTCGGGCCTTGCTCGATAGCCGAAAATGCCAAAGCGGAGCCGCGAGGGGTTTCTTGCGGACAGACCCTCCCTCTTATTCGCGTTTTTCTTTTTATTAACGACCGTTATCGACGCATTACACGGCCGTCGATATTTCGGAAGTGGAGACGACACATCGGCATCGAGTACTTAGGCTATTACTTACATTTGCATTCTTCCGGGCTCTCGTCGGATTTGTCACCGCAGTCATCCTCGCCGTCGCATACCCAGGAGACTGGGATGCACCTGCCGTTGCCGCAATGGTACTGCCTTAAGTGACATTCAGGTGTGCCTGGAAAAGAGAAGGCCCGTAAATGTATATCCAGCGTGCCCATTAATTGAGCATCAACGCCGGGTAAGGGAGGAAGTTCCCGTGCAAAATTAAACTTGAATTACGGCTTCCACGCCCTGAATTCTGCACTATTTAAAATGTAATACTTCTGGGCGGGCGTTGAAGCTGCGCCAGGAAACTGCAATACGTTCCGGGAGTGGTTTGTATAAATACGTGAATCCGGTGCAACTTAATCCCTTAAAGTACGCGGAGAAAGCTCGATTTTACATTTACAGGAGGAGCGGACGCGGTATCATCGACTTGAATTTATTCAATGAATATTTTGACATTAATGGCAGGCTCGTATGTTCGGCGCTTATTATAGATACAAAATAATTCAGCGCACTGTAAATTTAATGCGTTATTTCAATAAAGTATATCTATCACCCCTTTTTCTCACATTATCAAGAAGTCCTCGTTTGAATGAAATTATGCACCAATCCGCAAAGCATCGAACCGAGGAAAGTATGAACTTTTATCCAAGCACCCGCCGGCAGAAAATATACACTTTTAACTCGGAGTAAAAGCAGAGGCGAATTATTCGGATAATATTCGGTTACTCCAAATAGACGGGTTTTACATTATATAAAAAGCGACTCGCGGAGTCGAAAGAACGGAAGCTTTCACGTTGTGACTTTAAATCTCTTTACGCGGCTGAAGCTCGAATCGTATTTCACGGTGAAATTGTTTCTAGGCGAAAATGATTTCAGAGTAACGAGATTTTCTTCCAGTTGTATTTAGAAACGGATAACCGAAACTCGCGGACGTTCCGCTGCTTTATTGAAACGTATCGTCGCTAATTATATATGCTATTGAGCTCCGCTCGATATCGGTATGAATGGATTCATAATTGGCCGACTTCTCGATGAAACGTAATCGATAATGAGTACGTAGTGGTAATACTACAAATATCTCGGTACACGCGAGAATAATTCAGCATGCATAAACGACCGTTTATACTCCTGATTGGAGACGAAGGCATTAAAAGACTACAGTGACAATGCATCAACGTAAGTCGTATCGAGCACGAACGGTAAGCTCGAGTATCGTATATTTTTCACGATGCTGCCGTCGAATGAGATGACAAAATATAGATAGAATGCAGACTAGAGGAATACCATAAATTGAGACGGAGATGGAGGTTAATTTTTAACTCGAGGATCTTGCTTAAACCTTCGTCCGTATTCCTGAATTGCAAGACATTCCTGACTTCTGAAAATCTTCCGCGGAATTTGCATTCATTATATCGGGACAAATTAATCGTAATATGCCGAGGAATTCGAACCTCCGGTTGGCACGAAACTCGAATCGGAACTTGTAAATTACCTCGCATTTTCATGAAAATTAACTTAGCCGTAACGCGTTCACGCGAAAGGCGATACTCCTCGATTTGCAAAAAAGAATATTTTGCAGCGTCCCATTGAGCGAACGGGGCGGAATTAAATATTACCGGCGCCGCAATTGTCGTAAGTGCGACAGCAATCGGTGTGCAATTTAAGCACGCCAATTCCGCGGAGTTACGGTTAGTCTTCCAGAAGTATCTTGAGTACAGTCGAATTAAGGTAACGAGTACCACACCAAACGATTGCGGTAAAACACTACGACTGTACCGCTCGCCACGGTAATGGCATAAAACGTGCTCGTAATTTTTACACCTGCATTTGCACTTCGGTAATTCTCCCCTAACACGTTATAGTACGCGTAGCCGTAGAAGGAGTAGAAAAACCTACGTATTATTTTCTACGATCGACCTATCAATAAGAATCTACTTTATGCAAGAAACTTGGTAGTTTTTCATTAATTAATACTGGTAAGTAAATAAATAACAAACTACTCTCGTTACTAAATGAAAAAGATTTTTTTTCCCATTCAAGGTATGCAACGTGCATTCTCCTGCGAGATATAAATTATACCTCCCCGGCCCTCCCCTCTTCTCCAAAAGTATAAAACTAATTAAGGAGCAATTACGCGCATTCTTAAGGTAATTTTTTTAATGCCCGAAACATGGACCGGTTGGTCGGATTGCAAATTGTTTACCGCTCTCGTATAACTTAGGCGAGCAAAAGCTACACGATGGTTACACGGAACACCGAAAACTGTACGATGGCGAACCCGAACAACGAAAACTACGACCGGGTTAACTTGTAATACAACAAATCGGACGGTTGACCGGGGCTTCGCAAACTTTGAATCGTTTCACGCCGGTTGCTGAAAACTATCGTTCGCATGCCCTCGATTCTATAAACTCCACGGTGCGGTCAACCTAGGACTTCAAAAAGTATGGAATCGAGGACCTATGATCGATCGTCTCTTGGTTCCAAATGCTATCCTCCAAAGAAATTAAAAATTGGGCAAAGTATTCTTTTTTAATGATTACATTAAGCCATAAAGGAGTTCGCTTCGAGCTCGCGTCTACCGTAATGACCACTTTCATTTTCAGTTTCTTAATTCGCATATCTTCGATCGAATAACGGGTCTGACGCATTTCTAGAACCGGTACGGTCACAACCTACTCGGTGAAACTTGGTGCAGTATCCGAGTTATTTCTGATATGTACCGTCGAGATTCAAAACCAATTGTAATGGCAAACATCTCCGAAACAATTGGGAACTCGAGCCCCCGTCTGCGGACAGACGATAGACGCGAGGTAACGATAAGATCGATTTACATTTCCACACCTGGCAGATCCAAGCCGTCTCCGGAATGGATCTGAAAATCGATTTGAAAATCTTCGCGAACGATTTAACGTGGGCAAGCAGAGTCGGATAGCGATACCGCGAATGTAAGTAAATACGTGGGTCGATGAGAAAGCCTTGACATATCATTTTGCTTTTCGATCACGGTCGGTACACCTCTGCACTCGAAGAAACCGGTAGGTGAAAATTTCGTTCCGCTTTTGCCGAGAGCTATCCGCATACCCCGGATACCACGTTGCAATTGGCCTCTCGTGGGTAAAGGGGGAAAAAAAAAAGAAAAGAAAGGGAGATTAATTTTTTTTCGGGTCCTAAAACGTCGAAAATTTGTAAGAGACTTTGACCCCGATACGTTGTCACGGTGGAATCGTTAAACGTCAAAGTGAGACCCTGACCAAAGGTTTTTTAGCCTCTGAATTACCCGAGGCCGTGAAGTCTTGATGTATCGTTTAGAGGTCTCTTCGCGAGGGACATCTTTTCCTTTGCTTAATTATCGAGGAATAACGAGGAGGTAGTCCTCTGACTTTTGCTCATCCGAGTTTGCGAGACATTTAAGGCGGATGAATGCGTTGATAAGTGATTTTGCGACCTCGCTTCGTGAATTTTTTGCCATCTTTCCGCTGGGTTCGTCATCCAATCCAAGCAAGGACTGCCTTGCAGATTGAACGTTCCTAGCCTGAATTCTTTGTACAGCGTAAACATGGTTGTTCGGAACGAGGAAAATTCGCCCAAGATTTGAGATATTTCCTTTAACCACAGTTCAACGATCAAACACTCTGCCATTTTTCAAAGCTTTCCATGCAGCTTCCTCGGACCGTAAAGAACATGGAACTGCAAACACTCCCCCCTCCGTCTCTTTTGAAACGCCCTCCCTAACCATCCTTGCCTTAAAATTTCGCATTCCTTTATGCGGTATAAAGACTTTCGTGGCAACCTACATACCAGCTGAATATACGAGATGCTTCATATTTTCGAAATTTCTCCCAGCCGGCACAATTCTTGCGAAATACTGCATCGAAGACCTTCCCCGGCAAATTTTCAGGATAAAAGCGAAGAAAAACCACGACATCGAACATCGCAGGTTCGATGCTCTTTAAAACGTGAGAATCGATTTCATCGTCGCTTACAACTATAATTCCTATTCAAATCGAGATATCGTCATTTTCGCTTTTTTTTTTTATAGGCCTTTTCCGCGTTTCCGATACTAAACGTCAAATTGTCGTACTCTCGCAATTTATTTGAAATCGATCCGATCGTCCGACCACGCTCTCTTCTTAAATCGCAAACACTTGGGACAAAAGAACGTACCGATTAAAGTCGGAAAAGAAATTCTTGGCTTGCTTTTACGAATTCAAGTCACCGCGTTACATTTCGTAGCTTCAACGCGGATAAAGGCGAGGGAATTTTCCTTTGAAGAAGAGGAGCGGAAGGAATCGATAAAAGATGGAAAGCAACAAAACCTACGATACGATCGGAGGAAGAAGATTAGGACACGGTGCCCCGCGCAAGCTTCAAAGATCCACGCGTCTCGTGAAATAGTAATTTTTTGAGGAACGAAATCGTATTTCTTTTTCAGAGAAGAGCGGGCTGCGTCGATGTCGAAATAAAAAGGACAAGGTTACCAAAGAAAACATTCAACGGCGCGACCAGAAAACAAACATCCCCGTTTAACTTTGTCCACTCGCGTTTGGTTTCACTCGGAAATAAAAGAAATTTTTCACGCTTTTCCTCGACGTCCCGGAAAACTCCCGGGGTCCTTCGCGACGGCTCCGTTGCCCTATCGTTAATTAATGCGTCGTCTCAGGTGCGGACGAACGCGAAAAATTCGGAAAACCGTTTCGCCGGCTTCCGAAGGTTCGAGCTCGCTCGCGAAAAAGCATATCGCGATAAGACGGATCTCATCGACGGCGTTAAAAATGAAAACGAGGGATGCCGTCGAGCAACGCCCGTCGACGAAGCAAACCTATTTCTCGTCCCGGATTTTCCCCTCGTTCGACGCATAACGGGATTAAACCTGACAATCCGGACCCACGGAAATAGGTTTGTTAAATTTGTCCAATTTCCCTGGGGTTTTCAAAGCCACAAAGGATGCCGGCGGACGGGAAAAGGCTCGCCCTCGCCCCCCGTCCCGTCCCGTGGTCCGCGCAAAATAAAGGTACGCGGGCCCATTCGCCCTTCCTGGCCAAGGGGGGTCGAGGCGGGATTACGTAAGACTCACCGTCGGTGGAGAATGCAGCGACGAGGCTGGCGGTGGCGAGGAGGAGAGCGCCGAGGACGGGGGCTGCCAGGCTGGGCCGACGGCTCCCGCGTTCCATGCCACCCTCGGTCCGACTCGCGACTCCCTCTGCCGGCCGCTGCTTGGCCGCTGCTTGGCTGCTTCTGGCCGCTTCGGCGCCGTTCGACGCGCTCGTACCTGCTTCTCCCTGGAGCCCGCGACTGCACCCCCGGCCGGGCGACGTCACTCGGCACGCGCGCGGACGCCGACGTCCTCGAGGGTGGTGGCGGGCACGGTTCAGCGTCACCGGCTTCGAGAGAGCGTCCGAGGAGAGGCCCGCCCCGCGTGGTACGTGCGGCTCCGACGTGCGTCGACGTTTCTCTCTCCCGGGCGAGACAGGAGTCACCGATTCTGACGCACCGACATCGCGCCACCTGCGCGCGCATGTGTCCGCCGCCGTTGGCCCGAACGCGGAGAAGCCGCACTTGGCCGAGAGTCGGCCGAGGCGGCGCTCGGGCGGGAGAGCGCGCGCACCCGCGCCCCGCCCCCCTATATAAGGCGAGCGGCCCCGACACGTGCGCAAATCTGCGCAAATCCACCGGGCCCGCGACCCGAGCGCCGCGCCGACGAACCTAACCTACCGGACGCCGCGTGGCGAGTGGTGGCGAGCGCGAACCCGAGATTCACGGGGCGTTGACTCTTCTCTCGATCGTTGAATATCGTCCGCGACGATTTCACTTTCCGATCGAAACGCGCGGCGTCTTTTGCTCGTTAACGGAAGAGTCTCGCGGGACGCTCGGCTACTCCGAGAGAGAAGTTCGTTTCTTGCCGGTGACGCACTTTGCCGAGGTAAATACGTTATTAATGGACCGGGACCCGGGGACGGGCCACCTTCGGATATTCTCGAGATCGAAAAGTGAAATCTTCCGGAGAAAGGTCCGAGACGCGAGAAGAAACGAATTAAGTTATTTTCGACCACTCCGGTAAATCCATTTAATTTCGATGCCAGGTAGTGGTTCACGGGTATCTCGGAGAAATGATCGATTGGTCTATTATTTATCGACATTTCTCGTCCACTCCGAAATCACCGATCGCCGATTTCTGCTCTTTTTAGCCCTCGGGGGTCGGGTGCGGTCGCGATCGTCCGCATTGTTTTTGCCATTAAATTTACCTCGTGTAATTTGTAGAGCAACGGCTGCCGACCCAGGATGCGCAAGAAATCGCGAACTTAGCTCGTTAATTGTACGTATTTCTACGCGGATTTACCCGTAGAACGTTTCACGCCCTGCGCTGCATAATTAGCCGGTATTGTTTACCCAATGCTCGGCTGCTCGGAATGGCTCATCCGATAATTTCAAAAAGGGACTCCAAACTTAGTTAGAAAGATTGGTAACCGTTGCTCCAGAGAATCAACGGTGAGATTAAACGGAGTTATATTTCACGTTTGCGTGGCGAAGGATTGCGGAGGGTACCATTTCAAGGCATTGTTATTTTTTTAATTTTCTATAATAAAGATCTTTCAATTTTAGAAAAAATGATCCGATGGATCTTCGGAAAGACGCAAACCACAACGATGGGGGCGATACGTGATATTATCAGTACCTTTCGAAGTTTAGTAACTCTCGAAATAGCGGTAACTACTTTACCTGTGCAGTAACTGTGCTATTCGTGCTTTCAGTAGATTATTTTTAACGACATGTCGTAATTTTCACGAGTATGGATATAACGCGAAAGAGGCGTGGTAGTTGAAATGGTACGAGTTTCGTTGTTGCTGAATTTAAAGTACATGGTCGATTGAGCGCTTTAATTTTTGGTCGATTAATGATTATTATTAAAGCGAGCTCCCGCTTCGATTAGACAATCGGCTTATTAAAAAGCACGATACACTTTTGAAATACTTTGCTCGGAAGAATAGGTTGCATCAAATTCCAAGGTGAAAAAGGTAAAAATCTGTTTTTCGAGCGAATTCAACCAATTGTTCTCATTCGTGGGAAGAGCCGACGCCACAGCTACGCAACATAGAGGTAGTTTCCCCGATTCACGATTTATCGGATCCAATACTCAATCGAACCTACCACACGAGTATTTGGAATTACTCGACGTACGAGCGTACCTCCTCTATGATTAATTCTCTGGTCGTCCGCGACATCCCAGAATTCGTTTTAATGAAGTACAGGCCCTATCGGGTTTACCGAATATTCCTTTGATACGGATAGGCTTTTGGTTGATTCAAATCACCCACGACGTTAGTTCGATCCTACGTTTGTCCGACAGGATCATCGAAATGTCTCCCTTAAATACGACATGGGATCCAATCTATCATGGGTGTGTTTGACTTTACTCGATCCATATGTGTCTTTGTTCGTCCTAGTCCCGTGACCACTAGATGGATTAAACGTTCATTTTACTCACTTCTACGTCCTTGGATTGATTCGGCATCGATCCGATACGGTTCGAATCGTCGAATCTATCGAATAAGGTCCGTCCACGTCGAATGGATTTTTATAAATTGCACTAAGTATTTGCTTTTTAACGCATTCTTTTGTTTATTTCCATTTCTTCTTAGTTGGTTCGGTTGCAGTTGTTTCTACTATTCATTTCATGGCTACGCATTTGGCGAAATCGATGATACCTTAAACAAATCATGTGATTGCTCATAAATTTGTCCGAATACGGTATTCGGTCAATTAAAATCTATACAGTCGGAATCACATGAAAAGCCATTTCGCACGGAGCATCGTTATCGCGATTAGATAGATGACGATTGAAATGGCCTTGATAACCAAGGTTATCAAAACATTTTTTTGCAATTGCGATTGAACTCCATTGGATTAAAGTATGCATTCTGCAGAATACTTAGAAAAATACATTTATTTCTTTTCACGATACAAGGTCTTCCGTTTAGTAAAATATAATAAACACGTTAATATACCGTAGCAATAAATAGAGCAGAGTATTTGGTATTGAAATACTTAATAGTACGATGCATGAGGTAGCGATGAAATGGAATCTTCTAAACTAAATATCGTCTATGTTTAAAATGTGATTTTTTAAATGAGATTCAGTTCCTAGTATCCGGAGGAATGTGTTGAATAATTAAATATAATATCACTATAACGTACTTCGATGTTCATTTTTACATTATAAGCATTTTGCCAATAAGTTTTTCCACGTATATTTCTTACGCATGGGACGTTTTTATAATCTGGCATAAATTATACGGCTTTGAATTATTTGATTATAATACAATCCGGTACAAAAATTGTCCAGTAAAACTGTTTTCAAGCATTAGGAAAATTCAATTAAATTTACTTCCCTGGTGATCGTATGTATCGGTGACGTTACGACGGAAGTAGTAAACAACCGTACGTGAGATCGAAAACTCGATGCCGGTTCCCAAGCTTCGTCTCTTACTACTCCTTCATTTCTAGGATACATTAAAAGGGGATCTTTTCCCGTTTTTTTAGATAGCCTTTCTTGAAGCATAATTAATTTAGATCGCCAGTGTCCATAACTGGCTTCTTTAAGAGTGCTCACCCATTGTTCTACTTGGGCATTGGAACGACAACTAAGTATATGTCGCTTATCGTGTTCATCTTGAAAACTGATGCTGAATGCAAATGCACTTTCAGAGCTTGCATCAACATTAATGCTACAGTTCTCTAGAACTATTACTCCTGCTGGTTGCTTCCATTCGATTTGTCCAAATTCATTAATATTAAAGTAAAATAATAGGTTGTACTTCAGCCGGAACCATCTTTCTTTAAAACCTGAAACAGAAGAGTTATAAATGTTGACACTAGACAACTGTGAAATGGACACTTAAAACGTATGTACGAATTTGACAGAAGGTGATGCTAATTTTGCTCCTTAACTCACTTTCGTCATGTTCAAATATACGACATACGACGAAGCACAAAATTTGGCGAATCGAATTTTAAAATAATAAGTAATATCTAATTGTGTAACCAATAACACCCAAATAATGAGTTAGGCTATTCAAAATAGCCGGCATTTTACGATTGATCGATATTTAATTCCTAACCTGATTTGTGAGCACGTTTGTGATTTAAACGTCCCTCGCGTTCGGCAGCTCCAGTACTCAACTCAACGAGTTCCTTCTCATTAAATTTCATGATTCTTCAATTCTTTTGGTAATAAAATAGTGGAATCCTCAGCTCTCGACTTTTGTCACACGTAACCAGTCGCCCGTACATACACACGGAGAGGAAGATGAGCAAAGATGATACAGTCATGCTCGGAGAGTACCGCTGTGGAACTTTTTGCGACGCGAGCGCCGTTATTACTGCGGATGTTATGGTACTTAATGCGTCGTTTTAACAGCGGGACGGCGGATAAAGCGCCATCTCTGATTCAAATCAATTATTTGATACGTCGAACTGTAGTTCCATTTTGAAGGTAAGAAATGGAGCCGAGTGGAGCTTTGACAGTCTGGAACAGTCCGGAATTTTGATTAAGAAAACTAAATTAAATATTGCAGACTCTAGAAAGAATTATGTCTGATATTAAATCTATTATAGCTCTTTTATGTAAACATCTACGTCTATCCATGAATAGTACGCTTAAACCGGAGCATTTCAGAACGGCTAAATTTGATCAGAATTGTAAAGAGACAGTAGGTTTGATGCATAATTTAATACAATTTTATCACGCTAAATGGTATTATATTGGACATTTTATTAGGCAGAATCCTTTTGGTCAGCTTTATACATATTGAGTTCACATGCTGTAAGAGATATGGATTATGGTTCCTATCTCGAACAATACGGTAACTTTTATTTTAATTCGTATATATTTATTTGAAATAAAATAATAACATTCAAGGCAGGTTATTAACCAATTGTTCTTTTTTTTATTTCCGTATGGATGTCAGACAAAATTTCAGTCATAAAATTATACTTTGCCATGTTGCAATACCCAGTAATTAAGTTTTACACATTGGATGAAGAAGACAATTGTAGCACTCGACAACTATTGTTAGCCTTTGCATGGATTTGTGGCACTCAAAACAGTTTAAACAATGTTATACTGTCAAAAATTAAATCCAGTAGTTTTGGAAAGGAATATTCTGAAGTAAACATCAATCTGGTAATCATAACATTTTGTTTGTACAATATATCTGTTTTCATACTAAAAATATATTAAACTTTTCATTTTTAATATACATTTGATATTTAACATCTTAATGTAATGGCAAAAGTGAGTTATTTATATACATTTTTGCATGAACATATTTTATAGGAAGGTTATCATAATAATGATGATATGCTAATACAAAGAATTAACGGAATGGTATTTTGTTTGATCCCAAAGACATTCTAACGTGTAATTACATATGACTTATTTGTCAGGACCTTACTTCATGGAAAGAACAGTCGATATCACTTGAGAATCAAATGAGTAACCTTGGTCATCAGTTTGGTAAAATAAATCATAATCTTAAAGAAATCACAGAATTGGTGATTGAAAAAACAAAATTAACAGCTAAGATACATACCGCCAGTGTAAATGTGTGCAATTTACCACATCTGAGTGTATGGGAAATGGCACTAAATAAAAGTTTATCTACCTGTAAGGAAGTAAATTATCCCGATAGATGTAAGCAACAATTGAATAAATTACAATTGGCAGCCTGTATGATTAACACACATCAAAAGTGGACAAATAAGCAACATGTTTTCTTTTCTTGGATGGTATGTATATATATAACATTTATTTACGAATGCATAAATTAATATTAATATTCTAATGTATGTAATTGTAAATATCGTGCTCTACTTTTAACCTTATCTAATATAATAAAAAAGTTTGATAATAATACATTGCATTCATAAACCTCTTACTTTGATATTGTTACAGATAACTGTGATAGAAGAACAATCAAAACATATAAGAAATGATTTGTCTGAAACAAGTTATTCGGAATTATTTAAATTCATAAACTTGTTACGTCATTTAGTGAAACACCGTCTGCACAATTTAAAATACGATAAATCATTACCTGAACATTTCAAATTGAAATCAACTTGTGTGGCCCGATTTCTAAGAGTTCAAAAGATTGGTTCAGAAGTTCAAAATTGGTTTTCAGAAGCAAAAGATGAATTACAACACAAGGAAAAGCAGATTGCAAAAAATGATAGAGAACTCGCCATTGAATTGAAAACGATAATGCAGTTAATTCCTCATTGTATTCAAATTTAGAGGATATATTTGTAAAAATTGTACCATCCACAATGCAAATAACAATGCACCAGTAAACTTCGATTTGGCAATGCTCCATATGTGTACAGGATGTAAATATTATAACAACAAATGCAGATAAGACAAAATGTGTTATCTAAATAATTTATTTCACAAATACATAGAACTCAAATTTCATTTATATAAACTATTAATTATTGAAAATAGTACGTACCATCTGCAACATTGGTGGATTATGGATTTAATATGTTTGTACCAGGAATGTTGCAACATTTCTATGTTACTATAATTATACTTGATATCAGCCTATGCTGCTACTGAGCTTGAATTTTACCACCTCCATCCGTTTCTGACTTTGAAGCTTGTTGTTTTATACGGTAATCGGACAATGCAGCTTTAATTGCATCTTCCGCAAGCACTATAATATTACAATTACATCATAATATTAATGAAATGACAGCAACTTTACAAGATAAAAATAAAATTACACTTACTCGAACAATGTAGCTTAACAGGTGGGAGGCACAGCTCTTTAGCAATGTCCGTGTTTTTTAATTTTAAAGCTTCATCTACCTGCAAGGATAGTGCAAAGAATAAATATATTTGTACCGATGTAATAAAATATTTCATTGTGATATGTGTACTATGTATCATGTAATATTATAAAAGAAGGACTAGGTACATATGAATTACTGTACCGTCTTTCCCTTGACCCACTCGGTAGCCAAGGAACTGGATGCTATGGCGGAACCGCAACCAAAAGTCTTGAACTTAGCATCTATGATCTTTCCATCTTTGTCAACTTTAATCTGTAATTTCATGACATCACCACAAGCAGGAGCGCCAACGAGCCCTGTGCCCACCTGGCTGTCATTCTTATCCAGAGAACCAACATTCCTTGGATTTTCATAATGATCTAATACCTGAAGATAGAAAATGGTGTATATTATAATGAAGAAGAGCAATATACTGAAAATAAGTACCATTACATTTCCATGATTTTTAAGAGCAATAGGAACGAATGTTAAAAATAAGATCGGACGAATATTATTGATTCGCAGAAATACGTACAGATCGTGTCATATATTTATGTCTATTGCGTACGTTGTCTAAAGGACGGATAAACTTATGAAGGTCGCGATGAATTAATTACCTTTGGATGGTATGACATACACGGAACGCTGCCAAAGACGGTTTTTGACGTTTCCGTCAATTTCATAGGCATTAGCCGCCACATCGCCATATTTACTGTATCGACAAAAATGAAGAAACTTTTGACATTTACGCAGCAAGCCGCGGATCGCAGATGTCAGACAACGTCAGGTGAATGCCGCAAATGCGTTGCGGTGCGGCTTCTTTAGACGTGAACCATGAAGTATCCATTTAGTCTTCGATTCGAAATTACTTGTTATTTACAGGATTGTAATCTTGTGCTGCTCTCTAGCAGCACTCTCTACCTTCTGGCGCAAAGAATTCTTAAAAGCGTCATCTTAAAATGAGACGGTACTATAATGTGGATATGGTTCCACCTTTTCATCAGAGTGTCGTTACCAGTACATACATCTTCTTCATAGTAGTGTTCCAATTCAATATTTTAGTTTGTTCAAGTTTGAACGGTGTGCAGTGGAAGTCACAGGTTGTAGAGGATGTTTATCGCCTAACTTTTTCTCTGCCTCTTGCCAATCCGTGGAATGATACTTAATGCAAAATAATAGTAATCTTTAAAGTGATCTTCGCTGTTATTATTCCTGACGGGCGGAACCGTCATCTCGTCTCCGAGAAGGTGGCATTAAATAACGAATCTGGCGGCGTAACCGGCATCCTTGTTCACCCGTTCGATCGATCAGTCGTTCGGTTATTCGCAGAATGGAAGCCTTGATACCTGTTATTAACAAACTGCAGGATGTGTTCAATACCGTTGGTGCCGATGCTATTCAACTGCCTCAAATCGTTGTACTAGGCACTCAGGTTAGTTTTTAAATATCCCTGATGGGCTCGAGGTGAAACTTATTTATGCTTTACTTTTATTTATTATTATTACAGAGTTCAGGAAAATCCTCCGTTATTGAAAGTCTGGTGGGGCGCTCCTTTCTGCCTCGAGGAACAGGAATTGTGACGCGTCGACCGTTGGTCTTGCAACTCGTGTATTCGCCAAAGGACGATTGGGAGCATCGAAGCGCCGAAGAAGGAACTCTCGATCTTGACGAGTGGGGAACGTTCTTGCATACTAAAAATAGGGTTTACAAAGATTTTGATGACATTCGCAGAGAGATTGAAAATGAGACAGATCGCATGGCTGGAACCAACAAAGGCATCTGCCCGGAACCAATCAATCTAAAGATTTATTCAAAGAATGTCGTCAATTTAACATTGATCGACCTGCCAGGAATTACCAAAGTGCCTGTCGGAGATCAACCGGAAGACATAGAATCTCAGATACGCCAGCTGGTACTTAAATACATATGTAATCCAAACTCAATAATTTTGGCAGTGGTCACTGCCAACACCGACATGGCAACTAGCGAGAGCTTAAAACTCAGTAAAGATGTCGATCCCGATGGAAGGCGAACTCTTGCCGTTGTCACTAAATTAGATCTTATGGATGCAGGTAAATTTAATTTTGACATTATATATTAATATAAAATTGTTTGAAAACGTTTGCACTCTGGATTTTATTACCTCACTTAGAGGATAACATTTGAGGTTATGCATCCTTTCGGTACCTATTCTTTTGCTACTATGACTTTACGTATTGCATATTGAGGAACCGATGCCATCGACATCATATGCGGTCGAGTGATCCCTGTTAAACTGGGAATTATTGGAGTGGTCAACCGTTCTCAGCAGGATATAATAAACAAAAAGACTATTCAAGATTCGTTGAAGGACGAGGCGACATTCTTGCAACGAAAGTATCCCACCCTAGCTAATAGGAATGGAACACCCTATTTGGCCAAAACATTGAATCGCTTACTAATGCACCATATTCGAGATTGTCTCCCAGACTTAAAGGTAGGTGAGCCCTTGGATTATTTTAGAATCTAGCATTCAATTGACCTTTCAATTTATCTCTTGTCACCAGACTCGGGTCAACGTAATGGTCTCGCAATTCCAAACATTATTGAACTCGTACGGGGAAGATGTCAGAGACAAGAGTCAGACTCTTCTTCAAATCATAACTAAGTTTGCCAGCAGTTATTGTTCCACTATCGAGGGCACTGCCAGGAATATCGAAACGACGGAGTTGTGCGGTGGAGCCAGAATCTGCTACATCTTCCATGAGACATTCGGTAGAACCTTGGATTCCATTCATCCGTTGGCTGGGTTAACCAAAATGGACATATTAACTGCGATTAGAAACGCGACTGGACCCAGGCCCGCTCTCTTTGTTCCGGAGGTGTCCTTTGAATTACTTGTAAAACGTCAAATTCGAAGACTGGAAGAGCCCTCACTGAGATGCGTGGAACTGGTGCATGAGGAAATGCAGCGAATCATCCAGCACTGTGGCACCGAAGTGCAACAGGAGATGCTGCGCTTCCCAAAATTGCATGAACGCATCGTCGATGTTGTCACACAACTGCTTCGCAGACGTTTGCCGACGACTAATCAAATGGTGAATTAATGCTTACCGAGGTGGTGTGAAACAACAAAATCTGTTATACTCTGTATATTTATGATAAGGTAGATTGTTAGAAATTGTTGATTTCACATCGCCCTTGAGTGTCATTAGTGAATGCACTGAAATATCTAACTCAGTCCTTTAACATACAATTTGGTCTACAGGTGGAAAACCTAGTGGCCATAGAATTAGCTTATATTAACACCAAGCACCCTGATTTTCATAAAGACGCTGCAGTTGTGTCTTCGTTACTAAAAAATGCCGAAGTGGATCAACAGAAAGTTAACAGACGACACTTATCATCGGTACCGCCTGGTCCTATAGAACAGGTAATTACTAATGTTGCGTTTATACATCTGGAACATCCAATGAAGGAAGTCTTCGCGAATGCCATCGGGGAAATTATTATCTTTGCCTGCGACATCGGTATCGGTGTACAGCTTATACTATGTTACAGCTTAGCTAGAAGTCAGGTAACTTTTTGTCTCACAGAATAGCACACCAAAGTCAAGTGGTAGTCGAGACGAGATACCAATATTTCCGGAACACAATAAAGACCAATCGGGTGATCCAAAGCAGCAACAAAATCACTGGTTCCTGGGTAATTTGCTGCCACAGGGAAGACTGGAGTCTACCAGTGGATCCATGAACGGCTCTCCGGTGAGAAATCGTGACGAGAATGTATCTCCGAGTTCTAATGACTTACAAAGGGGTTCACCTCAACAGAAGCCTGTAAATCTACTGCCAGAAGTACCCACTCAAACTTCACGTAGACTCAGCGATCGAGAACAGCGCGACTGCGACGTTATTGGTAATACAGCGATAAAACTAAGACGTTCTTTTGAAGGAAACCTGTTGCACGTTGTCTGTAACGTAGATACCTTTCCGTTTGTTCCCTAGAACGGCTGATAAAATCTTACTTCTACATCGTACGCAAGTCGATCCAGGACAGCGTGCCAAAAGCAGTAATGCATTTTCTAGTTAACTTTGTAAAAGATAATTTGCAAAGTGAACTGGTTACGCATTTGTATAAGTCGGACCACGTGGAGACGCTCTTGAACGAAAGCGAGCACATAGCTGTTAGGCGTAAAGAAGCGGCAGATATGTTGAAGGTATACTTTAGTTCTCTTACAAGCACCTGATTTATCCGATTACATAATACCGGTTGAATTGTTCCACAGGCTTTGACACAAGCGGGCCACATTATCAGTGAGATTCGAGAGACACATATGTGGTGACCCATTCGTCCGACGAACGTTGAATTGTTTAACGAGACGTCGAAGGCTAGTCGCAAAATAGGTAATACTCTTTGCGTTAACGAAGATATTTAATTTCTCTGTGACATCTATTTGATTTCAGCTACCTGTGCAGACGCCACTGCATCAGCTGCATAACAGTCAGCCACTTGGTAATCGCCAACGCTGTCCCGGTTGTCACGTCTGCATTGACTGCGATGTGAAATTTCATTGCATCGGATTATGTGGTGAACCATCTGCACATTGACTGGGAATTTATTTTTAATTGCGGATCGTTCGTTATCGCTTATCGATTACCTCAGCCACATGTTAATGCATTCTCGAGTCACTGAATCGTACGTCTTAACTGAATCAGTTTACAGGCTCACAGATGACTTAGAAAGATGATAATCTTTCCTGTTACGGTTTTAATTACGATGTTTTAGACTAGACTTTTTGTAGCATCTCCGATCGAGAGGTATAGAGCCGTTATCGAAGCCTCTCTATGATTTTTATATTTGAATATTATTATTGGGTGGGAGGGAACTCGCACCTGTGTCCGCAAGTTAAGATTTAACTTCAGTGATTTGAGTGCGCGCCAACACCCTCAAATGGGTATAAGAGAGTAATTTTAAGCGATGTATTTCTACCGACCCCCAGTGGCATTTAGTGTGCAGCGTATGGTTGTACGATCTTTTGATGCACATTCACGAAGAGCACATCAAAGTATGCGGTGCATGACAAAGTAAATGTGTTATTCTTGAATTTGAGAACCGTGGTACCGCGTTGAACAAATATGAACCCAAGGCAGAACTGTGCTTCAGTCTATTTATTTCACTTATTGAATTCCTGACACATGAATCTTTAGCCCTTACAGGTATACCTGACTACCTCGTCGTTGATGTCAAAGTTTTTTTTTTCTGATCCTACTGCATCATCATTTTTCCACAAGACTGTCACCGATATGAAAATCCATAATGCCAGCCGTAAAGTTTTCAGGATAGGTTTAGATTGAAACAGGGATGATATCATCGGCATCGCTGGAAGTTTCCGTCGATTCGCTACCCCTTTAAAAATTCAGTTCACACATTTAATAATGATCGGATTCATTTTATTCCGTATTCATATCTTTCGTTTCCTCATGGTACATGACAAAACTGAAAAGACCTTTCGTCGATGATAAACATTTCTTAAATAACCTAATTTTCAAAGAATCTTCACACGTCCGTACTTTACGTTCATTCGGACAAACAAATAAATCTTGCAACAAACTACTGTGTAAAATCTGTTTCGGAATTAGCCATTCGATTTTACGCCAAGTGGAGGCACGTTAAGTTAGGAAATCCAGCGAATTGTCGGACATGGTTACGTCACAGTTGCATCCAAGTGGGGGAAGCGGTTGCCATAGCAACGGCGTCGCGTCGCCGCATCCGTTGCTTAGTCAGCTGATCTCGCTCGGATGAAACTGGAAGATACGCAAGGACGCGGAACGAGGACGTGGTCGGTAAACCCGGTAATTAGACCTAACGTTCGTATACGTCTTTCATTTTTATGGATTCTACGACGTTCTTGAAATTTTTCAGACACTCGCAGACCCAAGGCGTCCGGAGGCCTCGACATCGGCGGTGGGCTCCGAGTCGGCGCGTTGAGGCTCTTCCCCTCGCTGGTCGGGTCTCCTCCTCTTTGCCTCCTTGTCGTCATCCAGTGGATGGGCTTTCATTGCGTACTCCTGTCACGCTCGATCGCCCGAAGCCTCCGCCGCGACCAGACTCGGAACGGCCCAGCCATCAGCTTCGGGTCTCCGCGACTTCGGCGAACGGCCACCTCGATTCCGAAGAATCTTCCCGGGACCCTGGTGCGGACTTTCTTGGATCCACGGCTCGATCGCCGACTGTCACTCGTTACGAGTCTCGTCGGCTTCGTCGAGACTCCCAGAGTCTGTCTACGGTATCCTTGAGGTTCCTGACCGTCCGACAGCCGGACACGTTTCACCGGGGGTCCATCGAAGCCTTCTCGCTGGTGGGATCGTCCGGATTTATAAGGTATTCCCAAACGCTGGTCGGTAGCGGCCTCTCGATTTTGACATTGACATTGAAAACGAAAAGATTCGTCGACTGGGTCGATGCCGAGGACTTTTGCTCCGCGAAATTCGCGATTCACTCGCTGGAGCATAATATGCAAATTTTTTTTTCTTTTCTTTTTAATGCCATCGAGTGTTTCGTAACGCCATAACGGACACTTCCTTCTCCCGTTTCAGTGGATAAGGCATCGCGGATGTCATCCGGTACTCCGTGAATTTTTTATCTCTACCGTTAGACCACCGAGACTATTTTTCTTCGATTAATCAAACGTATCGTCTATTGATTCTTATCAACCGAGGTACACCTGTTGACGCTCCCGATTATTCCAGCTGCGATTAACGTCCAGCTTGTTCATATTTTTTACTCCAACCCGTAACCCAGTATTCTTGTCTAATTCGTTCGAAATTATCCGTGATGTAATTCACCTCAATTGGAAAAATCACGATTCAATCCAGACATTCAAACGGCACTTTACGGATCGAGAGATACGATCGCGACATATATCCCCCGTGGCAAGTTCTTCGTTTCTATACAACGTTACAATTGTCGCATTAATTGAGGACGTATCTATGAAACTCTTGACGCAACCAAGCATGCACGTGCGTTAACGCGCTGTCCTTCGGTCGCAATCGTCGTTCCTTTAATCGAAACGATCGTCCGCCCCTCATCGGGAAGTAAACATCGTTAACTCTCGCCTGTACGTCGAGGAACGAGAAACAAATGGACGAGTCGAAAGGGCTGAATTAATTATTCAATGAGATATTACTTCGGTTACTTCGTAACGTTCGAAAAAAATATTGGCCGACGGTGACAACTGTACGATCGTATTTGTGAGAGTTCAATACAAATTCAGAACGGCAATCATCGAAACGAACACGGAGCACTCCGGGCGGAACAACGAAGAATTCAAGAGTCAAGGTCCAGGGGCTCTCGGGATCTCACCGTCCGTTAATTCTTTGTCCGCGCGAGAATAACCTTGCTTTTAACATTTTTTCTTATCCGATCAGGCGATATCCGCGTGATCGCCAAGAGATAGATTTGCCTCGGTGGGACGTTCGTTAAACGGCAACGCGGTCTTCACCGACAAAACGGAATTTTATCCAGGCGAGGAGAATTAATTCCGGGTTTTCGGCGTTTCCGAATGAATAACGGCAATGCCGTTCTTCCGCGCGATTTCTTTTTAAGCGTCATTTTATGCCATCATCGATCCGCTGAATCGCTTGCCCAGATATGACGGTTGATCGACCACGCGCGAACGTCTTTTCATTAAAGGTCTCGAATGAGAATGAAACGAACTTACGCATTACCGTCACCTATGGTAGGTACACCGGCCGTAGTTGGGGCCGGACAATTCTTCGATTCTTAGGTAGAAAAGTGGCATGAAAGCGGTCGAAGAGGATCGACAGATCCCGGTGATATTTTGGTTGTATCAAAGCGGATCGTTCCCCGCAGTTCCCAGCCGCTGCAGGCGGGTGGGGGCGAACACGCGGACGCCTGGTGATGTGCACGTGATTCCGGCGTGCCGCCGCGAACGACATCGACCGCGCTTCCCCTCCTCCGGCCGCTCCGCGTTGCCAACCGTGACATAATTACGGCTCGGTTGCGACGCCCCTCTCGCCGAGCCCCCGTCCCGTTTTCAAAATCGGACAATTATTTCTCCCGATTACGATCCTTTCCCGGGTTCTTCGATTCATCCACGTCAGTCTTTCGAATCTTACCGTATTTCCGTTCCGCATTTGAAACGAGTTATTGGTCACGTTTAGGCCAATAAGATCGAGGGCTTCGGGAAGAAATTCAAGATGGCGGAGCGACGGCTCACCGACTGCCGCCACTTTTACAAACGAAACGATGTCGGCGTGATACGTTTCCGGATTTTATTCTTACCTCGGGTATCTACTCTTCCCCGATAGGACAGCAACGATAATAACGTATTTAGCAAATTTTAGATCGAGGGGGTACCGACCGAGATCGACCGACGGCGGGGAAAATCCGTAATACTCGAAGAGCGGAGTCGCGCTCGTCGAAAATGAAAAACTCGTTCCATCCATTCGATGCCGCGTCGCTCGTTTAATTAATCGTCCCTGGAATTGATTTGTTTGTTTGGAAACATCGACCAGCGGCCGGTGCAGACTTTGAAAGCGATCCTAGACGTTCGTCGGGCCTCGATGATTCACGCCTCGCATTCATGAATATTCCGCGAGTAAAGACCGAGTTTCCGGAAGGCTTCCTTTGCACCCCGGCCTAAACGAGATGAACGCGTCGAGTCGAAGGGAACCGTGTCCTTCGCAGTGGGTGCGTCAGCGGCACGCTTTATGCGCATTTCGTTGGTAACGAATACCTGGTCAAATTCTGAGTCGCTCCGACGACTTTTTTCGGGCTCGATTTAACGCGCGAGAGGCCTTGAACGTTTCCACAAAACGAGGCGTCATCGGTGCATTCGCCCGGTCCATGAGCAGTCGTTTCCGATTCGGAGCGAAATTCTAGCGAGTTTGACGATAAACGCGAAGCGTACTTTTGTCTCGAAAGAAGACGCGGATTCGAACGTAGGCGATTCGTTCCCTCCAGGCACGTACGCCGTTTGTTTTTCTTCGTGCCGTCTCGTCGCGACGAAACAAAGGGTCAGAGAGTGCGAGTGCAATCGGATTATTTTTCCGAAATTCGTATTTCCTTCGGATCGTAGATGGTACCACTCCACCTGGACGGACACTCGTTTGCTTTCGTTCCTTCGCATTTTTGCTCCGTTTTTATCGATGATGCTTATCGCGTTATCGATAAAGGTGCTCGTTCCTGAATTTTTCTCCCAGATATTGTTTCCGCAAACGATTCGTTCCCTCGAGATAAGTTCGAAAAATAAAGGGCTCCTTTTAATCGCGATCCGGTCACGGATCTCGTTTGGTCCTTGCTGCAATTTGACCGATATGTCACCCGTTGCATTTACACGAGCAGTCGATACCAGGGTCGTTCACATGTCTCGAGTCACGTACCTTCGATAATAGAAACGTCACCATCCTTATCTACGGCGTGATTACCAGCGTCATAACGTCCCGAGCTTACGGAATCGGGCGTTAAATACGTGTCCGTCCGTTTGACCGGCGAATTGTTTGCTCGTAGCGAGTTTTCTGGACCTCCCCGACTCTACTCCGTAATCTCGAGAAAAGGCGAAAATTCGATCTAGAACTGCGGTCGAATTTTCGCGCGAACGGTGCATCGGGTATCGAGGTAAAATTGAAAAATTGAACCGTACCCGAAACGGATCTTCCCGAGCGCGAGTAGATCGATCATCGCAGCCGATCACCCTTGCCCCAAGGGGATGGGCCTGCCCTGCGAGCGGCGTCGAGAAAACACGCAGCACGTGTTTCGCGAGTGCTCGTTCCCCTTCCCGACCTGGAACCGCCCCTCTCCCGCGCCGGAGCCGATATAAGCCGCGCGCCGTTGCGGGCACCACCATAGAATCCAATAGAATCTTCGGTCGCGTTGCGCGAGGGTCCGCTGGCCGTTTATTTTCGCTTTCTCTTTGTTTTTCCGTGCGCGTTGTGTTCACTCCGTGCCTCGTCTTCGCGCTTCTTCGTGGTGCGTGGGAATTGCGTTCCGGCGAGAGAGCGCCCCCTTCGAGATGCCCGTCGAAGTCGCTCCGAATGTCCCACCCGCGCACAATCCTCGACCAACGTACAATGGGTATTTGCTCGTTTGAATATTTATATACGGTTTATCGAAGTCGGTTCCTTGGACCTGGAGAATTTCTCCCTTGGAGAGATGAAATGAAATTAGAAGAGCGGACTGTCTATCTACCCTTGTACGATAACGACTAAAGCGGTCGGAAGAGAAAATTGAGTCGTTCCATAAGTTTGATTAACCGATATCGAGGATATTTAATGACAACTTTGTTCGTTTAGAGACGTAACGTTTTCTACCTCCTATTGATTTTTGCAGGGAAGCCAAGATGAACAAGCTTTGCCGACAACTCTCCATCGAAAGTCCAGGAACCTCTGGCAGGGATTGCGTCTTCAGCTTCGACGTGCCCGTACCGGAAGTGCCGTCTCATGGAGCTCGTATTCAAGTCGTGTGCGCCGGGGCTTGCTATCACCCCCGACGCTCCCCGGCTCCGATGGGTTTGACTCCGGGTTTGACTCCGGGTTTGACTCCGGCTTCCAGCTCGAGCAGCCTGGCTACCGACGTCTCCGTCGAAGGCGATTATCCGACGTCCTTGCCTCACTACGGGGTGCGGAACGCGGCTCTGTTCCCCGGATACGAGGTGGCGGGCACGATAGAGTCCCTTGGGTCGGACGTCCCCGAGGACTGTGGCTACGCGGTGGGTGACCGAGTCATCCTGTACCCCTACGAGGGAGTTCCTAACGGCTACGTGGATTATTTGGTGGTTCACGACTTGAAGTACCTCCTCAAAATTCCCGACAACATGCCTCTGAGCGTAGCGGCTATGCTGCCTGCCGGAGCTCTGCTGGCCATGAACACCGTCTTCGCAGCTCACGAGCACGTCCAGGCGTTGCTGGAGGAACGAGGCGAAGGCAGCGTGTGCAAGATCCTAGTCGTCGGCACGGGAGGTTTAGCCTTATGGGCTCTCAGAATTGCGGCATATTATTTCAGCAACACGAAGGACAGGGTCACCATCACCGTCGCGTCGCTCAAGGACGAGGGCTTGATTCTCGCCCAGGAATTTAAACGGTACGTGTCAAAGAAAGAAAGGGAGCAGGGCCGTAAACGTCCGTAATGATAAAGAAAAAAGAAATACCCGTTTGCACGAACTCTGACCCACGATTTAGATATATCGGTAACGTATACGTCGTTCGAGCAGTCCCCGCGATCAGGGAAGGTACGTCATTTAGATTTAGAAGTTACGTCCGGTCTTGATACGACCGACGTAATTCGTCTTAATCGGAATCAATTTACTCTCTTGAACGGTCCGGTTGCCGTGTTAAAGTAGATCGGACGTGTCCGGATCGTAGCGAGCGCATTACTCCCAGAACTGGACGATTGCGCGAGCAACTTCACTTATTCACCATCAGAGTGCATTCTGATTTTAGGGTGAACGTGGTCCAGTGGAACGAGGACCTCTACGAGAAGCAGCTGATCGAGCGAACGATGGACGCGTGCCAGGGCTTGGTCGACGTGGTCATCGACTTTGGAACGACCTCGCGAAGCCTTCACCGGAGCGTACAGTGCCTCGGCAAAGGCGGCGTCGTCTTCGTCATCCGGGAGGTCGCCAACAGGCTGCTGCCAAAGTTCAGCAGGTGTGCCGAGGAGAGGCAACAGAGCATTCAGCCCGTGGAGCCGGGCACCTTGGAGCAGTTGAAGGAGTTGGTCAAATTGGTGGGATCCGGCGAGATAGAGCCTCCACCGCACACCGAGTACCCGGCCGAGCAAGCCCTGGACGTCGTGCACAAGCTCTGCCATTCGCAAATTCACGGAAGGGCCATTTTGCGTTTCCATCCAACCGATTAAGTCCCGACCCTGAGACTGCTCTCGGGGTTTCGCAGCGAGTACTACGAGGTTCGGGCATCGTTTCGGAGTAGATTCGCGATAACGTGGAAAAGACCCGTTCGGGATCGATGAGACGAAGGAACTCGAGATTAATTAGATGTAGAACGCGATAAGAGAAATCTTGCATTTTTGTTCTTCCGATACTTCAGTATCCGGCAGTATATCGTTCAAGCGTTAAACTTTTAAACGGTTGCATGGCGTTGTTACATTCCAGAGTTTGCATTTATCGATGACAAATGTGCTCGGTTTTGTGCGGCACCGATAATTCGTAACGTTTTCATGAGCAAATGTAAGATTAGAGGGTATTTCAATCGATATAGCGTAATTCATTCGCTATAGCGTATTTCGTTTTTTAAGGAGGCGCAATATACTCTCGTCGGTCGGTACGGCGGTACCGACATCGGTACGACGGTACGGTAACAAGTAACAAACGAAGAAAGATATTTAATTAAATCGATTGCGCGTTTTCGAGGGACATCGTGAATTTTAGATTGGCTGGACCGATTTCAATCATGAATGAGATACCGAATCGATCGGTTGGTAGATTGAGATGATCTTTAGGGTGCTGCGAAACCCCTGGTGCTGCCTCGAAGAAAAATTCAATTTTCTCCAAGGATTAAACTCGTTTATTTATTTACTTTTATATAAAGAAAAATTCAATCTTCTTATCGATGGTTCTGAAATGTAAAAATTTATTTTTCGAGATTTCGGATCATGAATATCTAGCCAAAAAATAAGGGAATGAATAATGAACGGTTAAAAGTGATAATTTTTTTTTTTAAGTTTCAGTGTACCTAATAATGTTATTATTTTTTTTATTTTTTGGGGGGGTAGGGGATGAACAGGAGCTTCGGCTTCCGAATTCGATGGACTGGGAGAGTAGAACTTGGAGTTTTAAATCACCTTAATGATTAATTTAACCGAAAAATCGATACGATGGGCTTCTTAGGTAGAGCTAGTTCCGTTAATTCAGATTTACGGCACGTGTTCTATTATATTAATTATTAATACGTCCCACAAAAGCTAATAGATCGACTCGATGGAGTAACTTCGATGAATTTGGTTTCGGCTGTTCGCGGACAGTAAAAGACTAGTCAGAGTCTATCGATGCTTCTTTGCCGTTTTCAAACTGGCAGGATTGCGTCCTGCACCTTTTTTCATTTACCGTTCTTTACATAGGTATGCATATATACGTGTGTTGTATATATATTATTATATGCATATACATGTACATATATACACCTGATAGTATTTTTTTTTAGTTATATTCCAAATCATTGATCGCGCGTTCTTGTGTTGCGGTTAAATTTATTGTAATTTAAAAGACTGTTCGTTCGTTCAAACGATTTTGTATCGACGTAGATATTAATTAGAAATTTAACTACTTCCTGTACTTTTAGGGTAACATATGTTATTGTAACCAACGTGTTTAATAATACAGTGAATACGTTTTTTATATGTTACTTTTCAAGAAGTCCTAGTTATGACGATTACAGAGGTAACAAGGAAGCAAAGGAAGTAACGTTATAACAAATAGCGTAGGTAAGTAGAAGTTAATTCGTTTAGTTGTCGTTAGCTTTGAAATAAATAAGCATCGATAGGACCTTGTATACGTACGTATAAAGCAACTTTGGCGCATAACTGCAAGTTTTCTAAGTTTGAGTCGCCGGGGAGCTTCTGCTATTTTTTCATGACGAGCGACATCGGTGCGGTTTAAAATTTGGAAAACGTATTGACACCGATTTCCGAAATCGAGGATTCGGAGTTCGGTATACTAGATTTTGAATTCGCGAGATTTCCCGCCTTTTGCCGATTCGCCCCGAGAGAACCTGCCACTCCTCGGTCACGCACGCGCGGGGTAAGCCGATAATTATCTATTTACCGGGGTTACCGAGAAGGTCGTCCGACAAGGATGACCCGCGGGTCGAGGTAAGGGGATGCACCGGATACCCGATACCACCCGATGCCCCTGGACAGGAGAGGCGACGGTCTCCGGATGGTCGGGGAGGGGGCGGCGCATTAGGCGGGCTCGCGGACCCGCGAGCGTCGTGCACCCTCCCTGCTGGTTTCTGCTGATCGAGCAAACATGGCGGATTCGGAAAACATTCGAAACGAGAGGAACCGAACAACGTAGTGCTCTCGAGTGGGTTGACAACGTGCCATGTTGCTCGATTGCGTATCGCCGACGGCATCCTGACCGACGTGCCTCGGCACTTAGGGAAAGCGCCTCCGGTTGACCGCGAAGCATCTAGGAGAAGCGACGTTCGGGTGTTCGGCTGGAAATAATAAATGGGTGCGTGGTGGTCGTGATTACGAAGGCAGAGGACTACGACCTTCGGCTCGACGGGGCCACGGCTGCGTCGCGGACACGCGCGGGTCACCCGAGGTGCGAGTGACGCCGGAGCCTGGTTAACGCGTGGCTGAAGGTTCCTGCCGTTGGCGTGCGGACTCCGGGCGGAATTCGCTGGCCAAGATGACGATCCTCTCGAAGAAGAAGCCCAGCGGGACAAAGGATAGGCGCGAGGGTGGCGCTGGCTCCGAGGTCGACGTCCATGGGGTTCAGAATGAACACGGGTCCGGCAGCATCGCTCTGCCGAACAGTCCCTATCAGGTGAGCTTCCTGCTGCTCACCTATTTTTCTCTTGCTCTTCTTTTTCTTACACTCCGTGTACTCGTACTCCTTCCGACGGCGATTTTCACGGGAAACGGAACGAGAATCGAGCTCGGAAGTACAGCTCTTTCTCCTCTCCGGTTCTTCGTTTATCTTCGTCCGTCTCTACTTTCCTGTCTATGCGTATCTCCACGGGTGGAGTCTCATCGAGCTTACCGCTACTTCGAAATAGGTGCGAGGAAGCAACGGTTTCGGCGTAGACCTTCACGGAGTACAAAGCGACCATGGCTCCGGCCCCATAGTCCTGACTGGCAGCTCTTACGAGGTGAGAACCGGAGCGGGTATCTTGGCTCTCTTGAGGAGCCGACTACGACATAGGTATACCGTTTTCTAATCTTTGATACTCTGTATGGCTGTGGGAAAGTCAATGGTGTAATCATTTTATTTTTCTTCGGTTTTATAGCGTGAATATCAATGTACTTCCCCCTGGTCCGTGATAACAACATTTTTATGGATATAAAAATATTGCCGGCACGTTCACGTAATCTTAATTACGATGTAAATTGTACAATAATTGTCCTTTTTGGTCAAAGTCTTGTATAACGTTCGGGTAAACCGACTAGATTTTTAACTGCGTTTATCGACAGTTTATCGCATATGGGTGTTTTAGACAAATGTCGATCGCCGAGAGGAGAAGCACTTTGAAGAAGGTAGCGGCCCGAGTCATGGCAAAAGACATCGCCAGCGAGCTAGCCCTCATAGGTATAGTTACACCCATTCGCTATTGCCATAACCTGAAATTTTCAATTTGCAAATACTGTGCTTGCGTACCTTTTTTTTTTGGTTCTTAAAACGTGTTTCGTGCTTCAGTGGGTGTATCGGTAGGAGTTCGCGTTCAAAACGTGAACGAGAGCGAGACAGAGGACGGGAAAGAGATAGGGAGAGGGAACGCGAGAGGCAGGCAACTCCACCAGCTGCATCTTGTAGTGGATTACAAGGTAAAAAAGAATGTTCACGTCACTTTGTTTCTCGAGCTTTGACATCTCTATGGGACAATTGGGAAATTCACGTCTTTCACTTTCTCATCGTTAATGTTTTAGGGACAGACAGTGCTATGATAAGTAATAGTCGTATGGCTATTGTAGGTAATGCTGCGAATCACGAACACGAGCTGGCCAATGGTTATAACAGTGGCGACGAGTACACAGGTCGTACTGGGAATAACCTCACCTTGGCGGAATGGCAGGAGGTAGGACGAGTTCGTCGAATAAAAATTTAGCACGACATTTTTAATTACAAAATTCCATTCTCTGTTACAGCGTGACAGATGGTTTGAGAAACGTATGCGAAAAATGGGATTCATCGTAAAAAAGATGGGAGAAGACGGTGCATGCTTATTCAGGGCAGTTGCTGACCAGGTCTACGGTGATCAAGAAATGCACGGTGTTGTGAGAAAACACTGCATGGATTACATCGTAAGTGCGTTCAAGAGACAACGATAAGTCTAAAATATCTTAGTCTTAACTTGTATCGTGACTTTTCAGGCGGCGAATAAGGAATTCTTCTCTCACTTTGTTGCGGAGGATTTCAGTACCTACGTAGACAGGAAGCGACAAGAGTACGTTCACGGAAATCATATAGAAATGCAAGCCATGTCGGAGATGTACAATCGCAGTGTCGAGCTTTTTTGCTACAGCACTGGTACGGATAACTATTTGTTCATCGATCGTGCGTGAATCTTGACAGGTGTAAGACATAGTCGTTACTCTTTGTTTGTAGAGCCTATCAACATATTCCATGGTATGCTTAAGAGCGACAACGAACCGATACGATTGTCATACCAGCGTGGTAGTCATTACAACAGTATAGTAGATCCGTATAAGGCCACAATTGGGGTTGGTCTTGGTTTGCCATCTTTCAATCCTGGCTCGGCTGACAGGGAGCTCATATCGGATGCGGTTCGTCAAAGCGAGGAGTTGCATATCGAGCAGGTAATGGAAAAGTCTTCTCGTTCGGTTGTTAGTTGGAATCGTCGAGCTCCCCGTTTGTAAATTTTGTTGGCGTTTTTTGCACTCAGACGATGTTAGAGGACAAGATAAAGGCCACGGACTGGGAAGCGACGAACGAAGCCATCGAAGAACAAGTTGCCAGGGAGAGTTACTTGCAGTGGCTGCGAGATAACGAGATGCGGAAAGCTGTAAGCACTCTACTCCTCTCGGAGCTATATAACGTATTGTACCGTTGGAAGTAATTTTGACGCAAATTAAATTCTTTACGTAAGCATTACGATCCGTAGTGATAATAAAAATTAGTTTTTCGTTCAGCGATCGGCCAGTAGCAGTAGTACGAGTACGGTAACGAGTGCGGCGCAACACAGTCATTCGCACTTTCATCCTCACGGTGGGCGTGGACAACAGCGTGGACACACATCTTCGCCGACGACCACCCAAGCGAATCAAGACACGTTGCGAAATTCTCCTAAGGCAAGGCACTATTTTAAGTCGTCGATGTTCCCCAAGTTCCGTAGGTTCCGAAAAATTGAGATCAGCGAGTAACAAGGAAAATCGTAATTGCGATCATTAGGTAAATGACTCCATGCGTTACGGCCAGAGGTCTCCGCAACATCAGTCGACGCAGGGTTCCAGCGTGGTTCACCTCCCAACGGATTTTGAGACGATGGCGACTCCTCAGGAGCCCGTACCAGGTAGTAGCAAGGAGTCTCACGCCTCGCCGGATATATCGTTGTTTAATCGGCTTCCTCCCGAGGTATTCGGTAAGTACGACTTTATTAATTACATATTTATTCCATCGTTGACCACAATTAACACCGACGGTCATTATCGAATGTGCGGAACATGGGGCAACGGTCATCTCGATATTCGATACCACGAAAGAATTAACAAATTATTACATCGTAACACTTTGTAACTAATTGACTCAAGTGCCAATTAGTTATGCACCGGATACAAGTTTACAATCGGAAGCAAATGCGTGACCTCGACGAGAGATGACCCGCGGACCGAAGAATCCTCTGACTCGCTTATTCGGTCCTTGACGAGTCGATCTGGATTTCAGGTTTAACCGACTGGGAGGATAGTGACATACTCTCGCAAGTGCTGGCAACTTCGCAACAAGAATACCTGGACAGCCTGAAACAATCGCGAGTCTCCGCTCCCATCGGAGCCGACACCAACAATCTAGAATCTAATAACAGTTAATTCGTAGGGAGCAATCGTCACATCCTTAAAGTTCAAAAAGTGGTCATCGGAGGGGGATCCAGATTTTTACGATCCGTGACATCGTCTGTGTTATCCTCTTCGTGCCGGGGCCGTTGCGACACGACCTGGCCCCGTGTCTCTTCTTTCTCTCGAGCAAGAACAGCTACGTTTGACACGTCCGATGTCGGTCAGGAATGGTCTTCGCGATCAAGTCACAGGACCCTGCGAGCGTACGTATCGCCAAATCGATACCGTACCGGGTTGACGGGTCCCGACGTGTGACTCCATTGGCATTTTTTTTCCTCTTATTTCCCTTTATTCTTTTTTTTTTTTTATTTGTTTCACTGTAAAGTAGGTACGTACTTTTTGGTTCCCTGGATTCTCGTTGAGCGGTCAGCTCCCTCGGGAGTTGGAACTCTGGCTCTCGAGGTATTCCTTGAATTATTTCCGTGCTATTCTCGGTGCGATCTCTGGGACTATCGGATCTCTCGAGCCGTTCAATAAGATTCAGGACTTTATCCGATTACTCGGCTTTAGTTTCTTTTTTTCGCCGTATTTCATTTCCGATCCTAACAGTCATCTTGTTTCTACGCTCCCACTGGGCCGAATAAAGGCGGTATTTATTTCCTCGGCTAGGCGTAACCGTTCTTTCTTGATGTAACACGATAGGCCAAAACGCTTTAGAAGACTTGGTTGCATTATTTGTAACAAAATGAATGAATAAAATGATTATGACTAACCCAGGAAAAGCGTATTGGATGTTTTAAATCGGTAAGGTGTTTAAATCAGCCGCGAGTTCGTCACCTTCGTCGGATTCGCTATCGTTTCCATTGTACCGAGACGACCTTGACCTTATCTCACATTTATCGGAAATTGGTATCGTTCTAAGCGATCGTAAGAAATTTAGATCCCGATTTATTGGAGACCTAAGCCATCGTAAACACGAGTCCGTTACCTGTGACCCACGGTCGCGTTACGGCAGTATATTCGTAAATTCCTTCGAGATAGAACGTGTTAATTCAACATGCCAATCAGGGATTACAAGTTTGAACTCATTCTGGGCAGGGGGACGTTTGGGTAAGATTGTATCGATACTTTGGACAAGTGTCGTGAAAAATATTTTTATTCGAAGTATAAGAACGGTTCATCAAAAGTTAAAATATTGTGAAGTATGATTTTCAAGTTTGTGGTGTTATTTAAAGTGTAACCAATGAAGTAAGTCATCGAAACGTTATTCTCAGGACGGTTCATTTGGTGAGACGATTCAGAGATGGGAAACCGTTTGTTATAAAAGAGCAAGACTTGAACCCTTCGTCGTACCGATCGTTCCAGGTATTTGACCCCACTTTGATATCTCGGAAATTAATTATCTCGCATTAACTCGATATTTATGACCGAATCCTAAAGATGGTGATGGCAGAAGTGGATTGCTTGAGGAAGATGAGGCATCCGAATATTATCTCTTATCGTGGCGCTTGGAGTGAAGACAATCGCAGCTATATTCTGATGGAGTACGCAATGCGCGGTACTCTAAAGGATTTGCTGAAGAAGCAACAAGAGCCCTTGAAAGAAGAAGTGACTCTTTCAGTATTCTATAAACGCAAAGGTTTCGTCACGTCGTATATTGAATTGATCCTTTCTTTTACCCAGGATACGCTTTACCTCTTCTCCCAAATAAGTCTCGGAGTTCACCACATACATTCGAAGAACGTGTTACATCGAGATCTGAAGCCAGAAAATATTATGCTGACCGGACGAAGGGCCGAAATCGTAAAGATTGGAGATTTTGGAGTGTCGCGAAGCGTCAACGAGTATACCCGCCCTTCCGTCTCTCTCTCTTTTTTTTTTCACGAGAAATAACGTAAGACTGATTGGTTATTTTTTCCTGGAACCTATCCAGATTGTCCAGATCGCACGCCGGCTCTTACAATTACATGGCCCCGGAAATGCTGAAGAAGGAGCCGTGCGATTTCAAGTGCGACATTTGGAGCATGGGCGTCGTCCTCTACGAAATGGTCGCAAATCGACTTCCCTTTCCAGCCCAGGTAAAACTCCGTCCGGGGGATTCGCAACCGAAGAGTAAATTCGATATTTAGGAACGGATCGTTTTCTCCCGCTTGATATTTTTCAGACGCAAGAAGAGATCGTCGAGATGGTATGCAACGCGAGGCCTCGTCCATTACCTAGGAACACTCGAATAGACACGGTGAACCTCCTGTCCAAGATGCTGCGCCGAGACGCGGAGCGACGACCGACCTCCTATCGGGTGGTCCACTGTCCTTATCTCGTCCCGTCCATCATTCGAGTCTGTTTGAACGTGGGTCGAAATCCGAATCACGCTGAGTGGAACGCCGAGAATTTGGAATATCATCAGTTCGAGAGGTTCTTGAAAACTCGGGACCCATTCCCCATGGAGGAACGGCGTCCTCGACGGCGAGCCATTTAGGAATCGGTCAAAATCGATATCCATTTTTGGAGACGGACTTTTATCAGCGTTCCGAAAGGCGCGTTACGTTCAAGAGATGTCCCAACTTTTATATCGAAGGACGGCGAAGGCTTTTGTACTCCACGATCGGTCGGACGATCTCGGATGCGAGCCTATACGTTCCATCGTCGCCGTTCGACCGATTTCGCTATCGAACGTTTACCCTCTTAAATAAGGTTATCGACGGGCGCATCCGGTAAACCGGGTCGTCCCGTCGGACTCTGGCGAATAAATTAGTTTGGCTGAACGAAGAAAAGCACGTGCTCGGACTCGCGACCGACGGATGCGGCTCCAATTAATCGACGCATCGGCCTGGGTGGCGTTGCGCGAAGGCGATAAAGATCGCGTCAAAGAATGCCGACCCCTCGGGTGTAACGCCACGTTGTCAAAGGACAGTTATCGAACCCGAACGCGACGCGATCGGTGCGTGACGGGCGGAAACGCTTTCCGGAACTCTCGGTGACCGTTTCCGTCGGTGGTTCGTTCAGTTCGCGCCTCGACCGCGACTGGAAGAGTTCTTCGATCCCGCGAGGCAAAGTTTCGTTACCGACCCGTCAAGTTCTCGTTTAACTCGGTTGGCTCGGCGAGTTGCCGGGGAAAACGAATGCGGCGAGCGCGTCGCGTCGGAGTAGCCAGCGAGTTTAAATTTAAGCGATGCGGAGCGGACCGATCCGCGATTGGCGCGCGCGATAGCGCTGAATTCCGATCGGTCGACGACTGGCGCGCTCTTTCGAACCACCAATGGAGATGCCAAAGACGCTGTTGGTGTTGGTGGGTTTCCTTCACGCGACTCTCGCGGCGCCGTATCCCGGGGGGGAGCAGGCGGACCTCGTGGACGTTCCGGGAGACCCGACTCCCGTCTGGACGGAGGACGCGACGACGGGGCGCGCCGGCGGGTCGGAGCCTCGAGATCGCGAGCCGCTGGACGAGGTCGAGCAAATCGAGCCCCGACAGTGGCCCGGCAGGCCGGACCTTTTCCCCACGCGAGGCGTCTTCCCTTCCACCACGCGGTCCTCGGTCTCCGGGAGGATTCCCTCCCCGACCACTCTGGCGCAGAGAAATCCCTCCACTCAAAGGTCGGAGAGCCTACTTTTTCTTGCGAATGAAATTTCCAGAGAAGAGATCTCTTCGATAAATGCGGAATTTTAGATATCCCACCGTGACGGTCCCACCACCGACGGCGACCGTCGACGAGGTCTTCTGCGACTTCGGCCCGCTCCCCGTGCAGTCTCTGTGCGAGTGGCGGAATGGAAACGGGGCGCTGCAGTGGACGCCCGGGACCGGGCTGGGCACCAACTGGCTGGGCGGTCCGGCGAGCGACTCGACTTCCGGGACCATGGAAGGAGGGTAATTCCGGCATCTTTTGGAATTTCTTCGCGAGCGTCCCTACCGCTACCCCTTTTTTAACGAACGACGTTACGAATTCGAGGTACGCGTTTCTGGAGACCTCGAAGCTGCCGCCAAAGGACGCGAAGTCTCGAAGTCCCGGAGGCTTTCTGCACAGCCCTCAGCTGGGAAGCACCGGCGTTTCCGGAACGTGTTTCGCGTTTAAATACGCAATGGACGGACTTAGCATCGCCGGCCTGAGGGTTCTCCTTCACGTGGGGGTCGACGAGTACTCCGCCAAGAAGGAGGAGACCGACGAGATCGTCCCGGAAAACGGCACGATTTCGACTTCCTGCGCCCCTCCGGAGGTCGGAGAGGAGCGCGTCCTCTGGCACGCGCAATACTACGTGCTCGGAGTCTGGCAGCAGGCGCAGATCCTCTACACTTATCCCGAGATACATTCGGTACTTTTGCCCGGATCGACTCCTTTGACTCGTAGAACGTTTTGGAATATTTTACCACGTTTCGCGAAACTTTGCAGCTGATAATCGAGGGGGTCCCCGTGGACGCCGCGGACCCGTCTCGCCTCTATCGAGGCTACATCGCGATCGACGACGTGGATCTTCAGCCAGGAATCTCTTGCGTCGGATTCTGCGACTTTGCCGGAGGTTTCTGCGACTGGAGCAACGACGCCGAGGACGATTTCGACTGGACGATCGTACGTGCCGGACCGACTCGACTTCCCCGAACGATCTCAAACGAATTCGCCCGTTGCAGAGTCGAGGAAGCGGAAATCCAACGACGGGTCCCGCGATGGACAGCTCCAGCGACCGAGCCACGGCCGGAGGATACGCCTTCGTAGACTCCAGCTTCCCGAGAAGACCCGGGGACACCGCCAGACTGATCAGTTCCAGCTTTCCTTCCACGGGCTCGGACGCTCCGATGTGCATGCATTTTTGGTTCCACATGTTCGGTTCCGGAATAGGGAACCTGAAGATATATTTGCGGCACTTTCGCAGCTTGGACTCTCGGCTGGAGGAGATGTGGGCCCTCGGTGGCAACGCCGGCAACGCCTGGTTCATGTCGGAAGTGACCGTCAGTTCCCTGGAGGATTTTCAGCTGATCTTCGAAGCCTCCGTCGGCAACACCGGCATGGGCGATATCGCCATCGACGATGTCACGTTTACCCCTGGACCGTGCCCAGGTATTTCGAGGAATTTACGATTGAAACCTTTACGATTGAATCTCGTCGTTAACGTCCTTTGTCCCTTGGAACCTAAGTCTCGCCGCAGGTGGCAGCCCGAGTTCCTCGGGATTGCACCTTCGAGATCGACGAGTGCGACTGGATCAATTCGAGGGATCCGGACCGCGTCGAGTGGGAGAGAGTATCGAACCAAGTGCTGAGTCCTCGGAACCAGAGAAAGCCTTACAGCAACGGGCACACCGTCAGTCGGCGAAACGAATACTTCTTGGGGCTCGGACGATCGAGAGGAGCGTCGCGCAGTAGCGGGGGTGGCACCGCGCAATTGATCGGCCGAGAGATGAAGGGCTCCGAAGATCCCCTGTGCATAACCTTTTGGTATTTCATGTTCGAATCGTTCATCGACTCCACGGGTCCCAGTTTAGGTTCGTTCCCGCGGGGAATTCACGTTTCTTTCGAACTTGGACCGATCTCCTTCGATCTCGGTGGATTCACTCGTTACGATTTTATAGGCGTGTTGAGAGTCTCCGTTCAGGTCGTCGGCGAACCGTCGAAAGGGTCGAGACCCGTGTGGCAGCTGTACAATAATCAGGGTCCCACGTGGAATTTCGCCCAAGCCAGCATCAATCAGCGGAAGGACTTCAACGTGGTCTTCGAAGGAACGTGGGGTCCGAATCGAGCGAGCGGAAGCATAGGCATCGACGATATCGCATTTTATACAGGAAATTGCACCGGTAATTCCCAACTTCCCGTGAGCCAGAACGGAAACGGAAGGTAGAAAAATGATTTCAGTGCGACCACCGAGCGCGGCCGTGAAGCCCCAAGACTGCAGCTTCGAAAAGGGTCTCTGCGGATGGGAGAACGTCACTTCGTCCGTGAACGATCGAGCCGTCACTTGGCAGCGAGCTTTCGTAACTCACAGGCCGGCCCAATTGCTGGACAAGACTTTCGGCGCGACCGGGGACTTCGTCTTCTTCGACATCTTCACGACCAACCAGAAACTCACGGAGGTTCGGCTGAGGTCGCCGAGGATAGGAGCGTCTCCCGACGAGGAGGCCATATGTTTTACGTTTTGGTTCGCAGCTTTCGGAGTAGAGGAGTCGACGACTCTTCGCGTCGTCAAAGTCCCCGCCGATCTCGACGTAAATGGAAACAACGGAAACGGCAACGGAAACGGCGAATCCGAAAAGGAACCGGTACTCCGTGTCCAATTAATCTTCATTTTTTAACTAAGCGAGCAACCTGGCAGTCGTTAAAACGGACCGACGAATTTCGATAATTCTTCGGTTTCAGCTTTGGTCGCTCGCGGCAAAGGGCTTCAACGATCCTAGGCCGGCCTGGACCGCGGCTCAGGTGACGGTAGACGCTCGGACCCCTTACCGGCTCATTTTGGAAGGAAGCGCGAGCAACGGGGGATTCGCCGTCGACGACATTAAATTTCAACCGCGAGCGTGTCCGAGTGAGTGTTCTCTATCTCGCAACGGTGGGATACCTTCCCTGTAAAGATACTTTTACCTCGACTCGTACCTTTGCAGCTCGTCCACCCGCGGCTCAACCGGTCGTCAACGCTACGTAGCGGCTACGCAGAAATCGCAGCCACGAAGAGTCAGGCCCCATTAATTCTCACCCTACGTGAAATGTTGTCCCGATTATTTATCACGTAATAAAGAAAAATGGATAAACGTAAAGACTCTGCGCTCAAATTTCTCAGCAGCGACTATCTCATCCGTTCCGCGAAAGGTCCCGGAAATTCGATCGCGAGACCAACGGCGTTTGAATTTTCCGCGCAAAGATGGCGGCCCGCGGTTGCCCTCTGCCGGCCGACCGGAGACTCGCTTCCTTCCCCCTCCGAGCGGCTCCGAGCGGCACCGAGCGGGGCCGTCAGGCGGTCAGTGGAGAATACGGCGACGCGGAGTGCGGAGTTTTCTCGAAGATCCAGCGTCGGTGCGAGCCGTACGACATTATGACCCGCTTGACCGGGCCGAACTATCTATCGCCAGCAGCGAAACGCGTCGCGTCGCGATAAACGCGGTGTCCTCGGTGACCAGGGCGAAGCCGTCTCGTCTCGCCGAGCCAGGACCGAGCCAGGACCGAGCCAGGACCGAGCCAGGACCGAGCCAGGACCGCCCGGGGCAGCTGCGCCAAGGGCAAGGGCCAATAGGTACGCGCGCCGCGTCGCCGCCGCGACAGGATGCCGCTCTTCGGGAAGAAGGACTCCAACAAGAAGCTCAAGAAGGACGGCAAGGACGAGAAGTCGCCCTCCGTCGACGACAAGTACGTCCTCAAGGAGCTCCTTGGCACGTAAGTGGTCCACCGGCTGTTTCCCTTTTTCGCGGGATCTTTAAAGGGCCCCTCCCTGCTTCTAACCTTGGTTTCCTCCCGTCCGGGTCCCTTTGACGGAGGGGCGAGCAGGTGGCGAGGGGATGTTTACGCCGCCGCGGTCCGGGGATCTTTTTTCAAACTTGGGATGCCGGGGGAACGAGGAAACGATCCGTGAGGATCTTGGCTCGATTCCCTTTTGTTCGCTCTTTGTTCGGTGTTACGGTGTTAAAGAAACCGTGGACGCTCGGAATGTGACGTAGCAAGGAAGGCGTATTTAATCGAACGTCGATCGAGGGAATTAACGCAATACGTGCCGTTACGTCAAATAATGATTCTCCTCTCGACGTCGGAGCTCTCGTGCGTATTTTCTGTCTCCGATCGGGCTCGTTACATACGAGCAACGTGTACAAAATTAATGGCCGAACGACAACTATCGAAATCTAGGAATTTATCGTTTACGAAAAGCTCGCTGCAAATAATTGTCGTGTACAAAGAAACCTCTCCGGGTAGTCCGAGATAATGCCCTGCAAATATGCACGGTAAATAGACAATGATTCTTAAGGTGAAGTGAAACCCTGCTGAAATCGGTCGATTCGAATACAGTATTTTTTAAGGGTATTCGACCAAACCGTCCGAAACTTTGACACATGACTCGTGATCATCTAAGAATTGTCTTGACGCATTCGACGTTTGGATTTTTCAACCAAATTTTTTAACTTATCTCAGACCAGAACCAAAATGGCGTCGAACTCTCGTATTTCGATCAATATACAATTATTAAAGGCTCTGATATGAGAAACGAAAGGGTCAGAACAATTTTACGACAATTTAGAACACTCGGATAATCGATAAACTCGCATTTGAATGGGATAAAGGCAAAAAAAGTGTCTTATGCGCTTCTATGCTAAAACGATGGGAATACGGGGTCTCGGAGTGAAAATTTAATTGACCTGGAAATCACAGATGGCGCAGGGTGTCCCTCTGCAGTCAACCAGGGCCCGAGAAAGCATGAATGCAGTGGATTTCTGGAGTTTTACTTCGATTTCTTTATAATTATTCTACGAAAACGACAGGTGGAGCATACCATTTGGTACAATCCCCGATATAATTCGACGTAGCGGTCGATACGAAAACGAACATCGGGAACGTAGGTATTTAGAAAAATCTTGTTTATCGACGTCGATCAAATTCCTCGACGTGTTTCACTTCACCTTAAGTAACCGATGTTCTTATATACTACGATGTCGTTTCCATCGCCGTTGGACATATATGTGACTAAAATCTTTACTTCGATTAATACATTTATCTTACCTTATATCGTGCCATTAAGAGAGTATATTTTTAAGTCCAACGGCGGACGTCTTATCGTCTGAATCTATTTTCTATCGTGGAAAATAGATCATGGCGCTCGATAGATATTAATCGTTGGATTTAGCTTACTTATCTCTTGCATAAGCGTGAACTCGTGGAACTCGATGTCGACCAGGGAAGGGTGTACGGAATACATTCGTCGCGATAAGCCATTAATCCTGCTTTAATTTTCTGTCCAAAGTATATTTTTGACGACGTATCCGAGTTCGTTATAATTTTTTCTAAATCACGGCTCTTGAGAATTTACCTTACGTATAGAGGAACGGAATACATTTTGTAACGTATTTACATGAAATCGATAACTTGGTTATCGGGGTATTCGAGCATTCTTGAACTTGGAACAATTATTTGATTCGATGTTAGAACGTGGTCGTTCCGTCATTTAAATTTTGTATCTTGTTACTGAAATAATTGTGCTTTTTGGCAGGGGTGCCTTCTCGGAGGTAAGGTTGGCGGAAAGCAAAGAGAAGCCAGGCCAAATGTTTGCCGTGAAGATCATAGACAAAAAGGCATTAAAAGGAAAAGAAGATTCCTTAGAGAACGAGATCAAAGTTTTGAGAAGGTAGGTTTAACGAAGTAACGCCGCATTTAAGTCGTGCCAGTTGTTGGATTAGCTAACTTTTTTGCCATTCGATGACCGAGGATGTACCGTTTCGACGAGTATAAATATCTTTGAAGAATATATTTTTTCATCGAGGAATAACCAACGCGAGCACAGCGGACGACGATCTCGATCGAATTCCGACACTTTCTGCATGCCTCCTATTATTACGCGCTTCCTATATTTAAAGCATTTCGCGCCTTGCGTACTTATATCGCTCTTACTTTGTTATATTACATTTGACTACTTATCCAATTAGCGTAGAAAACAATGAAACTAATTCAGGAAAGGTACGGAGCGCGTCGAACTTCCTCCGTGGATGGCTCGCTTCGCCGAGGAACGAATGCTCCCCATCGAGAGGGTGGAAACGTTCTCGGTACCTTTCTTTGAAGTCGTAAATCTTCCTACTACGTAATTATCCTCGATTACCCGCATACATATATATACACATATAGTATATCGATATTAACACACACTATATATATATATATGTATTCTGCAATTGCACCCGTTTTACTTTTTTGACACCGAGACCGTGAGTGTGCTGCGAGCAAGGAAACCGGTGTGAGAACGTTCCGATGGCTGCCATCCACCCTGTCCACCCCGTACCGTTCCCTGTGTCGTGTGCTAATTCGAATGTTTGTCACAGGCTAAAATACTTACTGTATCTTCACGCACTCTTTGTATCCCATATATAGGGACTCGGCGAAGAGGTTAGCTCGCCGTTCGCGACACCGTCGCGGGATCCGAAACGTCTCGAGGGACTCGGCTCCTTCGCGTGACTCGTTTGCGTCGTCGTGCCCCGTTAACGGGCCCTCGCTCGATGTCTCGTCGACGTCGTGCCGACTCTTCCGATTATTTCGCATACCGGGAAAGGCGGCAGGAAACGACGTTCGAGGTCCTCGGCGTGCCTCGCATCCGGATGACTCGCGACCCCAACGATCGGCGTTTAGCGAGATAACCCATCAGCGCCGATTTGACCTTTTTTCGATCGATCGGATGACGATTTACTTCGCGCAAATCCCGATAATCTGGCGATCCGTGAACGAAACGCGCCCGCACGCCCTTACGTTTCGCGGACATCTCCCGGGTCTCTCTTTCCCTCGGTCCTTCGCGGCGGAAATGGGCTTCCACTCGTTGAACTCGATTTATATCACCTCGTTTTATTTCCCGCAAAATTCTACGATACGCCGAATTTTCGCTCGTTTTCTACTTTCTTTTGCATACTTTTCCGTCCGACGGCGCTTTCGATTAAGCTTTTCCATTTTCTAGAGAACGGGCGGTGGAAGGTGCTTTCCTCCTCGATTTCCAGAGAACGGGGGTCGCGTCCGATTTGCATGTAATAGATTTCAAGGGAGACTTTACGACGTTTCTACGGTCGCGGTGGTTTCGATTCCGAGGCGCGGCGTTATCGTCGGTTACCGACACCGGGCGTCCTTCGTTTCCGAGATACTCGAAACGCGTTCCTTCTGGTTTCTTCCCTGTCGCGATCCAAATAAAACGACGGAGCGAGCTTCCCGGGGAAAGCTCGGACCGGAGGTCCCTCGACCAGTCGGCGTTTCTTTGGAGATAATGGAAAAGGGAACGAGGGAAGCGAGAGGGGAGGGGCTCGAGCTGCGTTCGAGATGTACATTGTGTAATCGAGTACGGTATTGTTAATTCGTAGGTTCAGTGAAACGGTGACACCACAGAGTGGTGACGGCCCGTTCAAGTCGACTAGTAGTGGCGAAAGAGGATGGTAAGTGCGGGCCCTGCACCCGGGCACCAGCTGTGCCTGTACCGCTCCATGTATACGTATATATATATATATATGTATAGCTATATACATATATATAGCAACGATTTGCCGTCGAACGACGTCCGCGGAATATACGTATTCTCCGTCCACCGTTCGACGGGAAGTCATTTCCACGCCGTTTACGATATATATCTCTGCATACACCTCTCTCTCTCTCTCTCTCTAGATATATATACATTTAATCCATAAGATACACACTTTCATATAAAAATATTCCATATTCTCGATATCCCTGCAGACCCGCACGTCCACCGAAAGTGCAAATTCCTCCTGCACGTCCCACGCACGACGCAACACCCCTCTGGTATCCTTGTCACGCCCGCGGTCCGAACGCGACACCACGTGGAAAAGTACTCGGGATGCCGAGCGAGAGAGAGGGAAAAGGCCGCGGAGAAGCGAACGGAGAAAGCGGAGAAGTCCGCTTGGCCCCTCGGCCCCTCGGCAGCGTTAAGGTCGATTCGTCCCATACGAGGCGGTCCGGCGCGGCCCGACGCGGATCGGCTTCGACGGAATCCGCGGATCGCGTCGGATAGGGCGAATCGACCTTTATCGTTCGAGAGGGACGCGGGTTCGGGAGGATGCCGCGATTGCCGTCGGCGCGGTTTTTTTATGCTTCTTAAAAATTGATAGAGGTTGCCCGAATCGCTGACCCTTGCCCCCTCCCACTCGGGGCCCGCAAGAATATTCCGTCGAGTCGAAAGACCGTCCCGGATGGCTCGTTCGCTCCGTGGAAAGAGAAACGACGTAAATATCGGACGACGCGCGCGTTATTGTTGCGAGCCGATAAAAGCGATCAATGGTCGTAGGCCGACCACTTGATTTACGTAACCATTATCGCACGGTAGTCCGTTATCGGCGAAGGTCTCCGATCGCCGGTGAGTCCCGTTCGGAAAGTACGAATACCGATCGCGACCCGTTTCGCGGAGTTCCCGGTCGACGTGGCTTTCCTTTGGCGCGTCGTCGGTCGCTTTCTCCGTTCGCCAACTTTTGGCCAATTTATTTACCATGGACTCGTTCCCCGAGTCTCCGCGGAAGTCGTTCCTCGGCGCGACCGTCGCGAAGGGACGGTCGAGCTCGTCATCCTCCGTTGGGTTTTCCATGGGAACCAGCGTGGACGCGTTCGACCCGAAGCGACATTTTTCCTCGTACCCACCTCTCCTCGTGGACCGCTCGTTGGGAACGGTTGGTAACTCGTTAACGCGTAACTTAACACGAGCATGTGCAAATCGGAGCTTGCCCGTTGCGCTTGCCTGGAACGTAAATCGCATGCGGATTACTTTTTTTCTTGGGTTTTTTGTACCCCCTCCTGCACGTTCGCCGCACGAGCGCCGGCTCGCTTATTTTTTTTTTTTCCTTCTTTTCTCCCCGTCCCGGCGATGCTTGGTTTATTAATTTTTAATTTCCCCCGGAGGGGGAAACGGCGGGGCAGAGTTCAAGGGTCCTGTCCAGGTGCCGCGTCGAATGCCGCGTCGAATGCCGCGTCGAATGCCGCGTTTGCTCTTCCAGCGGCGGACGTTCCTGGAGAAGGGGTCCTCGAACGTCCGGTTAACCGCCGGGCGACCGTTTCCGCCCAGCGACTTAAACTCGGTCATCTCGGAGATGCTCGACGGGATCGATCGAGTTTCGTCGTTAACGAGACGTCGAGGGGGAGCGTAGGAGACCGATGGATCGCCGGGGAGGAAGTCGACGTCGCGGATCCGTCTCGTGGCCGAGATCGAGCGCCGCCGTTTCTTTGGGCGTTTTATCTCCCGCGTGCCGAGAAGGCCCCCTTATCGAAGTTTCGCGAGGTTCCCAGGACGCGTCGGTAAATCGGTCGTTCGATCGGCAAACCGGTCGCGTTGCGCAACGAGTACGTCCCAAGAGATTCAGGCACGCGTCGAAAAGTCATTCTCTCCGCGGGATAACTTTCACTTCGTCGATGGCAACGCGAACGAGGTCCTCCCGGTTCGTCGCGTATTTCGGGTCCTTCGATCCTTCGCGACGGCGATCTCGTCTCCCCCGAGAGGCGGATCCGAGTAATCGGGGCCGGGGGAATCCATCGCTCGCCTTCCGATCGAAACAAGAGGCGTCGGGACAAATGCGTTAATATTCCGGGCACGGGGGGTTCCACGCAGCCGGTTAACGAGCGGATCGTTTCTCTCGAAACGCGACCGAAAGGCCGACTCAAAGGCCGAAGGCCAAAAGACGCGTCGCGGTTCCAAGGCGTCGGGGGAGTCGATCGACGGTCGTTCGTACCTTGGGAAATTCTATCGAGGACGTCGGCCAAAACGGCGCGGGGTCGTCTTTCCCCGCTCGGAAATCCGCGGCGTCGACGAACGAGAGAAAAGTTGGGCGCTTTGGGTGGCGTTTCGCCGGCACTCGGACGGGAGAGGCGGAGCGGGGCAACGCTGATCGCGAATCGTCCAACTGTTTCAGGCTAACGCATCCGAACATCGTGCAGCTGCTGGAAACGTTCGAGGACAAGCACAAGGTCTACCTGGTGATGGAGCTGTAAGTCGAGGCGGCGAGGCGCCGAGAGGGTGTCCGAGAGTCGAGCACTGACCGGGAATCGTGCGTTTCAGGGTGACCGGGGGCGAGCTCTTCGACCGGATCGTGGAGAAGGGCTCCTACACGGAGAAGGACGCCTCGGGGCTGATCCGGCAGGTGCTGGAGGCGGTGGACTACATGCACGAGCAGGGCGTCGTTCACAGGGACCTCAAGCCGGAGAACCTTCTTTACTACAGCCAGGACGAGGACAGCAAGATCATGATCAGCGACTTCGGCCTGTCCAAGATGGAGGATTCCGGAATCATGGCGACGGCCTGCGGCACGCCGGGATACGTCGGTACGTTTCTCTCGGAACCGAGGTCTCGACCCTTCGCGGTCGACTCGCGAGGTCGGCCTCCGGGCTCCGGGACGGGAAAGACTCACCGTGACGACCGTTCGCAGCCCCGGAGGTGCTGGCGCAGAAGCCTTACGGCAAGGCGGTCGACGTCTGGAGCATAGGAGTCATCTCGTACATCCTCCTCTGCGGGTACCCGCCGTTCTACGACGAGAACGACGTCAATCTCTTCGCGCAGATCCTGAAAGGTAAGCTCTCGGAATCGCGCGCAGGCCGAAGAGACGCCCCCGCGAGCTCGGTATCGACGTCTCCCTTTTCATTTTTCGAGGCGCACCGCTTAACGCGTGCTCCCGCGTTTCCGCGTTTCCGCGTTTCCGCGGTCCGAGGGAAAGGGGGGCGTCCGTTCGGAATTTGGCGGAGGGAGGGAGGCCGTGGCAAGGAGCTAACCGGACCGTTGTAGGTGAATTCGAGTTCGACTCGCCGTACTGGGACGACATCAGCGACTCCGCCAAGGACTTCATCCACAAGCTGATGTGCGTCAACGTCGAGGAGCGGTACACCTGCAAGCAGGCTTTGGCGCATCCCTGGTGAGCACCCCCGTCCTTCCGAGCCGTCGTCGGTCGACTGACGCGCTCTTCCTCTGTTGCAGGATATCCGGCAACGCGGCCAGCAATAAAAATATCCACGGTACGGTATCGGAACAACTTAAAAAGAACTTTGCCAAGTCAAGGTGGAAGGTTAGTATGGAGCGGTGGTTAGCAGGGGGCTGATACGCGACATGGTATGTTTGCTCGCCAGGCTCCGTAGGAAAGTCTCCCTGTTGTCTCATGGTTGCAGCAAGCGTACCACGCGGCCACGGTGATCCGCCAGATGCAGCGGCTGGCCCTCAACAGCGGCCAGCAGCACCAGGGCCCAGGACCGACCGGCCCCTCCACCGGCCCCTCCACCGGCAGCCCCACGCCGCGCCCCGACCCCAACCACCGCAACCCCCCGCCGACCCCGAGCGGCCTAAACTGAAGTCGGCGCCTCTCCCTCTCCCTCTCCCTGTCCCTCTCCCCCTCCCCTCGCCCGGACCCGCGCCCAAGTCTCGCGCCCTCCCGGTATCGCCTCCCGGCTCGCCCCTCTATCTGCACAACAAGCGCTTCCGGCTCTGGGGCGACACGCGCACGGCCCTTTCCACGCTCTTCAGGGCCAACGTGTCCTACTTGAGAAAGCAGCGCAAGCACAAGAAGAGCTGAACGTCCTCGGACCGCTGTCGCTTGGAATCGCGAGGTCCGCGGGTCGCCCGGGGCTCGGGAAGGACTTTCCCGGGACGTTGTAGATGCTTCGAAGCGGCGAGAACGACGCCGGGTTCGTTATCGGGCCGAGGAGAAGGGTAGTTTCCTTTTGACGGTATACGAGAGCGCGACGTAGAAAGTAATATATGTAAATATATTATGAATCTCTTTTAATTCGTAAAGCGAGGGGCCCTCGAGGTGTCGGCGCGACGTAAGATTTACGATTCGCGCGGATGGAAGGGAAGTCTCTCGATCGCCGGCCCAGGGTTTTGCCATCCCTGCCCCGAGGAAGGAGCGCGGATGCCAGCCGCGATTCGGGTCGGGCTATCCGCCGACGCGAGAGATTCCTTCTCGTTACCGTTGTAACGTTTTATTTTCGCTTTCGGAAGGACGAAATCTAAACACGGTTTCGCGGGGCACGAGCGCCGACGAGCTTCCGGGGCGAATCGACGCGGAATCGATAGCGGATCTTCTCTCCGGGAATCTCGGTTCCCGTTTTTTTTTTTTTTTTTCGATATTCGACCGATCGCTCCATTCGCGGGAAGCGAGCCCGGCTTCTTCGATGGTTGTTTACCGTCCAGGGGGTAGGACCGACAGGCCGATACCTTTCTTAAACGCGGTTGCCGATCGTTTGCCATTCGCTTCGATTTAGAAATAGCGCGAACGTGTACATACGTACGATTCGGTGATCGCGGGATCGATCACGCGGTAAAACCCGTTGCTTCCGGTCCAAAGGATACGGACTCCGATCGATTTCGTTGCGTCCGGATTCTTTGACGTTGAGCGCATCCGGAGGTCAATCGACCCCGATCGAAACCTATATCGTCTCTTTTACAAAACTCTACGGAAATGGCCACTCGTTTTGAGTTGGCATCCTCCTCCCGTTTCTCGAGCGATGCGGCCGGACGTTTCCTATGCTCTCGCGTTAGATGACGCGTATAGCACGGTTCACCTCCGAACCGACGTCGTCGGCCGCGAAACGTTAACCTAGGCCAAAACGGAAGTAAACGAGTAGTTTAAAGCTTTCTCAAAGGCGACGGGACGCTTCCTTCTCGACCGAGCCTTCGTCCTTCGTTTATCCGCAGCTCCGAACGGAAGTCGTGATATTATCGTAACGAGAACGGCCGCCGCGTTGGACCGATAAGTCCGTCCGAAAGGCGGGCGCTATCGGGACAGGTACGAGAGCGACGCGCGGCTGGGATGAATGGCGTTACGGTTAACGATAATTTTAAGACATAAGAATACACGTATACACACACACACACACACACACGCAATCATTATTGACCGCTGCGAGCTAACGCGAGTAACGATGATTTAGGCAGGGAGAATATCGTACCGGACAAGGTTCTAACGATGTGCTTGCAAGCTCGGTGTCCACGTCCCGGTCGCGAAACCGAGGCACAATAGTCGATACGCGGTACGTGTCCGTTGTCAAGCGATGCATTGGTCCATTCTGGAGTGCCTTCGGATGACATGATGGTGGTTTATAAAAAAGGGACCCCCGACGCGTCCGGGGACAAAGTTCGGGGTTTATACTACGTTGACGTTCCTGCTTGTACTCGAGTACTTACGAATCGTCGTCGCGCGATCAGCTTAAATACCTTGTAAGAGTTCACCGGCGAATCGCCGGGTAACGAGAACGTAACGCGAGTAGACCAGGCGAACGCTAAGTAGAAACTTTGTAAGGAAACGCTCGAGTGTTCGGCTGCACCCGGTAATACCCGATACCTCTACCAATGTACGTTAAACCGAGCCCGACCGAGTCCACTCGGTACCCTCGGTACCCTCGCCCCTTATCCATGACTTCTTGTACAATGGATCTTGTAAAGAGTTTGACGAAGGAACGCGACGTAAGGTGGGCTCGCTGGATCCGTCCACCGTTGAAACCAAACTCCGGTTTCCCGCCAGCAGCGGAAACGTCCCATCGGCGATGCCGAAATTCAAAGCAGATCGACACGGGACGTAATCGTTATCGGCTAGCGCAGTTTGGTTTTAACGACGTTGGAGCAGGGTAAAGACCCTCGGCGAATCCAAAGGACCGTTTACGAGGCGCGCGGACCTGCCAGGCCGCGTATTACATCGATTTACTGTACATCGAGTTTTAGTAACGAGCTTTTCACTTAATTCCCGGTAGTACGTGTACATGTAGCGATCCATTAAAGGAGGTTTAAACCCTTGAAACCCTTTAAACTTGATTGGAAGTACCCAATTACTACCCAACGGGCGAGCTAGAGGCGCAATTCGGGGTCAAAGTACTTCGCGTTACTTCCGCGGAAGTAAAGTGCTTCCTACGCGGCACGTATTCGTACGTTCGATCAACATCATGTCATCTGACTCGGATTCGTTCGGTCTACCGTCTTGAAACCGCCGAAAGCACATCGGCTTATACCGCGGTACGTGCTACGTAAATATTAACATATCGACAGTGGACGAAATAAATTTTACTCGGACACCAATGAACCAGCTGAATATTTTAATTGGTCGTTTGAATGTCGCGAAAACGAGTCGGGGCGAAACGGAAGAGAAATTGTTGGCATAACGAGAGCTACCGACTCCGCGGATGCGAGCCGAATGTTTCTTCGCGTTATTGGAATTGGCTTCGAATATCTTTTCCCTGGTCTCTTGTGGCCGAAAAAATACGAGTAGTTTCCTTGCAAAACGTCGTCAAATTATATTTACGATTGTCCGTCAACGACTCGTATCCTTGGGCCAAACGATAACTGCTTGCCACGGATCTTGGAAAATGAGAACTCGCGATGCGTTTCACGGCGACTCGGGTCTATAATTGAAATCGTTATTTTCGATTTACTCGTAACGAATCTCCCGAAACACTATCGACACGTTATATTAATGTTGTTCCTCGCGATTCGGCCTCCTAAAGTTAACGACATTCGATGTGTAGCAGGGATTAGCTACGAGATATCCGCGGAAATACGACAGGGATGGCTGAGCCATCGTTTGTTAAATATTTTCAGCTAATAAAGATGTTGCGACAATTTGCTGTACGAGCTGTGAAAATATTAATTTTGTGACTTGGCCTTGGGAGAGATATTCGACACGTTTATCCTACTTGCGCTCCTGTTCGCGATCGGTGGATTTTCGCTCCCTCGCAGAAAAGAACTCGACAGACGGCGACAATGTATTATCAAAACTATAGACGCGATGCACGTTTATTGGTTTTCGCGCTTTCATCAAGAGTCAATGTACGTAACAATAGGGTTTAGAAAATAGCGAAGGGTTCGCGTTGAAGGTAGAGGATTTTTCCTTTTGTACAATTCAAGGAAATTTATAACAAAATTCGCATTCCGCGTCGCGACGCGGACATTCACTCTAAATACAATCGATAAGACTACCAAAAAATAATGTGCCGGCCTAGTTGAGTGGTGATTACACTTAAGCGGTATATATACAAAATTACGCGAACGAGAGCTTATCGATTCATCCGTACTAATGTTTCCTCCGACGTAGCACCAATTGTTACATCCTATTACGGTAACCTCCGTTAATGCCCCAATGATCGTTTGGCCAGGCACGCTTACGTCAAATTATACTAACGAGTTGCGGTAGTTCTTCATTTCATATGTAAACAATGACTAACAGACTACGATACATGATTTGAGGAGAAATTTCGTTCCTTCCGGTTTGTGGGGGAGAAAAAATGTCCTAATTGTAAATATACAAAACATTCAAGTCGGACAGAGGTAGGCATTTTTTCGAATACCGGTTTCGAACATCCAACATAGTTACTCATTCGTTCCAAAGTGAAACAATCTGTTTCGGTTTGAAAAGATTACTCCGTGGAATAAGTTAAAATAGTATTCGCCGAAGTTTGCCATGCGAGGTTAGAAATGTATATATAACCCGTAGCGATTGCATCTTTTCTGCGGTAGTCGGTTAGATTATACTCGCGATGGTATTCGTTGTTCATGGGGCACTTCGTAAGAGTTATCGAGTCGAATTCGCAAAACTACCGAATATGTCGATCCGGGTGAATCACTCTCTTCCCAATGTTTCATAACTTTCAAGTTATTCATAGGAACAAAGCCCTTGCCCTCGCCTACTCAGCCGTCGTATGCACCGAGTGCTTCTAGCAATTTATTAACGATTTTCTGGTAGAAAGCAATTTGTTCCGTAAGGTGGTTCTTCATCGCTTGCTTCATGTGAACCTCTCGCTCGGACTGGAAATGGGTCTCTTCGGCCATGACCGCTCTAGCTATTACGTCGGTTCTGTGAGACAGTTCTCGCAGCTGCTGTGGATCCATTTTGTGTTCACTGACTAGTCTTTCGGAGTCTTTTCGTTTTTGTACGGCACTCTAGAAATCAGGAATGACTCGTTTTTAATTGGCTCGGTGGGGTAATCATCTAATAATTTAATGAAACGAACGAGACATTTAATGCAAAATAATAGAATATATTACCTTATGTATACTAATGATATCAGGGAAACTGCTAATGATTCCACGGTAAATATGGAACTTGTCGGAAAGGGGCTCCCAGTCAAACTTTGGCTGCTCCTCGTATAATCTGCCGATATCGTTGTAAGCCTTTCCCGTGATCTTCAGGGCTTGGGTCAGAGTATCTCTGCCACAGTCGTCGCTTTCGAAGACTTGTCCCAGCAACGTGAAGGACTGGCTTATTTTTTGAAACTCTCTTTTGTACAGGACCTGATGTTTTTTCGCTTGATCGACCGCTACCGCCATGAAATTTTTTACCACTGGATCCAGTCCATTTATGAATTTGGCGAACGCATCTATCTGAATTTCCACTTTTATCGAATCAGCCAATGATTCCGGACATTGGATAGCATTGAAATAATTCACCCCCAATAGTTCATCCTTCTCCGCTTGGCGTTTCCCAGCCTTCCATCGCTTCTCGTCGGTACAAGTTATAAAATGCTCCCAAACTCTACTACGAGACAGCACGGGATGTCGACACACGTAATCAACAAATTCTTGAAGCTGCGTGCGTCGATGTTCTATAAATTGCTCTTCGTATCTTCCCGATATCTGTTTATCGGGTAATGGCGGTATTGGAACGAAGCAGAATTTTTCCTCCAACCTTTCGTGTAGCCAATCAAAATGTTTGTATCGCCTTGACACTTGGATATTATTGAACTGGAATGACAAATATTCTCTAGCACGGCAATGAAATAATTAGGGGACAAAGTAGAGAGGAATGCAATACGAACCGTAGGAGTTAATTGGTACACGATAAAGCTTTTCAGGCCTTTGAGTTTGGATTCCTTTTTCGGAGACGTAACGACACAATTATAACTCTCACCCGTCGAAGCCCACACGCACCGATTTCCGTCGATTTCCTCGATGATTATTTTTTCGCTGTCCGGCACGTTAACTATTTTGGTGCCCATAAGAAAGCTATCTTCTCCGGACTTAATCAGGGTAGAGAACTTATTATTCTTCTTTGGTAAATTGGAGACAGGCCTCTCGGGTATTACGGAGTGAATCGTATGCATCGACGCCGTGTCACCATAATCCGGTATACTAGTTTGGGTTCGAAGTACATGTTCGGATTGTGCCGAAGGCACGTACGCTTGGGTCTGCCCCACTTCGGAATCGTCATCCCAATCGTCGTCCCAATAATCGCCTGTGCTCTGCTGCGAAGTTGTCATATTACCTACCGTATATAAAATACATGTACGCCGTTGGTATATTGTTAACTATTGAAATTGTACATTTATTTAGTTGGAGCTATCTAAGCGGATACCTGCAGCAGGAGTTACGGTATCGGACGTTTCTATCGCTTGAACGTAAGCAGCTGGAAACAAGCCCGATTGACCTTTCTGATTGAAACCTTCGCACCACCCATCGCCAACATTGTCTCGCATCACCGTAAGGACTTCTCCTGCGACAATAGACAATTCAGCCGTCCCTGGTTCTCCGGTAAAGTCGTACAGTGCTCGCACCTAAGAGAAAATCATCCATTGTGAATAGAAGAGATATTGTCCGACAACGGGCAACAATGACTCATGTGCCATGAATTGACTTCTTCCGATGGAGTAGGATTTGTAACAGCCGTGCAATCCCACGTACCTGTTGACCCTCCATCCTAACGCCGGCTTCTCGATACTTCTTTATCGTTGTATATCTACAGCGCTGTCACCTGTTTTGCACTTGCAGAAACAAAGCCGCCTAAGCAAACCCTTCCGACATATCTGTGGCTGCCAACTCGCCTTATCGCGAGCCTGACATTTGGGCTCTCAAGTTTGTTTCTTCGGCAAAGTAAATGACACAAGTGTTGCCAACGCATGAAGCAGAAGAATTCGCTAGATGGCTTCTGGTATCACTTATATCGCTTATATCATGGGTGGATAAGCCGGTTCCATTTTCCACAGAGGGCAGCACGATAACGCGATCGTGCGATCCCAGCCTTGAGCACTTCCCCGACTCATCTCCGAAGTCGGTCCAATGGTCGTCACCAGCAGTTTCCAGCAGTTGCCAGTAGTCGTCCCTGGTCCTCACATCGAGTGACGCGGACCGAGTTCTGTCGAGATCCAAAGGCCGCCGAGCACGCGCGTGCGAGTAAATTCGCGTGTTGAGTGTCAATTCTGTCCGCTTTCCCGATTTGATCGTTTATCCAACCGCGAGCGAAACGCGCGATCATGCTCACGGTAAATACCAGGCGGATCGTCGCAGCCGGAGATTTAATCACGGCGGCGGGTGCGCCTCATTTTTTATTTCAATCTGACAACTTGCGAAGGAGCAGGATAACTGATGAGCGATTTATTGTAATTTCCAGTCAGCAGTGCGGGGGATCGTCCGTCGGTCCTTTTCCACCTCGAAATGTACCGCTGCGCAGCAGGTGAGTACCTCGGTTTGCGCTTTCGTTTGTCCGACATAACCTAACTATCGATTGTTGCGACTCTTCTTGATTCTACCCGAATTTAAATGCAAGTTTCGTCTCTTAGGGAACGAATCGCAATTTTAACTTCACGTTCCTCGCGTGTTATCATACGGTATATGTCGAGGATGAATAATTAATAGATCTTGAAGGTCGAGGAAGGTCACTCCATTTACTAATAACTTATAGATAACAAGATTGGTTACCCGGGTCTTAAGAGGAGGCTCGAGAGGGGGAGAGAGACGACGAAAAAAATCGAGGCTCTTTTTTGCATATCTTGCTCGAGATAGATCTATGGATTCTAATTGGAATCGGTTGAATTTAAGAGGGACGAGAGTAACGGAGTCACCAAACGTTTCTACCGTTTACAGATGACAGTGAGAGATGCCCTGAATTCAGCTTTAGACGAGGAAATGGAGAGGGACGAGAAGGTATTTCTCCTCGGAGAGGAGGTAGCTCTATATGACGGCGCCTACAAAGTCTCCAGAGGCCTTTGGAAAAAATATGGAGAGAAACGCGTCATCGATACGCCCATCACAGAGGCTGGATTCACAGGTATCGCCGTGGGCGCTGCTATGGTGGGTCCCGATCGTGTCGACGATAAATCTTGAAATATATCGTTACGTTAAAACATGCCCTTTTCACGTTCGATAGGCTGGATTGCGGCCAGTGTGCGAGTTCATGACTTTCAACTTTTCTATGCAAGCGATCGATCAAATCATCAATTCCGCTGCAAAGACCTTTTATATGTCTGCGGGCAAGATCAATGTACCGGTTGTATTTCGTGGACCTAACGGAGCTGCCGCTGGAGTAGGAGCTCAACATTCTCAATGTTTCGGAGCATGGTACAGTCACTGTCCTGGCTTAAAGGTAGTATCGCCCTACACCAGCGAAGATGCGAAAGGTCTTTTAAAGTCTGCCATTAGAGATCCGGACCCAGTCGTAGTATTGGAAAATGAGTTGTTGTATGGCGTTCAGTACCCTATGTCGGACGAAGCGCTCTCAAAGGAGTTTCTGGTGCCAATTGGCAAGGCTAAGATCGAAAGGGCTGGTAAACACGTTACCTTGGTAGCACATTCCAAAGCAGTCGAACAAGCTCTAGAAGCAGCAAATGAACTTGCGGGAAAGGGTATCGAGGCGGAAGTGATTAATCTTAGGTCGCTTCGACCACTCGACATCGATACTATTGTGCAATCGATAGTAAAAACGAACCATGCTGTGACGGTCGAGCAAGGCTGGCCACACTGTGGTATTGGCGCAGAAATTTCCGCCAGAATCATGGAGAGTAAGCTCATTTAAACGACACTTGAATTTCTCTTCTCTTCTCTGTGTTCAAACCACTAAACAGAACATTTTTCCAGGCGAGGCGTTCTACCATCTCGACTCGCCGGTTATACGAGTCACCGGAGTCGATTCACCGATGCCATATACGAAATCCTTGGAAGCGGCTGCACTGCCTCAAATGCAAGATGTAGTATTAGCCGTTAACTCGGTACTAGGAGTATCAAAGTAGTTGAATAATTAGTTAGTGACATTTATTTGAACGGTCCTCCCTCCTTTCCAGCGATCCCTTGAATCCCTCATTCCTCTATCCCGTCTCCGTCATGTGATGTTTCCAACTAACAGAAGTGAGTACAAACTTGATAAGAAAACGAACGAATTAGCGGTTATTAAGCCAAATGTCTTGTAAAGATTCAAGTGTCACCGGTATTACCTTTGGTTTCGCTATTACCAAGTGGACGATGATCGCTTAAGTTAAGCTTCTACGAGGTGGAGATGCCGGTGAATTGGGTTACGGCATACGCAAGATTGTAAAAAAGAACGAATATAATTATATTCGAGGGTCAAATGTTATTTATTCTCTGCATCGTCGTTAATTGATTTGAATTAATCAATTCTAACATAGTTCCCACAGGTTTACGGGATTCGGTTTCTAACCATGGTTTACCTATTTTTCTTTATATCTCCAGGTTGTTTCTTTTTTAACAATTAAGTCGTGCCAAATTCACTTAATATCGATAGCATGTCACCACTGCATTTGCTTATTAATTATTTATAAAGGGGGGCGAATAAATCGTGATACATTTATCAAGTCATTCTCTGGGTCCCAGTGATTTGCGTTATAACTGGTTCCATGCTTCCAATTTGACGGTAAATCACGTATGATACATGCGTAGAAGACAACTCGTGACTACTTTCATGTAACGTTCAAATACGTCTCGTAAATCACCTTCTCTGAAAATGGAAAATGAAGAGCACCTCAAAATGTGCAATACTATTTTTGAAGAATCAGAAACTCTGCTAGTTGACATAGGTTGCCATTTACATACCTAAGTACATCCATGTCTAGTGCGCACTGAGTATAGGCTGCCAAGAAGTTTCGAAGGTCGGCATGGGACCAATTTACTTGGCGCCAAGGTTCGATACACCGCTCCACCAGTTCCAAGAAAAAGAATCTGAGTTCTCTCGATCGATGCAAATTACAACCTATTCCCAGAATTGCTCGCGAGTAGGATCGAAAATTCACATCCAATTCTTGATACGAACGTTCCAGGAGCGTAGGCTTTAATTTTATGCAGACCAAGCTGAAATTGCATTATCGATGAAATTACGTCAAATGTTACGTACGTGATTATTATTTGTTACAAGAAAGAAAGAATCATATGTTAAACGTAACGAGTGGTCTTACTGTTTATGATGTTTATCGTTCTCCAATAATATTTTGCATTCGGGCAGTTCCAATAAAAATTCTCTATCTAAATCTGTATCAAAATATTCCGACCCGGTATAGCGGTAAGTCCACGAAGACATCATACTGTACGCGCAATGGTACAGATCAGGAAACGTTAAAAACTGCAACTTCCTTTTATTCATTTCAAATCGAAGACACGCTATGAACACTACCGCGGCATATCTCCTGAATAATTGAAAAGAACGCAAATGTGTTATACCGCACGAAATTTAATCGAGTTGAAAATCGGATGCAAATGCATCGTATACCGTACTTGGCTAAGTCTTCGGGCAGAAGGAAATGTTGTCCGATGTTGGTGACCAAAGAACCTGGTAAATCTTCGACGACCTTAAAGATTCTCTTGACATTATCGTACTGCCTGCGACAGCTCTTCAAAGTCACGCCGGTTTTCTCGGCTACTTCGTCCAAATCCTTTCTGCTTTTCGAAGTCAGCTTCTTACCGAGTAATTCTCGCACGACCGAGTCATCGAACTCGTAATACCTATCGAAGAACCAAAAACAACGAAAGAATACATCGTCGGAATCTTTGGTAGATTCGAATACAATTTCTGTATTTTGTTAACATCTCTGACATTTCGATGAGCATACGAGCCGTCTGTGGTTCTATCTGAAACGATAGCTGTTCGCTCGCTAGCTTCGTCGGAGCTTGGAGCAATCTCTCCAAAAGGCAATAAGTACGATAGTGGTCCAAAACGTCGGAAGCAACCAATTCGATCGGAGCATTCGTCTGATAACAAATTCCTCTTTGGTGTAAGATATTGACGGCATCGCTGGCTGTTAAAGGATATTTTCCGGTAACGCTCGTCATTGTAAAGTCACGCCAACGGCTTGGAACGCATTTACAGCTTTACGCATAGGGTCGAAAATCATGAAAATAGCAGACCGAACGAAAACATATATTTTACGAGCAACTCACACGAGTATCCATCTACCCAAAGCTGATAAACCTCTGGATCGACGAGGGTGTAATTGCTTATAAAAACGTCAACCTCGGAAAGCATGATCGAAGGTACGTCGACACGGGTACAGGTTCAAGACGCGAAACTTCTCCCATCGAACCGGGAGGTACGGACCGGTCCGGACCGCGGGGCCATCTGCCGGCGGCATCGGCAGACCACTACCCGAAAGTCAAACACGGCAGCATGGCCGCGTAACGAAGCGGCGAATGATTCGGATCCACTTTCAAACGTACCAACGGAACGGGATTTCTTCCCGAGTCAAAATATGCGCAAGAAAATATACGGATCGATTCCTTTTTCGAGCCCGACGGAAATGGGGCAATTACGGTCCGGTCGCAACGGGGGAGATGCGCGGCAGCGCGGGAATCGAGGGCCGTGCCGGCTCAACAGGTGAGATCCCTCGTCGCCCTCTAAAGGCTAATTTAGGGCTCGATACCGGGAAGAGGAGGGTGCGCCTCTAAATCACCCGCCGGAACGTCGAAACGGCTCTTTAGGAATTCGGTGGACCCTCCGAGGCGGGGGCAAAAGCGCATCCGAATTCTTCCTCCTTTCAAGATTTTTGCTCGCTCTCGCGCTCGCGACCGCGGCGATTCAAACAGGTGTCCGCCCTCGACCGGTCCTCTCGGCAGGCCCCGGAGGTCTCCCGGAGCATTTGGGTCAATCGCGACCCTCCTCGGGATGGGTGGAGGAGCTCGGCCGGCCCTGGTCGCCGCCCACGCCACCCACGCCGCCCACGCCGGCGCGGTGGGGGCACCCACCCGCGCAATCGATAGCGGGCCTACCGCTGCTACTGAATGGACTTTGCCGTCCCCGTGCCCTCCACGCCTGCCCAACCCCCTCTATCGATTACTACGCCCGAGGGGGGTGCTCCATCGACCCGGCCAGCTGTATTACGCTTCATTCAAAAATCTTCGCTCCTTCGGGCTTCCTTCCCGCTTCCTTCCCGCTTCCCTTCCGCTTCCCTTCCGTTTCCCTTCCGTTTCCTTCCCGCGAGCCGATGACGTCGCCTCGCGTCATCCGGCTCGATCCGACTTTCCGTTCCGGGAACGGTCGGGTGGCGGTCCATTCATAAAGTCCTCGGTTTCCTTCCGGTCGCGCGGGGGATTTGGGGGATTTCGGGTTGCCATGGCCACCGTTAAAGGATTCGCCGGGTCGCTCTCCCTTCCGAGAGACGCAAAGGCGACGAGGCCGATTTAACGGAGCGTGGCGCGGCCAGGTGCATCGATCGCGCCTCGTTTCGAGGTTAGGTGGCTTCCATTCGTCCCGCCGCGAGAAGATCACGCTTCGACTCCGTGGCGGTCCGTCCCCTCCCCGGTCGCGGGTGGGTCCAATCGTCCGCCTCGCGGTCGGGTCCTCCGCTCCTTCGGGTCACGGTCCGGGAGCGCGCCGTCGTCGAGGGCCATTGAGAGAGGCGCGGGTCGGTGAATGGAGCGGAGGGGGACGCGGGGAACGGAAGAGATCGATCCCCGACGAGGCGTCGTTTTCCCCCTCGGACCGATCTCGGAAAACGGCGTCGCGGCGGAGCCGAGAATTATTTCCAACTCCGCGCGCGCCGGCTATTATTAGAGGCTCGCCGGTTCCGAATTCGGGCGATCGAGAGTATCCTCCTCCTCCTCCTCCCCCCGTCCCGCCGCTCGCGACGAAGATCGTACGCGCGCTTCTCGCGGTCCAAATATACGCTCGTCGTAGTCAATGACGACTTCCCGGCCTTGCCAGGTCCGGCGCGCGCGGTGAGTCACCGGACGTCCCTTGACCCGACCGGGTCTCCCGGGTTCTCGATTTTTCCCTTCCGCCCCCGCCGAATTCTCCGATTTGAACTTGACTGCGGGGGCGGCGCGGGGGAAGCGACGGAGGGGCAGCCGAGGGGCAGCCGAGGGGCAGCCGAGGGGCAGCGGAGGGGTGGCCCCGGGGGAGGGAGCCGAACCTCGCTCCGGCCTCCGGGTCGAGGAAATCGGAGGGGAAGCTCGCCGGAGAGTGGGGCGAAGGTAAAAGAGAGAGAAGTAGCGGCGAGACGGGGTAGCGAAATTCCAAGAGCACCCCGTATAGCCCCCGAGGATCGCCCACCTCAGTTGCTCCAGGGTTTCCGGACTCCGCGGACCGACAGGTTAGTTTCCGCTCCTTCGCCTCTCGGCTCGCCTCTTCCTCGAGGTCGGCTCGTCCGGCCTCGGAAGCGCCGAGGGACCGGAACCGGATCGAGGATCCACGTCCTCCTCGAAATTGGACCGCGGAGGACCCTCGCCTCGCCCCGCTGGCGTCGATGCGGCCGGAAGCGATCGAAATCCGTCGAACGTCGGGATGACTCGCCGTAGCGGGATTCCATGCGAACTCCTTAAGACGTCGTTCGCGTCAACGCGAGCGTGGGTGGGGAGCTCGAGCTCTCGCGGGGCTCGGCGACGTCGGAGCGGTAACAGGTGCCTCGAAAGGTTTCCTCGTTGGACCGATCGGTCGGTTCCGGCCCCTTTGACTCCGCCTCGTCGACGGGATCGCGAACGAACCGAAATTCTCGACGTTTCGGGCGGCGACTCCGGCGAATCCGGCGAATCCGGCGAATCCGGCGAATCCGGCGAATCTTCGAGTCGGGGGTCGGACGTCGAGGGTGCGGAAGTTGGAGCGACCCGTCTCCCCCTCCGGAGTCGAGCCGTGTCACTTGTTGCGAACTCGGCCTCCGGAGTCCCTTCTCCCGGTCGGCAAAGGCGAGGCGGAGGGAATTCGAATCGCTCGGCCCCTCGGTTTCCGCCCCCGGAGGGCACAGCTCTCGACCGGCGAAATAACCGACCGGGCCGCGATAAGAATCAATTTCGCGTCCCTTCCGATAGCTCGAACCGGCGCGCGGATTCATCCAATTTAATCGGATCCATCCGCCGATGCGCGCGCAATCGAGCCTCGATCGACTCGGTCCGATCGCGACGTTAATTCAACGCCGGGACCTGCGGACGCGTTCGCGTTTCCCGCCTCGTCCGATCATCGGGTCGCGCCGAAAGAAAACCCTCCGGCAATTGTCCCCCTTCCGATCAATTTCCGAGTTCCCTTCGCGAGTAACCCGGCAAGGTAGAATTTCAACGTCTACTCGACGAGAAGAGGGAGAAAGAGCGGGAAAGGTCGGCCCCTCGGGGAGGGCCGTGAAGCAAAGACCGATCGACCGCGATAAACCGGCCGGGGCGACGGAGGGATTAACCCTCTTGTCCCCGGAGGAGCCCGCGGGGCGACGTCGATCGAGTTTCCGCTCCTCTCGGGGCGGGGGACGGGTCGAGAGGAAGGCCGCCGTCACCTGTTGACCGAGAGCCCTCCCCTCGTTCGCTTCGCGGGCAATCGGTGCCGACTCTCTCGAATTCGTCGTTCGCCGGTGATCCGGATCGAGTCCCGAGGTCGTTCCTCTCGCGCGCGGAGGAGCGGAGTCGGTCGTCCATTGAGCGGCGTCTCCCGCTCCGCGACGCCTTTGAACGGCGGGTGGCGCGGGTTTGGAAATTCCGTTTATTTTCGGTCCGCCACCGTGGCGGGGTGCCGAGAATAAATCGAAAGCGGGGTCCCAGCGGTTTCTCCCCGCTCCAAGGGGGGGACGCGGACGGAGCTTCTCGCTTTCCGCGTCGATCGTATCGGCTCTTCCGGTCGATCGATCCTTTTCGGGCTCGTCCCAGTTTCCGCGCGTTCTCGCGAATCCGGCGTCGGACGATTTCCCTCGAGGCGACCGAATCTTCCGCCGACCATTCCGCCGACCATCCCGCCGACCATCCCGCCGACTTTTCCCCCGTCGGGGAGTCGAATCGGCCGCGTAGAATTTTCCGCTCGATCGATTCTTCCCGGTTTCGCCCCAGTTTCGCCCCAGTTTCCGTCCTTCGGTGGTCGCCGACTACCCGCGGTTCTCGTTCCAGGGACTCTCCGCCTCTCTCCGCACGGCACGTATCCGTCGACGTATCGGCCGGGCCAGGATGCGCGTCGCGGCCTTCTGGGCCAGCCTGCTGCTGGCGTGCTCGAGCTCGGCGGCGGCCGCGGGGGCCGGGGCCGCCCCGGGGGCCGCCCCGGGGGCCGCAGCGGCCGCAGCGGCCGCGTCGGCCGAGCCCTCCTGCGAGGAGCTCCGCGCCATGTGGCGGTACAGCAAGCGGCAGAGCCGCGCCGCCGAGGCGACCAACGAGATTCCAACCTACCGCGATCCCTTCTCGTACAACGTCTGGGACCCCTACCTCGATCGACCCCGGACCGCGGGGTACGGAGGACCCGCAGGACCCGGAGGATACGGAGGATACGGAGGTACCGCCCCCCTCGCGACTGCGACCGACCGGAAACCGAGTGACCGATCGCTTGCAGAGGGGTACGGAGCGCAGGCGCGGAGTCGCGGAGCGGGCGGCGCTCCGATCTACGGCCGGGTCGTCCACAAGGCGCCGGAGGGCTACCGACTGAGGAACGGCATGCCGGACCGCAGCCGGGCCGCCTTCGAGGAGGTCGCTCGTCTCTACGGCACCGTCAACCGCCACCCGCCCTCCAGCCGCCGCGTGACCGGCTTCCGCCACGGGGGCGGCGGCGACGCCGGCCAGGTGCCGCAGGCCGGCAGCTTCCAGCACCTCAAGGACCTCGTCCGCTCCGAGCGGGCCCGCGAGCTGCAGGTCGGTCCCCTCCCCCGCGAGATCCGCCCCCCCCCGAAGCCGACCCACCGCCACCTCTCGCTTTCAGGAGCAGCGCCGACTCGAGGAGATGGCCGCGAGGGCGGCCGCCCTGAAGGAGATGACCGGCGGCGACCGGCGCCGGACCGAGCGGTTCCTCGACGAGATGCGGCCCTACCGGAACTCGAAGAGGGACCTGGACGTCGACGTCGATCGAGCCCGGTACTCGTCGAACGTGGCCGACCTCGTCGAGTCCTTGTCCGTAAGGCCCCACCGAAATCAGCCCTCGCGCGTCCCGCTTGAGCTTCGCTTCCTTTGCAGGGTCGCTCCGGCCGAGAGTACATGCTGCGTTAGTCGGACCTGGGGCCGTTGGCGCGGGACGGGGAAGCGGACCCGAACTGCCGAACGTGAGTATGGGACTCCTTCTCGGGTCGCCGCGAGAACGGCGAGGGCTTTTGCCCGGGAAACGACGGGACTCGCGGCCGTTGACGGCCACCGGAAGGCCGGTTTTCCGTTTTCTTTTTTCGACGAGGCGGGTCGAGTCGCTTTTCGTTTTCGTTAAGCTCGAGCCGGTCGGGCGGGCACCGAGATCTCGCGTTCGCGAGTCGCCCGTCGGGTCGGCTCAAAAAACGCGCTATATCGAGGAGCGACTTGATTAAAAAAAAAAGAAAGACATCGTTCTCTATGTTTTCGCGCTTGTGTGGGTCATTTTGCAGCTTGGTTGCGAGGGCACGGTTTCGACGACTAATCTTTCCCATAGACGCGCGAGTCTTTAGGATCCAGGTTGGGAAGGGACGAAAACGTCTCCTCCGGGATGCCGACGAGTAGCCGTGGAATCGCGAACGTAACGAGATCGACGACGTTTTTCGCGAGTTACTTTCGCGACGAGGGAAGGAAACGAAAATGCGGATCCGTTATTTTTCGCGTTAACGGTCAAGTCGAAACTTGGGCCAAAGCCGATCGTTCGCGCGTTGCTTTTGGACGGTAACGTCGAAGCGCTATTCCTACGGAAGTTTCGTTCGCGAGGATTCGTCGAAGGTACGTTCGATGCGCGTAAGACTCGAGCGAAGTATAAAAATGAAACTCTAGTACATACGTATACATATGAAAAAAATGACACATATATATAGATATACATATACATCATATATATTTTTTTTATCGCTTGTCCAGTTTAGCGCGATCTCTTTAAGCCCCAGCTTTTCCTGCACGGAATCGATAAGACTTCGGACAATAAACTTTTTAAACGACTGGACAAATCGATGCGAACGCGCTAGTCTCGGTATACGGAATTGACGGATATTGTCCGCGAAACGCGACGAGACCTCGTACAGCGGCGCCGAGGATTCGTACGTGCGATCGGAACCTTCGCTCGTTGGCGATTCCTCAAATATCACGTTAGATTCTCCTCGACCGTTTAATGTTCCGGTGGAGTCGCGGTTTCTTCGTCATATCGCGTTCGGGTGGAAACGCCGATCTACTGCCCCGACCGAGCAATAGGAAACTCGTAGCCTAGGCCGACACGGAGCGGCAAAGGGTTTCTCGAAATATCAAAGGACGACATATCGTGGTTTCGTTCGTTCCATCCGACGAAAACGGAAAGCATGCATATCGTGGAACGTTCGATACCGTTTACCCGCTCCGCGAGAGTAAACCCGGAGCCGGAGCCGGAGCCGGAGCCGGAGCGCGATCGCCGATCCTACGTACGATCCGAAACGCGAGTTTCGATACGTAGACCTAATCGTCGCAGCAACGAGCGGCAAGAAACGTCTCCTCGAAGCGAATGCCGGGAATACCGCGAATGACGAGAAAACGGATACAGGCCGCCGATGAAGATTCCCTCGAACGATCGGTCGGACGAGGCGAGACGTTTCTTGCGGCCGTTCGCGGCAATTTTTCTTCAGCCTTTATTTTCCGAGCACCGCGAACGTTCTTCCTCTTCGACGTGGGGTGACTCGCGCGAAATATTTTCAAGAAGCAAAGGACCAGAGGGGGTCGCGCGAAAACGCGTCCTTCGACGTCTTTCGCTTTCGTTAGAATTTGATACTCGTCGTTGCTCCGAAAAGAAAGGAAGGAAAGGAAATCTCTCCCGTCGTTCGATACGAATCTCCGATTTTGCGAAACTTTTTAGGACTCGGTCGTCGAGCCAATGACTCTTGGTTCTTTACGGCTCTTAAGATAAACACGTGTCAGACAATAACGCGGCTTAATATAACGAGCGACCATTAAGCCTGACTAAAGTATAACCGTAACGTTAGAGATTAATCGTAATGTTGCTGGGTGTACTAATATCGCGCGAGCGTCGCGTTTACGCATTTACGCATTTACGCATTTACGCATTTACGCATTTGGGTACGTGGTATTTCGAGGGAACGCTCGTTCCATCGTTATTCGTACGCTCGTCCAGATATTTCGACGGGTCGTTGCATAGGTGTATACCCGACTCGGAGGCGAACGAGAAGGTTTCCGACGCCAACCGCATACGTATAATCCAAGTCTTCTGATCTCTTAACTCAAGTGTCGATAACGCGCCGACGCGACGTCACCAGCTCGCGATTTAACGATTTAGCGTCGCCGGAAGGAAAAGGGATAACTTTTGTATAAGAGATATCTATATATACCTAGCGTAAACGAGGTTCGATCATAACGTTACGATAACGCGCGTCTTACCGAATTCCCCTCCCGCGGATGCGCGACTCGTCCGAGACCGTGGTTCTTGAAAACTCCAATTTCCCCTTCCCCGATCGAACGAATTGACTTCGAGATCTTCCAAAACGTACCCATCGCTGCCCTCGTTTCTTCGGTCGGACCGGTGGCGCGTCGTAACGTACGATTTCGATCGGAACTCGGAACTCGGTATTTCGCTCGTCCCAAGATCCGCCAACTCGTGCGTGCATTTAATCGGCTCATTTTCCGTAATCGATATCGACCCGCGACCGCCCGGAACGAAGAAGAGCCGAGAGAAAAACGCGGCAAAGTGACCGTCTTCTTCTCGATTTCGAGTCGGGCTCGATACAAATTACGGAAGAGGTACAAGCCGAAGCGTTGACAATAATTAATGTTAAACTCGTGCCGATAACGTCCTAAGAATTGCGGTCGCGTGCGTTAACGAAGCGAGTATATCGCGGGGCAGCGTGTCCGTTAAATGCTTCCGTAGCGTCCGATTCGCGACTCGGAGATTCTGTCCGAGTCCAAATTCATGGCCACGTATCCCGTTCCTAAAGGAAAAAAAATTGACGAATCCGAACATATCGATCGTACGATTTTCCGAAGGGACCGAGAACCCCTCGTCCCTGATTCCTCCTTCGTTGGTACGCCGTAATCGTTAAGTTTAATCTACGAGTGGCACACGGTAATCGATCTTCTTAAACCTTGTCGAAGGTCGAGGTACGACTCGTACCCCGCGTTCGGACGTTGTTCGTTTCCCTTGCTACGATAGCCGAGGCTAAGAAGAACCGGGCAACAACCCAAAGTCAATATTACGATATTAATTAAGATACGTAGCCGTATAGATTGGTTGCTTGTAACGCGCGCGCGCGCGCGCGCGAGAGAGAGAGAGAGAGAGAGAGAGAGAGAGAGTCGAGAAGATTCTCGTGCTAGGAAACTTTGTTGACCCGCCGGAAGCCGAATCGCGTCCCGTTGCTCCATCGTCGCCGCGATCGACGCCAAGCCTCGCGTGTGCTCCGAGGTTGAACCGTGGTCAAGGTGGACGTCGACGCCACGCGAAAGGCAAAAATCGAGCGGGTCGCGTTCAGGCGTTCGCAAACAGGGAGTAGACTGAATCTCGAAGAAAGAAGTCACGCGAAACGAACGCGGCCAATGCCAAGACACGTTTCGTTGGGCCGACTCGCCGGGAGAAGAGCTTGAAAGAAAACCTTTAGCGTACTCTCGGGTTAGAACTACTTTTAGCGTCTACCCGTTACGTTAAGTCGGTTCGCTCGCTTCGAAGAGAAGTGCCGAGAGACCGTGCGGAAGATCAGGGATCGGAAGGGGACAGCGGTAACGATACGTTTCTAGATGCACACGGTTCCTTTTCAACATTTATTTCTACGAAAGGTAAAGAGGAACCTTGTTTTCTAATTGGACGAACGCGGCGCGAAATTTGCAAAAGAACCGACACACCTAACGTTCGTTTAGTTTCTTTTCCCCTCGCGCCGACTCGTCAAATTGATCCTGTAGACTTAGTCGATCAACCGGAACGAACGTTTACCGTGGAAGCAGGCCGATGACGACGATGACAATATATTCTATTACTCTACTGTGGTATAAGAAAGATAACTGTACTTATACACGATCGATGCCAGGCAAATGCGGAGAGTGAATATATATACACGTACATATAATAGATATATAAATTATATATTAGCACATACGTATGTGTGTATACTAATTGAGTATATTTTGTTTTTAAATACAATATATGTCTATCAGAGAGGGGGGGCAGAAAAAGAGAGAGCGACGATACCTTCTCCTTTCTCCCTTAACTTCTCGATTGTTTCTATGCGTACAAGAATCAAGGTCCCGTGATCCACAAAGGGTAATGAATTTTAGATACCTCTATTTTTTTTTCTTTTCTTTAGCGAAACCTAGAAATCCCATAGCTAGACGAAAACGTCGGAAACTCTTCGTAAAAATGGGACTAATCCACGGTGGGGGTTATCCACGCAACGTTCTCGAATAATTGATTACTTTATTTACATCGCTACAGTACGCGTTCGCAGTTCTTACGAAATCTCACGAGTACAGTGTGGCAATAGTTTAAAATTTATAAAACCGTCTAATTACACAATTACAATTAGATCCGCTTGGAGGCTAAAGTAGCTTAGTATGTACAATACTGATTAAAAAAAGCCACCCGACCTTCCGTCTCCCGTTACTCGCGATACTCGCACGTTAACTGTAAGTATTTACAGCGATTACTCCTTACGCGTAGAACTACTCGATAATTCCTCGACTACGTGAACCTTTGGTTCTATTTCGTGCTCGCTACGATGACGTCGTTGCCCCTTCGTGTTTCCGTTATTGCAACGTCATCCACGATTCATGCAAAATCCCAAAACCCATTAAAAAATAGCCTTAAGAGATGCGTCCAATTTCCAGGAACACGAAAATCTAGAAGAAAAAAAAATATAATAATGACCCGTGTATCGCGACGACTTTACCAGTGAACGAATCACGATATTTCCGAGTCTTCCCATCCGTGTATAAACTTAAATTCTCCTTGAACGTCTAGAGCATGCAGACCCTTTTTGGCTCGGCAAGTATGACGTCTGTCACGTGAGTCCACTTCGAGGCGCATGCTTTCGTCTTATCGAATAAGTTATTATTAAAAATACCAAATGTTCATACCATTCCATTATTTCGTGGCATAGCGCGTATTAGAATTTCTCTTCAGGATAAGGGAATGCATTGGTCAAACACCATTGGACGTCGGTGAATTGTTTGACGGCGGACGCAACAAATCGTGAAATTGCAGCAAAGCTTCTCTGAGAGAACGGGACACTTGCGTGGAAGCTGTTGCTACCGTGCATTCGACCAGGCAAGGATACAATCCTATTAGCTGCTCCCATACCGATCGTTCGACTAGAAAATAAATCCAAAGGTGTACATATGTGTGTTTTGTACTTAATATTTGGATCGGTGTAAAGAAAAGTTGTGACGTGGTACATCTCGACAACGTGAGCGTAGAATAATCACCCTTGTTCGAAGGAGCCTTCTTTAGAGAGACTACCAATGTCGCTACAGCTTTCAGCACAAACGATATCTCCGACAACCTGTACCTAGAAAACGGTTTTGTAATCGACAAACCTACATCTGTGACGGTATGTTAATCACGCAACGGTGCAACGTTTAGATCCTCTTAGAGGCAATCCAGTTGATGTATCTTGAAAGTCAGATCTAAGAACATCTCATGGACGCCGAATTGAGGAGGAAAATGTAAAAGTAGGAGGGATCGTTATCGCCGATGAAACGATAAGCGTTACGTTACCTAGGCAATGGACACTTTCCACTCCGCCGTTCGTCTTCTATGTAACGTCGCAAGACTTCCTGAAACCTATGCAAAAGGGCAGTAACTGCAAGACGACCGGCGACACCTCCTTCGTCAAATTCGGAAATTTTCTCAGCATTTGATTCCGCGTCACCGTTTAGTCCATCCAACAAAGAAAACTGTAGGAGCGTTTCAAAGCACGTCTTCGCAAATTCTTCTCTTAGTTTGGTTTCCCCGTGCTTTTCTAAAACCCAAGTATATCATGAATTATTAATACGAGATGCAAGTAAAGGCAATCCCTATAAAATAAAGGGAGAACCGTAGATCGAGTAGACATTGATTACCAATATTATTTGTGGTTGCCGAATGAATGGAGCCCTTGTTGAGAAGCATGACTACTCTTAAGATAAATTGATGAGGTATGTGTTGGGAGTGCGGGAGAACTTCGTCTCTCAGTAGTTCCATCACCTGGCAGTCGACAGCTTCGTCGGATTGAATTTCTTCGAGGCCTCTTTCTACCGTTACCAAGCTAGATATATGTATATAAAAAAAAAAATCAAAAGATAGTAATAATAAATGTAACGAGTCGATCCTCGTCTAATTAAAGTGTATAATTTTAAGTATCGTACCTCTTGGGAAATAAGAAGTCATCCAGGGTATCGGCCAATTCCAGCCACATATTTTGAAAATGCTCAGGATATTTCCTTGCCAAGGGAAGGCCGGTATGGAGAATGGCTAACAAACTCGTTACGGCTAATTTCCACGTACCCGAAGAAGGACAGGCATATTTCATGGCCAAAGGAACGTGAAGGGCCTCCACAATGTACTTCAAGATTTCGCCCTCGATCACGGCCATTTCATGAGCAGTTTTCTGATACAAACTTACAACCATTGAAAGCGCCTTTTCTCCGAAAGGAACGTAGTTCATCGTCACCCAGTCCGCCTGATAAAGCGAACGAAATGAAATGCGTGAGAAATAGAAATAGCAAGTCAACGTTGAACGGATCCTTTGTAATTCTTACAGAAATGCCTCGGACTTGAGAAATGTCTTTCGTAGGTATCTTTCCGTAACTCGGCGCCTGACAGGCCAATTTGGAGAAACTTAATAGCTGCAGAAAGATCGAACATATCATCGTCCTCAGGTTCTCCGAGCCGTTCAAGGCTTCCTGCGATAACAAACGAAAGATTTAATTTTGTCGAGGAAAAAAATTTTTTTAAATCAGACAAACAGTGCTGCTCGTAATCATTTCCATAAATCAAAGCATAAATGAAAGTAATTGTAAGTTAATTGACGTTGATCGGACTTTTTGCAAAAGTTCCATCGAATGAAGAACTCCTTCTTGCAGTTGAGTAAGAACTGCTTCCGACACGGTAGACAAGATATAAGGTGTCGATTCACCGTGCACCGGAACTGCTACAGCATTCTTCAATACGATGCACAATTTCTGGAGGTCGCTGGCAGTAAATCTATCGAACAGAAAATATATCCGCAGTGTCGTCATCAAACGTTTAATGCGATCGGTGGTAGGACGATTTCCTACTTATTCTGTATGTGTTGAAAGACAGCTGGAAATATATAAACTAGTGCACTCAGGAATGCTTGCGACGGCACATAAGGCTCGGTTTCGCTTTCTTGTGGCGGAGCGGTACTCTCCATACCGATGTTCAGCCAAACCCGCCAAGCAACGGTCCAAAGTGCCTCCGAATCTCCGGAATTCACCACATCGCCATTATCGCAGCCTCTTTGAAGATACAAGATCTCTTGGAAAGACTTCAATGCTGCGAAAGACACCTGCAAACATTGTACAACGACGTCGCCGTTATTTGAACGAGCACTTCTTATGGAATCGGCTGATCGATATAGACGGTAGAAAAATATCGACCACTGCCGATTGCGTTCAACATACCTCGTTATTCTTGCTAAGAGCGGAATTCTCGATGAACTCCAGAAGAAGGGACCACGCTCTTGGAAAATCTCCTAACATTTGCAAGAGTTGTCGTTTCGTATTGAAAACTCTGGCTACTCCGTTCAAGGTTAGTACCTGAAAGGAAAATCAAGATCGCGACAACGGGCCTGTCAGGGCACTCCGCGACGTTGGAACGAATGACAAAAGAGGAAGTAAGCGCACGATGCGAACCTGCGTCTCTGCCCACTGTTTCTGCGCGGTGTTCCTACTGTGGTGGATGAGAATATTACCGCTGGTGTCGACCTTCTCGTTGCTCGCGGAGTTGGAGAGGCTCCTGACCTTGTCTAGCAATGGGAAGAGCACCTGCCAGAGTACGGCCTGCCAAGTCGGTTGATGGAGAAGGCCTCCGTGAGCCGTGATAGTCGAAAAGAGAGTTTGACTCGCCGACTTGCGAACCGCCGGTCGAGAGTCGACGCAAAGGTCGCCTGTAATCATTCATTGCGGTTTCGGTAGACTTTTCATTTTTCGCCTTAAAACTGGACTGTGCAAATAAATAGAAATTATACCCAATCTGGCATATAGACACATCCACAACTTATCGAAGGGTGGCATGACAGTGGTGCCAGGAAAATCGGGCAATACCGACGCATAGTCCCCTCGCAGGGAAACGGACAATTTCTCTTGATTATTGTGAAAATAGTCACTGATGTTCCACTGGAATAGTAAACGGGACCATTTAGACGATAGGTAATAACATTTTCAGACGATATGAATAAAGGTATTTGCAAAAGCCCTTAACGACGGGTCCACTGCTTAAGGTGAACCTGTACACGAAAAGGAATGCTTGGCTTTGTGTCGCGCAAACGTGGTTTCAAGGTACAAGTTGCACTCTACTCGATATCGAGCAAATACCTCAACGAGGAAACTAAATTTCCTTACCATCAACTGTACCGCAGTCAACGAGATATTCAATTCTTGAGTTTGGGATCCAAATTTCGCTACGGTATCCACGCACAGTGGAAGACATCGCCAAGGCATTGCCGGTAGAAAGTCAGTTACCACCAGCTGGAGGCACTGAAAAGCTATGCGGACCAGGGCCTCTCTAAAGCATCGAATTAAACAAGATTTATAAGAACAAACATCGCGTCGAGTGTATACAAATACGTTTCACAGTTTCACCGGAATTTAGATACGTTTCATCAAAGTTTACCCGTGGTGATCCGAAACTGCACCAATGATACCGAGAACCAAAGGCCATCCATGAGACAAGGTGTCTCCGGCTCCGTTTAGTACCTGAAGGACGCATTCCAATTGACTTTTCCTCACGTCACCGTGGCGAACGGATGACAGCTCCGATAACGGTCCAAGCAACAAAGTTTGTAATTTCTGTGGAGAGAAAAATAAGAGAGAGAAACGATTTGCGTACAGAAGAAACTAAATACTCCAATTGATCGATTCAGTCGACGCAAAGAGAATCACTTGTGCTTACCTGATTGTCACGGAGAGGTTGGGGATATTTATGTTGTAGCGCAGCTTTGACAAGGTACGTAATCGCTTCGACTCCCCATTCCCGCATCCTGATGTGAGGATGCTGACAAACCTCCAATAAGTGATTGGTCAACGGTCTCCATAGTACCTCGACTCTCTCCAGATTAACTAATCCGGTTTCCAAGAGTTTCGCCACAGCGAATAACGAAGGCTCCTAAAACCCATATCCTGTCGTTTACAGAATGTTGAGATTACCTCAACGAACACTGTAATACACTCACTCTGTTGGAATACGCAAGCTCCATAGCCTCGTGGCTCAGTTTGCAAAGGGCATCGATGAGATGATGCAACGCGACGTCGTCGAGATGTCGGCTACTCTCGAAGAGTCTGCTGAGCATCGCACTGAGCACGGGCAGGTCCGCCATGACTGCAGTGGTTAGGACCGCATTCGAGTCGGCCGTAGTTCTTCCAGCTTTTAGGGAGCCACCAGTGGAAGGCTTCAAACCAAGAATCCAAACTAGATGTTGCAAGGTGGTTAGCACCAGATGCCAAGCGCTACCTAAAATACTTCCATGACAGTGCGCCAGGACCAATAGCGCTCGCATGCACTGAAGATTCTTTGCCGTCAGCATGACTGGTCCCTGTTGGGCACCTGGAAGATAAAATCAATGAACATTTCTATTCCACTTGTACGCGGTTTAACGATCTAATCGCGAAATATACTTAACGCGTACCAATGGGCAATGATGCCGTGGGTAGCGGCGTACCAACGGCAACTACCTGTTGCCTGTAGTCTGGCTCTCCTATAGCAGCCGGATTATACTGAGTGGATTCTTGAGGTCGGGCACTCGGTATACCTTGTGGAGCACTGTACAATACCGTCAATGCGTAATGAGGGGGCAGCGAAGCTTTGCAAATTGCGGTAATGAATGCATCTCGGGGTGTGTGCAAGTCGAGTGACCCACAGAGCGAAGCAAAAGTCTGGATCTCTTTCAGCACGTTCTCTGTCGCGGACTCGTCGGTGCTAAGTGAGAAGTACGGTCGTATATATACTTAAATACGTTGTACCTTATGACGGTTTCAAATTAATCGACTTAAATCACACATATACTGATTTTTTTATATCGACGTAAGATTTACGTAAGGCATACCTGGCATCTACCAGAGGACTCAAGGCGGCCAATAAGCCGCACCAACTTGAATTAATTAGTTGCACGTGAAGTTTTCGCTCGGCTTCGGTGGGCCTTTTACCACCTTCCAAATCCTTTTCCCTAGGACCGTCGGTCGCGGAAGCGATTGATCGGATAATGTCCAATAAACAAGCGTATGCGATGCTAATTCCATAGCCATCGGGGATTTGCGGTGGCTCAATTTTATCCAGCATTTCCAGACTTAAAGATAAGTATGATTTTCACGTCTTATTTTGTTCTGCAAAGTACTTTCTTATTTATATTAACGAACCAACTTACTACGTCGATTTAGCTTGACCACTAGGAAAAGTAGCAACTACGGGTAGCCAAACTCCTCGCGAGTAGAAACCTGGCTGCGGTGAGACTCCAGGGCCAATAGGCATTCCTGCTAACAGCGTGGGCGCGGATCCTTGGGTGATTGGAACTCCAGCACCTTTATAAAATCGAGACCTAACGTTTACTTCACCCATTTCACAGGTTCCTCGCAGTACCTGCTTTAATTACCTGTTGCACTCTGCCCCATTATCTGCGGATTAACGAATAAACTATGGACGTAGGCACCAAGGCTGTTCACAATGTCTTGAAATATATTCGTGGCGTGTGGCTTCAAATCGTAACACTCGCAGAAACTTGTAAGCAAATCAGCCTGTACGGTCATTTTATGAAGGACTTCTAATGCCAAAGCCCGCTGCCAGGTTGGCTTGTCAGGATCGAGGAACTTGACGATAAGGGACAAGAATATTTCACACTCCGTTACCTAAAGATTAATGTCAACGTGTAATACCAGCGATCAATTCTATTCCGTCAATACCAAAACTCACTGCAACATTTAAAAAGTTTAAGAAAAGGTTGCTTACCAAAAGAGAATGGTATTTTTGCACCAAAACGGAGACCACTCTCAGGAGTCTCATACTAATAGGAAAGTAAGGCTTGTCTAAAGGCGTTGCCTGTTGTAACGATGCAGGCACAGAATTGCGATATTTAATATTTGGAGAGAATAACTTAATCACTAGAGCACACACACGTTCTTTCAGCAAGAAGCTGAACTCTGGATGCTAAAAGCAAGTGCGAATTAATACTTCCACTTTAGCCATTAGAAATGTATACGTCTAATTACATGAATAATTTAGTACCTCAAAAACCGAGGGGAAGTTTGTCAAGACGGATTCCAGAAGTTCGAGACCAAAAGTTCGAGTCATCTCTGTAATTCCTATCAACCAATACGGCTGATCCGCGTTCACTAATTGTACCAAATCCTAAAGAAAATTCAAAAGATGTAAGAACCGTCGTTCTAACGCAGATAGAAAATAGCTACCTGAAACATCAAATATGCATCAGCTGCACAGGGTCGTAGATGCTTTGGTGCTTGATTTGTAGGAGTTTTCAATTCTTCCAAGTTAACTTCTTCAGAACCTATGCGGTCTGGGTGTTCCTCGTCTTCTACAACTACTCGTTCAAACACCAAAGATACTAACTGTCTAACCGTAGCACCCGCCGTATTAATCGTAGTCGAGTCTTTTGTAAAATGAAGGCGGAAGCAAAGAACCAAATTCTGAAAACACAAGCCAGTGTTGGTTATATTTTACCTTACATGAAAAAGAAAAAAAAAACAAACCATGTGATTTTCACTGAATTTACTCTGCATTCCACTTACCCTTGCAAGAGTATCGCCGTGAACGACTGCGTTGCTCGTAAGCAATAAAGTTACGCTTTGTAAAATTTTTACTTCTTCTATTCCAGCTTCCATCAACGTCCATAAAGTGTCCGTAATATATCGAGCACCTTTTTGATCCACGGCTTGTTGCGTTATCAATTTCTGCATTATATTGAGACAAGACTAAAAAAGAATTGTTAAAATAAATTAAATATATTACACTGCACAGATTCTATCCTTAAATACACGAGACAAAAACTAGATGAGAAAGCTAATTAAACGTCTACATTAAAAAACTATATATAACGTCTATTTACTTTTATTATTTTCACATCCTTGCTTTCACAGCCCTGAACCAAGGGATAAAGTATTTGATTTACAATGTAGTAAATCGGAGTTCCAGGATTCCCCGAAGCAGTTCTCAGCTTTGCGATTGCCTCTTCGCAAGACTACAGCAGTCAAATAAATACAAAACCGTTTATTCGACGTACCGCTAAATAATTTAAAATCCCGAGCAAAGAAATAGATCGTAATAAACGATTAACCATTGATTACAGGAAATTAAACGACGGTACCTCTTTAATCTGAGGGTATTTCTTCTTTGAATCCGAGGCGAGAGTTTTAAGATCGGCTTGCAATGACTCAAGGAACCTGGAGACATTTTCTTGGCCGCCTCCAACGACCGAGGAGGCCATCCTGTTTGTAACAATTGTACAACTTATTTATTTACACCCTTTTTCCCTGCATTGCCCTCTGGCATGATAAGTCGTAGAGAAACCAGAGTGGATTATCGCAATTCGTTGACAACGACGGCCACGTCGGCGAAGGTGTTTGAAGGCGTTCCCAACAGGAAAATCGTCACAAGCCTTGTCAAGGCTCATGCCGATCGCCGTTCATTGACAGCCGGCCGGAGACGAACCGTCGAGGTCGGACCTCATCGGCCACGGCTCGCTGGCCTCGTTGCCACGTCGAAATGGTCGAAATGGTCGAAATGCGTCAAAATATCGGCTATCGGAGAGATCGGAGAGTATCGGGGAATATCGCGGCTGTCGCGACGGTCGCGACTATTGCGATATGCGAGAGAGACGAGTCGGTCGCGCGACTTCAACCGTCCTTCTTTTGCGCATGCAATCGCTCTCCGCGTTGCTATTGGTACGATCCACACGGTCGATCTATGTGGGTACCCATCATACACTTGGAATTACCTACATACGCTTCCATACTTGTGAAAAGATTCTAATCGCCAACAGAACGAAGTTCCGAAACTCCATTCGATTAAGCGAGCCTAGGAGTACTGTACCAAGAGATTGGTAACTCAAACGCTAGATGACACCTGTATTTGCTCATCGTGTTACATGGTATATCATTTTTGGTAAAAATGCCAATAACGCCTAAAAACGAGTATCTCATTTGAAAAAAATCACAGCCACTCGCTCGACAGATCAATTTGAAGAGAACAACCTTCCCCGTCGAGCTATTGTGATCGCAGGTGCGAAAAAGTTCCTAACTTATCTCTGAGTTGGGGCGCCATCGGGGCAAGTGCGTGAGCCTCCAGCATGTTCCACCGAGGACAGCACAGAACCCGATCGCGCGACCCTGCCCGTGAGCAATCTTTCAATTCATCTCTGTTCATCTCTGCATGATCTCTGATGCGGAGCAATACGGAGCAAGTGACGAGGAACGTGAAAAATAAGCCCTGGGACAAAAACTTACACAGGTTACAGTCAGCATATCAGCAATTGGATTTCATTTTGTAAATTGTGAAGTATCCGTGGTACATACCGGGCAGCGTACGCTATTATTTCTCAATAAAACGATTGAATTTGGTTTCGACCGAATTGACTGCTGCTTAATAATTTAAAGGTACCACGAGGATATCCGAGGAAAAATAATTTTATTTTTCTTTCATATTGAATCTTCATGAAATTCCGTGTCTCGAACTATAGAAATGAACACTATTAACCTTAAATAATTCGTCCTTCTCGAGCTTGTAAGCAGTATTGAACCTAACCAAAGACAACCTGCAGGTACAAGTGTGACGTGCAATGTACTCTGGGACTGTTTTGTGATTCTCATCAAGTTCTATCTATACTGAAAATATGCCGAAGAAGTCATCTAAGCCCAGTTGGGTTGGGAAAGGGGGGAGAAACGATAATTTGGAGAGTAAATCTTATTTCGGTAAGTATTTTTCTTTATCATACATATATACGTTTCTAAAGTCGTGATTGTAAAGGATGTTGCAGTTTTCTTGGTGTATTCAATGTTTATCGGTGACAATGTATATGCTCTAATTATTTGTTAATTTATAATAGAATTTCATATCAAATACATGTATATAAATCAACATTTTTTCTTTCCAAAAGTTTATTAGAACTGCTTAAATGGTATCCCTTTATTTATAGGACACGATGATCGAGTTGTTCGCATGGGAGGCAATAGACCGAGAGTGTCGTTTAAAACTCAAGCACGGCCTGGCAGAGAAAGGCCACATAACATGAACCTTGCTCTTAAACGTCAGTTAGATGATGACGTTTCAATGTCGATTCATCCTAATGATAATGGACGACAAGGTGGAATCAGAGGAAGAGGAATAGGTTTGCGACGAGGTAGAAATAGTCCCTTGCCTCCTCGAGGTATGGGTGGTCAAAGGGCGTTTCATCGTCGCCAGTTGATACCAATTAGTGAATCTAATTGGTATAAAGTTATTGTGCGTATCACATGACAATGTAAATAAAAAGGAGGATCGATATTTATGAATATCATTTTATTGTAGATACCATATGGACGAAAGTTTGACAAGATGTTTTTACTGAACAATTTATTGTCTCATATGGCTCCTGAGAGTTTCACACCTGTTATGGTAAATTAGCATTCAATATTTAAGATTTGTTTAAACGTTTTTAAAGGATATGCATTCAATCCTAATCTATGTGTCTTGTTAGCACGTTTTAAGTATGCTCTCAATATCCCAATATAAGTCGGTACATTTTGAAGAAATAATTGACTTCAGATTGTCCATTTAACTGTTTCTATGTGGTAATATTTACATTTTCTTGCCAGTATAAAGTCATTGGATCGGATGCTGTTTTCTATGTCGATGATGCTAAAGCAGCAATAAGATTGGCAAACTGTGATCGCAAGATAACCGTTCCCGATGGGTTCAAAATCCTTGTTCGAGTGAAACCAGGATTTCCACAGTGTATCATCGATACCACCCTTAAAGAGAGACTAAAGCAAGCCATGGCCAAGAGATATGTCCAGGAAACGAATGCATTGGATTTATCGCGGTTTCATCTAGACCCAGGTTAATAAAGCTTTTTATCATAAAAGACTTTAGCAGCTTATTTCATTTGCTCTGTTTTTTTTTTTCCAGACCTTGTATCTGATTATTTCTGTGCCCTGTTTCGACCCATGATGTTGTTGGCAGTATTAGACATTGTATCTGCGCACACTCCCAATTTGGTGGCATTGAACCTTGAAGGGAACAAGTTGGAAGTCATCGAGCTGCTCAACGTGCTAAACAAAAAGTTTCCAAATCTGAAGATCCTCTATATTGGAGACAACAGAGTAAACCAATGCACTTTACTGAAATACCTACGCACGATATAGGTTATGTGGTGGTACCCGTAAGTTTATGACACATGGTTGCATGGTAATTGCAGATAGAGAAAATCAATCAGTTAGACGTGCTGAAAGATTTGGCACTGGAAGAATTGCGTCTTGCAGGAAATCCAGTATGCGACAAGTACAAGTCCTCTCAGAGTGATTATGTAAGGTAATGTGTATGAAACGTGATTTCCCTATGAGAGGGAATCTTGTATATTTCATCTCAGATTCTCAGTATTTCTCGGTCTGTTTTTCTCTGTTACCTGTAATGTGCCAAGAATTCTTTTCTTTTTGAAAAAGCGGGAGAAGAAATTACGGTGAGGTGTTACCTTTGCGGGATGTACCTATTATAGTTGATCTTATACAAAAAGAATTGCATGGTGTTGTGAGCTCGCTGTAAAGGGCGTGATAAAATCATTGCCAGAGGTCTACTTGGATCTGACATTTTAGAATCCTGTTTTCAAATCTATGATAGATGAACTTAAAGTGATATCGATATTCATTTGTGAAACGTCAATAATTAAGGGTACTAAGAACGTCGGCCAACAATCGCCCGATATTCCTAAAAATTAAATACGTTATAGGTAATCTGGTAACATCTTATCAACGATGTGAGTTGTGAATACTGCTGAACCCCTTTCCGTTTTCAGCCAATGAATCAGGGGGACATTTTTCTTCAAAATTCTGAGATCTACTTTTGTCGCAGTTTTAAGAACTTCCTTTACCAAAAATTCAATGTCTTAATGTCCATCGATCACTGCTTCAACGGTTGAATCGAGAGTCGGGTTTAACGGCTATTTAACTAGTACTACACCCTTCTAATTAATGAGATGTATACTTCTTTCGTTACAACTAACTCGGAGCTTCTGGGCTTCTGGCTTTTCTTTCTTGGCGGCAGTGACGTGCGGAAAAGATTTCCAAAACTCCTGAGATTGGTAAGCTTGATCGCTGCAGAAAGTATATCTATTAAATTATCTTACTTATGTTAATTTTGGAAACTTTCGATTAGGATGGAGTAGAATTGCCCCGACCAATATTATTCGACGTGGCGGACGACGAAATTAAACTCCCACCCACCCAAAGGATGTTTGTCGCTAATCCGAAGGCTCAGGAAATAGCGAGTCAATTTTTACAACAATACTTTCTCATTTATGACAGCGAGAATCGACAACCACTTTTGGATGCCTACCATGAACATGGGTGTTTTAGTTTGACCGTGAATCACACGCAAAATGTAAACAAGTGCGTTCATTTTCCTTTCTTTCCTTTCCCTATGGTATCTCCTAATGGTATCTACATATCTGTGGTATATTAACATGTGCTCATATTTCGTTCTGTCTTTAGAGACTACAGTAAATACCTCACTGAGAGTAGAAACTTGTTCAGGATAACTGACTCTGGTCGACGAAGGAAATTACTCAAACAAGGAAGACTACCGATAGTATCCTTCATTTCTACCCTGCCTCGAACAAATCACGATTTGAACAGTTTCACGATGGACATTTGTTTAGCTACGGTAAGTAAGTTCCACTTTATCTGTGCAATTAAACATTTGAAGAAATATGGTATCTAACCGAATTGATTTTTTTTTGTTCTTCTATATCGTGCAGGAAAGAATGATGCTCATCACAGTGACCGGCCTCTTCCAGGAGATCGAAAATAAAAGTCAGATTCGGTGCTTTAATCGAACCTTTATCATTGTTCCGGAAGGCAATGGGTATTGCATCCGTAACGAACAGCTGCACATCAGCAACCCCACGGGGGCGCAGGAGGTGCTAATTCAGAATCAGCCCATGATGATGGAGGCACAGGGATCGCAGTCTACGGCCACGGTAGAAAGTGTTGCTTCGACGATGCCCTCTACGTCCGAAGAAACGTTATCCGAGGAAACCAAAAGACAGATGACTCTGATATTGAGTCAACGAACCAATATGACCCTGGAATGGAGCCTGAAGTGCCTAGAGGAAGTTCGATGGAACTTCAACGATGCCATGGCTGCGTTCCAGGAGTTTTTTAAGCGCGGAGAAATTCCTCAGGAGGCCTTCAAAAAATGAAAATCACGGATTCGCACGAATGCGATCGTCTCTTTTGTATGTACATTTACAGGGTTCAGAGGACTGGCGGTACGTCGCATTTTGAATATTACTCGTGGATTTTGGGTGATTATGCGTTCTCATCGCTGGAATCGTGATGCTTTGGGGATCTAGTCCTTTGAGAGGATACATTCTAAATAGTTACTTCTGGGAGAGCACTCGTTGTTTCACCCAAAATCTCGTGTTTTAAGCGTTGTAGCCGTAGATTTATGGTTTATAGTCAATTCCGTATCCAGGCCGAGTCGAGCTTTTGTTAGAAAAGCAAGCTCCTCTTTCCTGTTTAATGTGTAAAGTGTAACGGTAACTGCCAATGATTCTCATTTTTTCTATATTTAATTGAATTTTACCATTAAAAGGATATACGGATACATTTGATGCTTGCTCTTCTGACAAAATTGATGGCACGTACATTGGAACTAGTAGATTAAATCTCTAAGGATATTTTACAGGTTAATAAAAAAAAAAAATATTCTTGCAAAGCTTTCATTAGTAGGAAGTAAATTCTAGAGTTCTGTGCGTTGAATGACTTAAGGAAACTAACGGTATACTAGCTATTTAAGTGTTTAAACTCTCAAAATGCGACGCACAGCAAGTTAGTTTGAGTAATTTTACTCAATAGCAATTTGCGAGTGGAAAGGTGAGGAAGACAATTGTTCTCTTTTAAATATTAACGGTAATATTCATTTCTACCTATTTTGCGAAAATTATGAACGTTGCGTCATTAATGGTCTATGACATTTAGATATTTTCTTTTTTTTTTTTGTTCCACTCTTCATTGATTTTCAGCAGAGATAAACCGACCGTAGAACTGAATAGTTTACCGCAGAACATACATTTTTTTCCAACGAGTTGTATACCTTTGAGTATAAAAATTATTGTACATTAACTTGGTCTGTATTTTAACAGACGTTGCGCTTTACTTTTCATACGTACAATCTCAGAAGCTACGGAATTTCGGTTTATCGTTGCAATCGTTCCGCGACTCCGTGCTGGTCAAACATGACAGACGACTACCATTCCTATAAAGTAGTTGTCAAAATTACTCTTGAAACCTTAGATATTATATATTTTCATTGAAATATAATATTACAGTGGATACCTTTCAAGGATAGATGGAAGAATTTATTTCATGTTCAGGTTTTGTTGATCCACCACATGGTTAAGATATGACTACATATTACGAACTTATACATTGAGAATCAATGAAGTAATATTTCAATGAATTTCTTAAAAATTGACCAATTACTTTGAAGGAATTCATTTTTAAATCTAAAGTATTAAGTAAATCTTGAAATTCTTTCCAAATCCTAATATTTTACGAAAAACATGGCATTTGTTTTCAAATGGAACTAGCAAATAATAGGAAGCAATATAAAACGAATGAAAAAGAATGTAAACGGTGGATCAATTTCTCATACATCTAAATTTGATTTTTTACTCAATGTCTTGGATTAAATCTTACTAACTTTAGTATATAATAATCTATTTCTGCCCTTGAAAGGTATCACTCAAGTTTTCCATTAATGGCAATTTATCCACGAAATAGGGTAAAATATCATGTTAGGGACGATTCATTTGCGTTACCAGAACCAGATTGAAATGTTATTGCAATCGATTTCGTAATAATACAATCTCTACAAATTATGGCGGTTCTCTGATTTAACAATTCGGTGTTCTACGCTACGTGAGCATAAATTATACTGCATAATTGTTCTTAAATCTATTATTTCCGTATAAGTTTCGTTATTAATTTTTGTTTAGGCATTACGCTACTTAATTATCGTTCATTTACTTTGTTTTTATTTGACACTTCCGGTGCCACACAGAGTATATCCAAGATAAAGTGCGAAGACATTTATTGGCCGGGTTAACTGCCAAGAGGTTAACTCAATAATCAATCGAGAGAACCGCCAATGAATTTCACTGGCACATCAAGAAGGAGCTTACGAAGATCAGTAGTCTTCTCCTTTTGACAAAGTCGAAGGAGCTGCAACGCGGAGGCCGCAATTCCTGTTCTTCGTCAACGTTTGGTTACGCTCCAAGAGGCCGGGGATGTTCTCGGATGTAAATAAATGTCAAGACAAGGCACCGTCTTGATTCAACCTATTTCTCCGCCGGAGACAGGCAACGTGGATTTTCTTGATTTCGTGGACGAGGAGAGGATTCCGTTCGAGTGAAACATGTCACTCCAAGTTACTTGATCGGTCTACCATGGGATCGGAACTTTTTGCCGATAAACCAGCGTGTGCACGGCGGAGTTGTCAACACCGAAGAGATTCCTACTATGTGTTGAACAACCTCTCATCAGACTCCGTATCTACATCAGACATTAAGCCTCTTGCTCCAGGATCTTCAAAACTACGGATGAAAAGTAAAAGTTTCATTGCAAAGTGCAATGAATTCTTGCAATCGAATGTTATCGACTAGTCATGTCTTTCTAATTTCTGAGTGTTTTTAAACTTCACTCTTGCAAGATAATTTATGCTCACGTCGCGTAAAAATGAATGTATAATTGTCAAGATGTGGTCCGGTCGTAAAGTAATGTTAAATCCATTGGAAAATCAATGCGATCTACAGCAAAGGAAAATTGGGCACCGTAAGCGATCGAATTAATCGATGTTATTTTTAGCGCGAAAAGAAAACTGATTGTTCTTTAGGAGATATATTTCATTGTATAATTCAATGGAATCAAACATCAGGATGTTTAGAACTGGAATGAAAGTGTGGAATTTTCTTGAAATGATCATATTGAATGGAGTACGCGTCAACCACCTTGGAACGATTAAGTTATTGTACATACACGATAATAAGAATAAAGCATGACGTTCTCCTTTCGTATTACTAATTTCTTCTTGCGAAAGTATTTTTATTATAATAAGTTTATCACTAGTGAAAATGCAAAATGTACTTTGAATTATTCTCCTTAAAAAAATTCTTCACAAATTTACTATAATAATTATTGACTTGCTGTTAAGTAATGAAAACATTGGAAATTTGTATTTACAATCGTATCTTTTTTAATATTAACTTAATCGCTCTCCATTTCGTCAATGTCAGCATTCATAAGTTGTGACGGACTTTCCATTTCTGAGGCCTGTAAAGTGAAATAATTTCAGTTTAACGCGACATAAAATGAATGAAATCCGCACGATCGAAGCATTATTAAAAATTACACACATGAGAATATGAATAAAACATAAGATAATTAACGGAACAAAGTATCATTATCATATTTAGATACATACATCACTTGTCTTCAACGTATTTAGTTGTTCCTTCTTGTATCTCCTGAAGAAGCCAAGCTAAACACGTCAAATCGTACATTCAATTAACACGAGAAATCGTAGATTCAAAAGGAAGTTCTGATAATACGTACCCAACTTAAAATACCTGTAATGACACTTAATAATATAATTCCCAAAGCTATTGAGACCAACAAAATCCACGGCTCCACTTTCTGTATATTAGGAACGACGTAGAAAGTTGTCGTAACTTGTGCTTTAAACCTAATAAGATTAAAATCACAATAAACGCAAGAATGATTAACGTCGCTTTTGCTTTTTACCTGTTGGGGGACGTTAACCGAAAAATATAGGGCTGCACAGAATTGATTCGAGCCTCCGTACTAAAGTAAATGATCTTCTGAACTTCTGAACTATCTGAAAAATTGAATGCATTGACAAAGGGAACAAACGAAATATACGTTAATAGTGCCTTAGAAATTACCCTTAGAGGACGTGACATGAAGAATAAAGTTTAAAAGTAAATGAACGACGTCGTCAGGTGTTTTTAGAGATCCTAATTCACACGTAAGTTTTCCACACTTTAACCCTGGTGCGGAACAATTTAGGGATATTACTTTTCTTAACGTGTCATCTGTGACTTGTAAACCTGTAAAATTGGGGACATGCGGTTCTTTCATTTCGGGTCCCGCGAAGTCAGTCTCTTCTGAACCCGCGTTTTCTTCAAGTGTGGCTCTTTTCTTTCTCGTGGTATCATTAATTGTAAATTCAGAATTATCGAGGAGATCCCTAAAGCGACCGTTAAGATGGGCGTCGAAAAAGGTAATGTCTTCGGAGTGGCACTCGTGTCGTCTTCCGGAAATATAAAACTGAAAATGTTTTTTTTTTTTACTTACAAAGTGAAGTTTGAAATTTTAACATTTGCAGGAATTTGGAAAATTTGAAGTATTTTACTAACGTTTGGTTTACTCAATAGAACCAATACTTCAGAGCCTTCTAATCCCAGTGGCACTGAAACGACGAGATCGATACCACTTATCGAAGTGGCTCCAAATTTCGAAATTTGATAAACTTGCTCAAAATTTATAGTCAAATATCCCTCCTTCGATGTCGAGAAAAGGTAGAATTCATCGGTGGGTTTTCTAGAAGAAGGAAAACCATTAGTATTCGTTGATCTCATCGTTCAATGTCGTAAATACATTTTAAAACGAACCCAGTCATTATTAGAGATGCTTCAGCTTTTAAATTCAACGGTGCACTTGTTTCCTTACTTCCCTGATTAATGTTTTGAGTTTTAACTATTGCACGGAATGTAAGTGTTTTGCCGTCAAAAAAACCATGGTTCATAAGTTTCATATCTAAGTCTAATTTAATAATTTTCTGCAAGTTATTTCAAAGTTAGCATTAATGTAATGTAATGCCACCATTTAATATTTGGTTAAAAACCTCAGCGTCCTTTCTAGACACGACCTCTGCCTGATGAAGAATTCAAGTCCTTTTTGGATTAATATATTATGTAAAAGAGTGTTTGCACTTTGTTAAGTGAACATAGCTTTGTAGAAAGTAACTTCCAAAAAGGACAAGTAATTAATTATAATTAGTTTAAAATTCTGTTATATTTCGAAACTAAAGTCATGAGACAATTATATCACTAAGGTTGTTACCTCCGTTGACGTGTCGAATGGATTGCCAATTTCACAGGATACGGATACCGTGGAATTGCTAATATCTTCTTGACAAAATGGTAAAACGCTAAGAAGCGAGATTCCCTCGGGAATAAAAATAGTCACCACTGTTAAATAGGCAGGTTCTCCACTATTTGTCAGATTCAGTACAATAGCGATATCACCCGATCCAATTATCCAGACGCTATCATTTCTGCAAGATTGCCGATATTTAATTTTCCCTTTAATACCGATTGGGAGCACGGAAAAACTTACCGAACACCGTGGAATTTTATCGCCAGGGATACATTAGAGTAACAGATTTTGTCTTCTCCACAATCGATATCAAAAGGAAGCTCCACCTCCACTGCCTCCGAGGCACTATCCTTCTTCTCGATTGAGCATGCTTTGCAAAAATTACGATCGTCTGAAATCCGAAGAAGTATTTCGACCCTACACTAATACCATTTTCGAAAAACGGATACCTATACCTATAACATCTCACCTTTTTCATCCAAAGATTGATTCGCCGAAAGTTTGTGTCGAACGATTATTTTTACAGGATCGACCACATTGCGAATATTATCCTGCAATATCGAGAGCAATTGGTTAATAACCAAGACTTTTGAATTGAATTTAGACCGAATTCATTGGGAACGGGTATCGCGACATCTTAGCCAAACATAAACCTCACCGATAAAGGAATGCTCTGATTAATACACGAGCGTACTTCTCCGGTTACTGAAACATTTGGCAGCAATACCGTTTCCTCGCGCGTCCGCTTGTAATCCTCATCAATCGTGATGTTCAAGTCGAAATCTGTGAATTTTCGAGTCTCAATTGTGAATTATAGAATTAATGAAACCAGAGCAAAACAGTTATGGACTGTACCGCAAACATTTTTCAATCAAACGTGCTCACACTGTACAGTCGGCGCGTGCTTGCCATAATATTTTATGCAGATGATACAGAAGAAAACGTTGACGTGGTTTGCCTGCAGTGCCTCTGGATAAATTTCAATCGTGATATTAACGTTGATTACTGGCTTTCCACGGATCACCACTGCATGGTTCGAGCTGTATGCACCCACTGCGAGGTCCGGATATCTGCAGAGCGTCAAATGTCAATTATTTCAATGACACGAAGGAGAAGAAATAGACTACGAGTTGTCAGGAAATTAAGTCGGTAAATGTGCAGATGAAAATGTTCTAAGCTACGGAATAAAATCCAATCGTAGACAAGACCGTTCATGGTTACAGAAAGAAAAGTGATATCAAGTTAAGGAATTTTTATCATTATAAGCATTATTTCTACCGACCCGTTATTATCGATGTCCTCTGGCTCCGATAATGAAAATCCAAAAGTCTTAATTGAATTGGTCGTTTGAATTCGTTGAGATTGCCCAAGTCCAAGGCCTTCTTGAATATTTGGATGTCCATTGAACACATAAACTGCTCCATTCTTCTCCCACGGTGCTCCCACGATAACGTCTGAAGAATCGCGACCATTCGAGTATTATAGAGGGATAGGAAAAGGACATTTCATATTAATCATCAGAGGTTCACCTGCAAATCCATCTTGATCTAAATCCCCGCAAGCTAAGGAGTAACCAAATTGTGCTCCTTGTAAACCGTTTGTCAACTCCGTATCTACCTTGACGAACTCGTGCTATAAATCACACGTGATACAACTTTTTGAATATCAACCAAATGTTCAGCTTAAATGTTACAAGTTATGTCGTTTTGGATACGTAATCAATGATTTGAAGCAAATTTGTCGAAATGAAAACCTACCGTGCTGCTACCTAAATATATGAAAACTCTGCCACTATCTTCTCCGGAATGAGGAGACCCGATGACGAGATCGTCCAAGCCATCGCCATTTAAGTCTCCGGCAGCCAAGCTGGCTCCAAAAAATCCACCGACCTCCGTGCCGACAAGTGTAGCGATTATCTTGGTTTTTGAGCTTGGATCGATTACGCTAACCTGTCGGTGACGGAAGAAATGAAAAAACCAGAAGGCCCTAGGGTTCAATCGAGATGTTCATCTAAGAGTGATAACAAAGACGCCATTTTAGGGAGTACAAATTACCTGACCCACGTATGCCCAACCTGGCGCTCCACTGGCGAATAACACCTGGCTTTTGTTGAAGAAAAATCCTGATGTGACCGAATATCCTAAAGTTAAATAGCACGGTGTTTAAAATAAAAGCAATTAACTTGCCCGAGGCAAATACAGGATTACCGAATTGCGTCTGTTCATCGCTGTTAGGCAGTTCTACGGATTCTTTCCAATTGTTGGCATGCGTAATCTCGACGGAGCCCCATGTCTTGTGCTTTGGCCTACCTATTATTCGTTGATTTTCTCCCGCAAAATGTTTCTGAAAATGTTGACTCGCAACTACTATTTCTTTCACCGACTTAGATTTATCAAAGGATCTCAAAAAGTCATATTTTACACGAAGCAAGTAAAATGTATTACTTTACCGTTGAGGCATATGCAACAGAAAATCCATGTATTGGATTACCCCAGTTACGATCGCGAAAATCTGAAAAAGTATATTATTATCGGACAACTATTGGCGTAACCCATGAGGTTTAAACTCTCATTGACATCGTTCTAGCTTTTGGAAACAGCAAAAAAAGTAAGCATTTCATTATTTTTCATTCGGTATCTTCAAACATAATTTGTGAATTGTTCACGACTCACTGTAAATCGATGTATATTTGTCTTCTATTTGCAAGAGTGACAAAATTGAACCAGTATAGCAGAATCCATGCATCGTGTCTTGAACAAAGTCAACGGGAGCGTGGTATCCATTATTCTTGAGTGTCATAATCGTACGCGGGGCACATGCCGTTATAAGTCCCAGATGCTTCTGTATCGATATAGCAGCTCCAAACCAAGCGTTCTCTTTTTCAATTACCGTATTATATCGAATTTGCGAAATCTTTCCATACTCGGTTCCATGATACTGTTGGCTCACTTCTAAACAGCCTTGAAATAGTAAACATCGATAGACAATTCCGGGATTAGCCACAGAATGGACAGTATCATTGGCGCGAGGGGCACCAACGATCAACCTATGCAAAAGTACCATACAAAAGAATATCATATTATTATTGTATCAAACTTGTATGCCGAATTTCTTTGAATGGAATATATGAGTAAGCTTACCAAGAATTTTGCGGATCGGCAGTATATAAAACAACGGTGTAGCCAAAATAACTATTGTTTTCGGGACTCTTGAACAGAACGGCACTTTTAACGTCCAGATTGTAACCGAGAACCAATGCAGGAAAAAAATGTAGTATTTTGATAAACATATTAACACTAAACATTGCTGAGGGTCTGAAACTGATTCGTATTTATGAAGTATTTGAAATGTCACGTATTCATAGAGGTAGGAAACTTTAAGAGGAACGCACTTGGAGGGCTGAGAGGAAAGTGTCGGTCAGCTTCAGAAATACAGGATGAGAGATGATAAGACAATCACTGCTACATTAAATGCCGACTGAACTGTCCATTGCTATTTATATAACTATTATTCATGCGAAGTATGAACAAGAATCTAAAGGACGAAAATCGGAACGCATATAAAGTAAAAAATACTTATTGAAAACGAAGGATTTATTTAGCGTATCGACACAGGGTCCTCCGCTACTTCATCACGCGATATTATGTAATAATTCCTCGTTGCTTAAATCGTTCCAAATGATCTCTTGTAGTACGTTCATAAAACGTTTTTCTTGGGTCAACTGGGCTAAGCAATCCACACTGTACAGAAAACAAAAAATATGTTCGTATCATCGACACCCTGTAAGGAAATCTTGAACAGCACATCAAACGCACAAACCTGATAAGGGTCCCTCAATTTTAAAGCATTTGCCATCTGAGCATTCAAATTTTGCTCTCTGTCCGCATGATCGGGATGTGTCGACAACCAAGGCACCTGATTAGGCTCTACGTTCATTTCCGTTAGAGTTCTCATCATTCCCCAAAATACAACCGCTTCCCTTACATCCACGCATGCCTGTATTTATCGAGTTTAAATAAATACATATTTAAAGCAAAATACTGTACTTTAAAGTTTATATACATTGTACCTTGGCAGCTAATTTAAGACCAATCTCGTCTGCCTCGCTTTCTAATGCTCTACTATACGGCAGATTATGTACAATATCAACAACGTGCTGAGTTATGGCATGGAAAATAGTTGCTAACACGTCTGGAAACATTGCCCATAATGCCATTATTGGTATCATCACTAAAAGATCTATTAGAATTCCAGTCGACATCTGTTCAAACTGTAACAATAAATTTGTATTTATATATTTTTTGCTCCAGCCTCTTGCTTTAAGTTGAACTAACCGAATGATGGAGTAGTGCATGTGCCATTTCATGGGCTAAAATTACAGCCAATTGGTCATCGTTTTCCACCATCTGCATCATCCCTAAAAATACAAATATGTTCCCTCCCTGAAAATAAAGTTATCCCTACATTACTGATATAAATCGACCCTGGAGTTACAAATAACAAATAGCCAAGAATTTATAAGAAATAATGTATGACTTACTGGTAAAACATATGCATTTTTTAAGGGGGAATCAATTACAGAGAGACTCCATTTTTTCTCTGAAACTACTGGCAGATCCTTATTAGCGGAAATTAATATTTCTGTAATTTTTTGTAGCTTTATGTACACTGGATGTTTTGCTGATATTATTAATTTTTTATGTTGCTCCAAATGCTAAAAGATATAAGATTATAACATTTTCTCAAGCCAAGTAAACTTCTACATGCTCCAGTGGTAATCGACGTACCACTTCAAATATAAGTTCAGACAATTGAATTCGTTGTTGTTTGTTAAACATAATAAATCTTGATCGATTTGTTATCGGATCTTTCTCAATATGGGTGATGTAATAAAGGAAAATTGAGATTACAAAGAAACCCAACGTACCTAAAAAGAACTAAATGTTTAATGAACTTCAGATTTCTACAGGATGGGATAAGGCTCACCAAAAAAGACATTTTTCTTTCCCGCGTATTTCTGAATATACTGAAATTGTTCATCATTGGACTTTCGCTTCCACCATTTTCTCAGAAAACGGCCAAATATAACAGCACCGATACGAACTAAGGGTCGCAGAAGAAGAGCAAGTAACGGGGGAATATCACGACGAGGAGTTGTGTGAAAGTCATACCGCTGATACTTTATATATCGATAGATTTTAATAGAAACTTTCGACTTCAAAGGTATTGCATTTGTGATTGTTTTATAAGGACTATTAAATGTAAAAAAGTGGGTGAATTTCTGCTGTTTCAAATAGTGCACTCTGCATACAATCCTTAAAATTGGCCACATATTTATATATACATTTTCAAATAACCATACTATTACTGTAAATATAATGGTAATCGGAGTAACGTTACAACTCCTTGGTTTCTAACAAAATGTAGTTATTACTGGTAAATACATACATCTGTATCACATTGTAATACAGTAATACGTAAAATTGTGTAAACGTTATTTTTTTAAATTATCAAGAGATAACCATAAAATAACTATTTGAACTGTCTCTGCAAAGAAATGGTCAACGATGGCCTGGTAAACCTATTGCTCTTTCTCAAAATTCACGGTCCTTTGCCCTTGGGGGCAAAGAACGGTGAAAGCTAACGTACGAAACCAGAGGGCAGCACACGATTGATCGCGCGATCCTGCACGTGAGCAATCTCCCAACTCATCTCTGCTGTTCTCCCCGAGTCGTTACCAGGATTGGTCAAGTAAAATACCCTAGGTAATTTACGTAGTTCTTTTGTACAGTACCGCCTTCTTTGGGTGGAGTTTAATAGGTATATACTTTACTTGGATTTTACCTCGAATGACGCGTCCAGACGCGTCATGCACAATACTGGCCGTGGTTGGCCGTGGTTGCTCTCATTTTTTCTGGCTTACTTCTCTAATGTTCTCTATGTAGTTGTTTAAAATCATTGCCAATTGCACAACTGGCTTTTATATTATTACTGCTTGAGAAATAAGCTCTGGATTTAGTAACAAAGAAAATATGGGACATATAAAAGGAATAAAGAATAAGGATCCATCTTCCAAGATACATTCTCAGATGTATTAGAGATGAAATAGGACAATTTGTATGTACAAAGTCTATATAGGTGTAACTGAAATGAAAATTAACCCTAAGTAATTCTAACCAAATAGCTTCCTTCTATATAATATACCCTAACAGAACTTGATTCCTGACAAATAGAATTTTACATGAAGGTTCGTTTCATTTATACAATATATATCTATTTGTCACAATATATAAATTTTTCAATGAACTAAAATCGCGTGGGTCAATTCATTCAGCTTGGGTTCTATTTTAAGCGTGCATTCAGCCGAAGAAAAATATCCAAAGCATCTTGTGCAAATTTATCCATCATCATTTGACTATGCATAGGGGTAGGGGCTAATCTAAGTTTTTCCTGGCCCTTTGGCACGGTAGGGTAGTTAATTGCTTGAATATAATGCCCCTTTTCCCGTAGCAGTGCTTCTGCCAATTGGCTACCCAGCAAGGGATCTCCAATCTGCAATTGAAATTATTTTACAATGTCCTTTACTGTTTACCCAATATATTTAAATACAAATAAACCAGTGACCCACTCTTATCGGAATGATATGCGATGGAGAAGGCTCTACCGGAAGGCCAGCAGCTACGAGGATGGATTTCATGTATGCGACGTTTTTTTGGTGTTCCGCTCGCAAAGACCTTCCTTCATCCGAAGATAAAATTTCAATCGCCGCCAGGGCGCCATAGAGGACCGTAGGTGGTAACGATGTAGTAAAGATAAACCCTGCCGCATAACTTCTGATCGTGTCTATTAGCTCTGCCGAACCAACCACGTATCCTCCTATGTTACCAAATGCTTTGCCAAGGGTTCCAGAGATAATATCCATTTTATGTAAAACCCGATCCCTCTCACCGATGCCGGCACCGGTATAACCATATAGACCGACTGCGTGCACCTCGTCGACAAAGGTTAATGCACCATATTTATGAGCTACGTCACAAAGCTCCTCTAGGGGACAAATGTCACCTGTCATGGAATGCACCGTTTCAAATGCCACAATCTTGGGAACCTCTTTATTCACCTTTGACAGAAGCTCCTCCAGATGTTGAGCGTCATTGTGCCTAAAGATAAATTTCTTAGCACCACTGTTTTGTATGCCTTGAATCATGGATGCGTGATTACCTGCATCAGAAAAAATGCAACAACCTGGCAATTGCTTAGCCAGAGTGAACAAAGTCGAATCGTTGGCAACGAAACACGAAGTAAATAGTAATCCAGCCTCTTTACGATGCAAAGTAGACAGTCTCTTCTCTAACATCTCATGGCCCATAGAGTTGCCCGATATGTTTCTGGTTCCTCCAGCACCTGCTCCAAACTTATCCAAAGCCTTGCGAACCGAGTCCGTCACAGCTGGATGACGGGACATTCCCAAATAATCGTTCGAACACCAAATGGTAATAGGTGTTTCGCCATACGAATATTCCAAAGCTGCAGGGAATTTTTCCCTCAGACGATTCACCTTTTTGAAGACTCTATAACAGTGATCTTTCTTCTTTTTGACGATTTGCTCGTGAAAGAACTCTTTATATGGAAAAGTGGCATCTTCTTTAGATTCTTCTTTTTCTTTTGGAGTTGCGTTCAGGTTCGTAACGTCCTCCTCTACCAAGGGGCTTACCTCCTTAATGGCAGGCTGTTCGTTGGACAGAAACGGACTCCGGTTTTCCATAGGTAGCTGCACTTGGGGTTCGAGGGATTCGGTCGTACCAAAGAGTCGGGACATTATCGGGCAGTGTTTACGATAGTTCGAGATTAACGACGTTCCATAATTACGTACATAATTCGGAGATAGGCGGGTCAAGAATGGGCATGTCATGTTGACTAAATTATCTGAAACACACGTTCTTATGATTACCAAATGGGACGCTCAACCTTGTGTATCCAATTTACCTCGTCACGCGAAGCGCTCAATGAAACGAGTACCTGCTCCAAGTGCGAAGTAGCATTTGATGCGCATTCTCCATGTACACGTCTTTGGTGTGCGACCTGAGCTACGATGATATTTCGAAACAGTTGAGTCGCTGCGTGACGAGGTGGAATTACGACAGAACGAGGAGTAGAAGGCAGGTAAATGAGAGGGAGCGCCTTATCCATAAGAGATCGTAAAGCTTACCTTTACGGACGGTCGACGGATGACAGCCGCTGACGTAACGAACGGTTCGACGAATCGGACGAATCAGCTGGAATCGAAAAGAAAAGAAAATGTCAGATTTCCCTTTCAACGGAGCGGTACGAGACAAAAGACCGTCCTCGTACGACATGGGCTGATTGTGGCTGCTTGCCAACTGTTACCAACTTCTCCGAATTACCCTTGGCGCAAAATCGTACGCGAGACCAGGGAGAGGGGATACGGTGTAGGGAAGATCAGCTGTCAAGGACGGGACTCGACGAATTACCATTCATACACGGAGTATTCCTTTTCATTGGATACCGTTGCATACTTCGCTTGAGAGCAAAAGTCTTAGAAACGAAACATAGGAAATTTAGAAGAATTTCTGCAGACGTCACGAGCCCTTTCTCCGCTTTTTTTATGAACGGATGCACGAGGATTTACAGGTTTAAGGACAACACGAGGGATACACCGAAGGGGTTCGGCGCTCTTCCCGCGTCTTGGGCCGTATCAACTTCATAGGATCGTCGCTTCTTTTTAGCTGTTTTTAATGAACCCTTTGGCCGTGTTGAACGTAGCGCGATGCTATCTACGCATGTATGTACTTACTGGAGGATAGGAGGGTAACCACACGGATGCCATATCCTTTGTTACTACTTTGAAAAAATATCCAAGTACACTTTTTAGAAAAAGTATCTACGATCCCTTTGGCTCGCTACGAGGTTTTACCGAGACTGGTTACATTCTAGTAACGCTTCTACGGTGGATCGAAGGAGCGCGGACTGACGCCAAAGGAAACCACTAGTTTTCTGCGAATTCATGCCGATTTAATGATTTTGTTTGCATCCAATCGAATCGTGAAAACGGTGCCGTCGCATGATGTAATATTCATCTTTGCAAGGCAAATATTCCTCAAGTTGAGTACTTGCGGATGTTTTCTTTTCGCGCGTCACGGGCGTTAGGGTAACGTCGTGTCGAGTTTCCAAGGGACGTGCCGGAAAGTCGTGCAGGAATTCTTTCGATCGCTCGTAACGATCGATTCGGAGTTTTCGACGACCTTTTTCGCCGAAAAAATCGCAACTAAAAAACTGTGATTTTCCTTTAAAATAAAATTTTGCCCAAGTTTTGCTCGGATGAAAAATATAAACTGGTAAAAGAAGAAAGATCCGTTAGATAATAGATAGTCGGGGGTGTTTTTTTATTCAGATTTTCCTTTGTGCTTACAAGAATGTCATTTTTGTCGTTTTCTAATGATTCGTTGTGAAATATATCGGCACGTATGTCATACATTCGACTTTTACAGTGAACTATTTTATTTCCAGAGATAGATTTACCGACAGCCGGTAGTCGATAGTCGATAGAAACGATACATACAAGTCCGCCGTTTCGGATAATTTTAGGTTAACAGCAGTCGATGGCGAATATCGTTCGATTGGTCACACGACTCCATTTCGTATTCTGCCTAGCAAAATACCACTTTGTTCGCGTCACCTTCGCTTTTGCAACGAATGCGACAACAATGCTCGAAAATTCGCAGTCTCTGTCTCCATATCCGATATATTCTCTACCTCGACATCTGTCGCCATCTGTCGCCATCCTCCGAGCATTAATTAGGCATCTTCCTCTGATCTCTGTTCTGAACCGGTCTTGACTGGTCTTGACCGAATCCTGACAATAAACAGTGCTCAAAGGATTAAAGTTTACACGTGCTCTTTTACGTCAGACATTTATTTAATGAGTATATTCAAATTTGCATCGTTGTAAAATTAATTTTGAGCGGGATGTTTTCCAAACCGTTCAGAGTAAAATCCAACAGTCAACTCAAAGGCTCCGAAAGGTTAGAAGACACGTTCTAATATATTTCGAGTTATTCTTAAATTGCTTCGTGTGAGGTACGAAACGGCTCTTGCGGAGATATTTAAAACTACTAATTCCGTTTGATTTTTGCTTATATCATTTTAGAAAAAAATTATACGAAGAATTAGGAAAGGCATTCCCGAATCTTACGGAGGAGGACATACAAAATATACTACCCAAAAAGGAAGCTTTAAATGTCATCAAAATTGTTACTCACAATGGCCAATTATGTAGACTGTACTGCATTGCCAGGGTACCGATGTTCTTTCAACTCGATTCCTCAGTACCAGGATTCTTCCCAACTGTCTACACGTTGTGGCATCACCCAAATTTGCTATATAGTTATACTACGCATTCTTCCGTAATACCAAAGCTTGCTGCTGGCGCTGACTTAATGTTACCAGGAGTAGTTCTGAATGGACCTCCGACATTATATTCATATGGAAAAATAGCCCGAGGAGCACCAGTTTCCGTAAACACGGAAGATAACAAAGTTAGCACGTTTAATTTCATAGATTTTTTCACAATGAACAATCTACACAATCTGGACTGATTATAAAGTAAAATTATATCGTTAACGGATATTTTCAATTTAGGCATCCATTGCGGTTGGAGTAACAACTTTGACTAGCGAAGATATGTACATGTCCGGTGGTCATGGAAAGTGTGTACAAATATTTCATGTACTCGGTGACAGTCTTTGTCAATTTGGAAAATCTGTAACTAGACCTGACCTTGGTTCCCCGTTTGAATCTAATGGAGAAAATGTATCTTCAGAAGAGTCGAGTAAAGCCAGTAACGACGAATTAGCCGAAACAACTTGTTCCCGGCTAAATAGAATAGATATTAACAACGAGGTGAATGCTGACAAAACAAGCGAAGCAGAGGTTGAGGTAAGCGATTACTTAATTTTCTAATTTATCGTCAGCATTAGTCATTTGTTTCATTCTATGGTACGTCGTAGGACAAGTCGGAAGATATTCAACAAGACGAAACAAAGATCGTATCACCGGTACAAATAGAAGTAGTCGATCCCATTCAAGAAATGGATAATTTATTAGAATACTGTTTCTTGAAAGCTTGTAAGACTACCATTAAGAGAAGTGACATGCCCATGCTTACTTCTAATTTCTTCAAGAATCACCTATTGGCCGCGTGTCCTCCTGGACGGAACGTAGACATAAAGAAAACCAGTTACAAAAAATTATCTGTCTTTTTGGCCAGTATGAGTTCCAAAGGGATAATCCACACCACTGTGATTAAAGGAGTGGAAAGTATTTTGTCTATTAAGGTAATGGTTTTGGTCTTAACGGAGAGAAAGAATTAACCTTTATTTGGGTACCGCTTTGCAGTTAATACTAGTTCCTAATCGATAACAATAACTCATGCTCCAGGCGAATCATCCACTGTTGAAAAAGCTCGTAATTAAGGAAGAGATACCTATCCCACCACCAGTTGTCTCAAATGCTCCGATTATTTCTGAATGTTACAAAGTGACAACGGACGTCTTTCCCATACTATCCAAATATGGCTTTGAGTATGGATCCAGTTGCCACTTCTATATTGCCGAATGGTCAAACTTTGTGGAAAGCATTATGCCTGTATGATTTTCAATTTCAGAAAGGGAGATACACTGAAAAGAGCAGAAGCTAGGAGGTACTTCACCGAGTACGTAAAAGAGGAGAACCTTCAAAATGGAAAGTAAGTTCGTTGAGGGTAAATTTTCTGCTGCTCTCGGAGGTACGATTCATAAAACATTCTGACATCTCCAAATGAAAACACTCGTCGACAGGATTTTAAAACTGAACCCTCGGTTAGCTGGGATGTTTCGCACAAAGGAGCATCAAGAGACTCTGACAATGGAAGATGCGATAAACAAATTCATTGGCCGCATGGCTCGAACTTTTGAAATTACCGTAGCCGGTGTTACGGTATTACGCGCAGGGAAAGTGGACCCGATCGACATCACGGTGGCATCTCGTTCAGGCAATAAAAAGGTAAAATAACGTTAACGGCTTTCGACTCACCTCACCTTTCTTCGGATCATCGTTTGAACTCGCAGGTAACGTTGGTGAACAATTTGGAGACATTTGGCATAAAGCTGGACGAGTTTAGCAAAGAGTGCCAAGGCATAGGAGCAAGTGCAACGATTACGGACGTTCCGGGAAAAAAAACGCCTAGTGTTCTCGTTCAAGGAAATCAAGTCTTGTACGTTTACAAGCTCCTAACGGGTGAGTTACGGCTAAAAGAAGCTATCGATCGATGATATCGCATTACCATGGAAGGGATAAGAATCGATATTTCGTTTCAGAGAAGTACCAAATGCATCACAGCTATATCCGAGGGTTGGAATACGCACCGAAACAGAAAAAGTAACCAACCCGTCTTTGCGGGCGGGCAAGTAAATTCTCGTTGCATCGTCCGTACCGTATCCACGCGATCTTGGAAAAGTCCACGATCGGATTTTACGACAAAGAGGAGACGCTGGGTCTCCGTCGAGACACGAGGACAAAGGACAGGTTGCGAGTCCGAGTCATGTAATATCTCTAATAAAAAGTTTCAATTGAGAATATTTGCTCGACGGATCCGGATAAACGCGCATCTCGAGCGCGATCAATTCGGTCGATCGTCGAAGAACTCCCGGGCTCGGAAGAAACCACGTCGAATAAAAGTTTGTTAATATAATTTATTGTATATCGAGGTTTCAACATGGAAAAGTACAAATATTGCAATATAGGGCCCGCGAGCTCTCCTCGGGAGGGAGGGACGGTGAGTGAAGAGGGACGAGGATCGAGTGAGCGGGACAGGGGGACAGGGGGACAGGGGGACAGAGGGACAGAGGGTCGAGGTGAAAGGGGATGGAGAGGGCCGACGAGGCGCGCCGAATTCCAAGTTTAAAGACTCGGGACGCGTCTCGCTTCGCCGTTACAAGGAAGGTGCCCTCCTCTCCTCGGCCCCCGCATATATTTAATACTTATCTATCCTTACGCGCACGCATCGCCGGAGCTCGCGACGCGCCACCACATTTAACTACGGACAACCCCTGCATCGGTGGCTCGTTAACTCCCGCCCTTTCGCCCACTTTTTGCCCTCGAGTAGCGTCCTCCGAACGAGTGCGCGAGTTTTCTCCGACGGAAAAGCCACGAAACCCGGTACCACCCCGAAGACGCTTCCGATGGCGCGAGACGAAGGTTGCCGTCCTATTCCATCTTCGGGAATTTTTACTCGTTGACCAACGACGGTCCAAAGAATCACGGAAATCGAAATAACGTCTCGGTAGGAGGGTCGTATCGAGACTCACCGTCCCGAGTCGTCCTCGCGATCGTCCGCCGAGAAACCGCGTACCCGGCTGTCGTCTAAATACCGCTCGGTGGGCGAATCGTCGGGAGTTAACGGGGTTTACTCCCGCACCCGGGAAAGGAGCGTTCTCTTCCGCCTCTGAAAAAAAAAAAGTCTCCCTGGCCCTTCGTCTCGTTTCTTGCATATCGCTCTCTCTCCCCCTCCGAATCTCATAGTTTTACGCAACACATAATGCGGCTAGGTAGTACAGGTTAATTAATAATTAATATCATTAGTTATACAATAATAACGTATGGCTAGACAATGCAAGATAATAATTATATCGTAAATATTAATAATCGTGGATCGCAATTTATATCAACAATGTGACATGGCGCCTTCCCGTATAAACTCTACGTGTGCGAGACGCGGGTAGGTGGGTGGGCGCGAGGGCGCGAGGGCGCGAGGGCGCGTCGGGTCGCTCGATGCGGAGTCCGAGTCTCTCGTTCGGCTCCGAGAAATCGATACTCTCCCCAACCTCTATGTACACGAAAGAAACGATCCGCCGGATATGCCGGGCCGACTCCGGCTCGAGCGAAGCGAGGACGAGGACGGGGTCGGGGAGTCCGGCCTCCCCGGCGTCGAGACGCGGACGAAGCGGGCACGCGTCTTTCGGGGGTCGGGGAAGTCCCGATCGTAAAACCGATCGCTCGCGAGAGGAACTTTGGATTCGGGGCTCGATCGATCCGATCCGAATCGACGTGCGATCGAGACCGAGCGATGCGCCGAAAAATCGCGCATCCGCTTCCGTTCGGTCGCCGTCGCCGTCGCCGCCGTCGGAAAAAAGGATCTCGGCCCACGCCGTCGCGGCGCCCCCTTCCGCGCCGTCTCCCGTCCAGCGAGACGACTACCATTAGATTCCTAACTTTATTATCCTTTATAAACCCTTCGCAAAATACTTTGTTACTTTAATAATATCTCCGTTAATTCTCTTCCTCGGTCGATCACAGCGTTTACCCTCGACGTCGATCTCGCCCCGACCAAAACGTGCCTCTTCCTCGCGCTTCTCCCCGGGCCGACTCGTTCCTCTCGTCTTCGCCTCCGGTCGCCCGCACCCCGGGCCGGGCCAAAGGCTCCGGTCTCGAGCCGCGCCGGATGGAAGACGAACGGAGGTCGCCCTCGGCATCGCCGGCATCGCCGGCCGCCCCTCGCATCGTATAACTCTATTAATACTGTAATTAAATATTTATACACCCATTGACGAACTAGCTACCACGTTGTTTTTTTGCTTTTCTTTAAGTAGTTATATAGGTATAATAATTCGATCAATTATAATTAATTCACCTCATAGCCTGCGAGTTACGAGCACGATAATCATAACGATATAATCAATGGACATAACGATAGGGATAACGAAACCCGTGTACGGAAGGAATACGGACTCGCGGTTCGGTCGCGAAGGAGAGTAGCTCGTTTTCGGTCGCGGCGGCGCCGGCCGGACGACCGGGCGACCGGCGACCGGCGACCCGCCGCGTCGCGCCAAGGGGCGATTTCCCCGTCCTCTAACCCTTAAGTCCTTTAAGTGGTAGATAAATACTTTTAGTTAGGCCTACGGTGAGCTAGAGCCGCTTGTGTCTCGCTCGATCTCGACGAGATCCCGTTCGCGCTCGTATACGCGACGCCACCGGTCGTCCGGTCGGGCCGCGGTCGGGCCGCGGTCGGGCCGCGGTCGGTCCCCGGACCGGGGCCACCTGGAAGATATGTACAGGACGGAAGCGAGCCGCTCCACCGGTGGGGAATGCCGGCCGTCGTTGTCGGTAAACCTCCGCGGGACGCGCGCCGATTCGCCCCTTTGTCCCGGGGGAACGAGGGCTTCCTTCTTCCTCGGCGTTTCCGACGTCGCACTCCGAGCGAGGCTCGTTCCGTCGCTCGCTCTCTCTCTCGCTCTCGTCGACGACCTCTCGCTCGTTAAAGAGGGAAAATAATCTCACGTCTACAGCACCACTTGAATTCCCCGTTAAGGCTAACGACGAGATTCGCTGACTCCTCCCGAACGTTCTCTCTGTCTTTATCTCTCTCCCTCTCGCGCCCTCGCGACTCTCACCCCGGGCGCGTCGCGGAGAACGCCCCTTCGGCCTTCGGTGAGAGCCGCGACGATCGACTCGAATTAAACCGTGCTAGGTCCCGCGTCGCCCCCCCCCCCCTGCCCGTGACCGCTCTCGGGGCTCCTCCCATTGTCCGAGCAAACCGTGACTTTGACTCCTGTCGCTCGCCTAAACGTCCTCGACGGTCGGTGTCCCGGTGAGCACGACTCCTCTTCGCGTCGCCACCCCCGCGCTCCCCCCGAGAAAGCGCGTCGATCCCGTTGGACGAGTAAATTCGATTACCGACGCGACGCGAAAGTCCCTTCCCACTCCCCTCTTTCTATCGTTTCTATTCTTCGGCTCCCTCTTGCTCCGAGAACATAACAAAAAAAATACCTAACTTCTCGTCCTCCCCCGGAAATCCCTTCGATTAACGTTTAATGTACACAACGTCCTCCTCTCTTCGGTTTCGCCCTCGTCACAGCGATATAACTAACAACGATTATTGAGACATAAATACGGTACACATAATATATCTAACGTAATAATTGTATGTATAATATCGTAGTAAGTAGATTAGCGTGTTTTCGTTCACGTGAGATCATTGCTGCAAGCGATTAGGGCCGATGGATGGGCCTCGAGGGCGTCCGACGAGTCCTCGTCCCGAGTGACTTCGCGTAGTCTACGGTTGTGCGCTGTACGTGCCGACGAGCCGGAGAGGAACCCTTCCGATAGCTCGTCGAGCCTCTGTGCGTTTGCTCGCGGGCCGTGTCGTTTCTCGAATCGTCCCGGAATTCGTCCGCGGCGAACTTTTGGCCTGGCCAAGGAAGAGGGAATCACGGAACGGCGGACCGACTCGTAACCCGTTCCTTTTAACCGTCTTCGTCTCGGATCATCCGGAGCCTCCTCCGCGACGAATCGACCCGCGGGACGTCGGAGAGGAGAGAGTGGTCCTCGAGAGCGGGAGATTAAGTCTAAGCGCGCCGGTCGGGATGAAATAAACGACCTCTCGAAACAAACGCAAATCAGTTTAATCCTTAAATAAAACATAATTCTTGTTAAGTCCAATATAATAATTAAATAAATAAATAAATAATTGATATTAGTGGTGGTGGTGGTGGTGGTGGTGGTGGTGATGGTGGTGGTGGTGGTGGTATCGGAATGGCGCGGTGGCAAACCGGTGACGCCGCCGCGTCGGGTCTCGACCTTCGGAACCGCCGACACCGGCGATCGTGGTCGCAGGGTGCTCGTAGGAACGATCAAGAGTGGACGACTTCGGACGGCCGCGCGCGCAACCCCGGTGCTCTCCCGCGGGGGTCTCGAGAACGGCTCGCTCCCCTCCATCGTCGGGTTAAACTAGGGCGCGAACGGCGCGAACGGACGAGTCGAATAAATAAAAGCTTAGAAAAGAAGTCGATGGCTCCATCGGCAGACGTGGGAGCCAGGGGGCCCCGGGGGTCGCTCCCCTGCTCCCGGACTAGACACAAAGAGGTACACTTAAATGAGACACGATACACTCTCCCACGTTACTAATTATAATGACGGTAATCGTAGCAATAATAATAATAATAATAATGATAAGAATAATAAGAATAATCATACGAGTAATAAGAATATCGACGACCAGGTCGATACCTGGTCGTGACCCCGACCGGCGATTACGGCATCGGTGCCGATCGAGCGTTTCGAGACGGATCGCGTTGCGAGAAGCAAGGGGAGGTAGAACCGCGTTAAAAAGTCCAGGGTCCGTCTTTTTCCGTTGTAGCAACGATCGCGTAACGGTCGTACGTACGTTCCGGCAGTCCCGTGGGCGATATCGGACCGGTTTCATCTCGCGGGACTTCCCATCCCCGTCGCGTCGAATTCCCTCCTTTTTCTTATCGTCCTCGGAAGGACACGGAAAATGTCTTCGTTATACGTATACGTATCTCCCTTTTATCTTTACCCTTCCAAGACCGTTTTCGGCGAGTCTTCGACATAAACTTCGCGTAACGTTTTGCCTTCGAACGTCCAAAGACGTTCATCCGTCGTATCCGTGAGAGCGGTCGATAATCTACGTTACGACGTCAATGTAGGTGTGGGCGGTGGTAACCGGCGAGATACAATAATAATAATCATAATCATAAGAATCATAATTAATTATAATCACAACTAATAACTAATAACTAATAATAATCATAATAATCAGATAATCGAAGAATACCGGTAATATAGAGATCGCCGGTAAAAACGCGACGCGTTTCTCTCTTTCTCGCTCGTTCGCGAAGGAGATCGAATTTCTTTTCGTCTAATCTATCTAGAAATTGCAAGGATTTTCCGGGTGACCCGGATGGCTCCCCATTTCGTCGCAGTAATCTTACTTCTTCTCATCGATCCACAAACTCGGAAGGGGATTGCGCGAGACGTCGCGGCGTCTGCTAGAAAAATCTCTCATTTTCTCAAAGAAATACGTTGCCGTCCACGCGACTGTAACCGTAACCGGACTTATTTTCTTCATAAAAGTCCCCCTTCGATTCGTTCACGGGAGTTTTCATTCCGCTAGTCGATCCGGCCTCTCTCTCTCTCTCTCTCCCTCTTCCTCCAAGTCAATTGCAAACGTCACCGACTTTTATTAATCTCTTAAACTTAATCGCCGTGCACCCCTACGGAGTACTAACTCTTAGGACGACGAGACGCGTCTCTTCGCGACTCGACATTCCGTCGATTAATCTCGCGTTTTCTTTGCACATGGCCTGAACGCGCGTTTCACGATACGAATTTAATATAAATATATATAAATTATATGTATACATATATTTATATTTATATACCGGGACGCAACGGTGTCGCCCAATCCGCAGCAGAGCTGGATGCTCGGAGCAGTTTTTTTCCGAACTTCGTTTCAACGAGAGTATCATGATTTTTATTTATTGAACGCGTACTAAGAATCCGTAATTGCCATAAATAGCGTAACAATGGAAAAAAAAGCTCGCGAAAACGTCGAGTCTCTCGCGCTTCGCACTTATCCGAGAAGATCGATTTCGGGGTTTTCTCTCTTGGGATAAAAATTGAAGGTACTCGGTGATCGCTTAACGTTCTCGAGACCGATCGTAGAGAAATTGCGCGTCTCGTTTGAAAAAGTTCCAGGAGAAAAAAAAACCGTTTTCAATGAACGTCCAGATCTGCTCGTCAGTCCTACGGACTAGTTTTTGGTCGGGTCGTTTCCCGGGAAGATACTTTAGATAGAAATATCGAAGGTAATTGATTCCAAAAGATTTTGTCGTTCTCGCGCCTCGTTAAGAGAATCGGCAATCGCGGCTGCACGGCGGGCGGAAAATCGTCGCTCCAACGGTTACGAAACACCACGCCGCCGGACGCGAACGGGACATATTGCACTTCGACGAGAACGAGAAAGAAAGCCGAAAGGGGCGATTACCATGGAGACCGAGCGTCTCTTTCCTTCCCGAGCACGCGAGCTTTTGGGTCGACTTCCCGGGGAAGCTTCCTTCTCTCGGCGGCACCTCTGCGAATCTCCGCGACTCGCGCGCGTAGACGTCGGAGGACGTCGGTTAAACGGGCGATTCGCGATCGACCTCGGACCGGCGCGATCTCTCGGGGTGGCGCCTTTGGATCTCCGGGAACTCTTCCTTTGGGGATCCTACCTCCATCTTATTTCTTTCGCAAGTTTTTCCCGTCACTCTGCATTTCGGTCTCTAATTTATCCGCGCGAGCACGAATTCCTCTAACGTATCTCACCGCGGGCAGACTGGGCTTTCCTTCCGCCACCGGCTGGAGAGAGGGGAGAGAACGAGAGCGGTCGTTCCGGCGGCCTCCGCGGGATGTTTCGCTAAGCTCGACGGGCCCAGAGGACGTTCGGTCGGAGGACGAAGCGCCCCGCTCCCTTCTTCGCGATACCTTGCCTCCGGTCGATGGGGCGCCGCGAAAAAACTCGGAGACGACGCGAGCGGAACGATTCGAGCCACGCCCGTCCCGGCCTCCGGTCGATGCGTGCGCCCGCGTGCGCCCGCGTGCTCGCCCGGGTGCCCGTACATAAACTCTATGTACAGAATATTCGCGGGCGGAAGGTAATTCCTTCCTCGGCCGCGCCCTCGTCGTTTCTCCCCGTTTCCTCGACCCGACCGCCGACGTCCTCATTGCGTCCAACTTCCCGAACGGTACCGAAACGGCATCTCCGACTCTTCGGCTCGACCCGCCTCCGGTCGCGGTCAAGCTGCGGCCCCCTGGCGAGGGGCGGGCGAGTCCCGCCGCTGCCCCCTGGCGGCGGACTTGGGTCGAGCGAGGCCGGTCCCCCAGTTGGCCATCCGGACGCGCTCGGTCAGCCGCTGGTGACGCTGCTGCTGCTGCTGCTGCTGCGACTGCTGCGGCGGGAGATGGGGGTTGTGGTGGTGAGGGCGACGGGGCGCCTCGGGCTTCTTGGCGTCGAGGAGGGTGCCGGGCAGCGCGGCGCAATGGATCGGGGGCGGCGGCAGGAGCCGGCGGTGGTAGGCCACCGCGGCCGCGGCCGCAGCCGCAGCCGCCGCCGCCGCCGCCGCCGCTGAGGCTACCGTCCGCTCGTCCTACGCGGCCTTGCTCTTGTTCGTCTTGAAGCTGACCTGGAGCACGCGATTGCCCAGAGTGTAGCCGTTCAGGCTCTGGATCGCCACGACCGCCTCTTCGTAGTTGGTCATCGTGACGAAGCCGAAGCCCTTGCACTTGTTGGTCTGCAGGTCGCGGATCACCTTGACGGACTGGACGGCGCCGAAGGGCCCGAAGAGCTGCCAGAGGACGTTCTCCTCCGTCTCCGGGGCCAAGTTGTAGACGAAGATGCACCAGCCGGAGCCGTTCATCGCGTTGCCCGGCAGCATCGGGTTCGCGAGGAGGTCGCCCGCCAGAGGACTGTACCTGCAACAGTCCGAAATCAGCCTCGAGTCCGACCTGCCTTCCTCCTCCGGTCGCGCCTTCGGTCGCGCCTTCGGTCGGGGGCGCGACCGCGAAATCGACGGGGAATGCGCTTACTGGTATCGAGGGTCTACGTACCTACTTGACGTCACAAGCCGCGTTAAAATGGGGCATATCATGGTGAGTACTCGGTTGACATCTCGGATCGCTACTAGCTAAGGACGCTCCCCGGACCCGAGCCCGAGGAAGGCGGACTCGGGGCTCGGGAGCGTGCACGAGAGTGCTCGCCGGTGCTGGCCAGTCGTCGGGGAGGAGGGCCCGGAAGGGGTTCCCTCTCCGGCGCAACGGCCCCCAGCACTGGCCGTCCGTTCGGAACCGACGCGTACCTCCGTTTCGGCTCGGCATCGTTCACGGCAGGGTATGCATCGATCGAAATCCCCCACCCTCGCCTTATGCCTTTTCTTGATCTTTCGTCGTCCTACCGGAGGAGCCAATAGGCCGGTTTCGCCCCTTGGCCCGCGCGATTCCTCGCAACCAGCCATTCGACCCGGGACGTTCCGTCGGCTCGAGCGAGAGGAAATCGATCGCTTTTGCCGTCTCCGTCCGATTTTCTGCGTACCCTGACCGATCGTACGTCCTCGAGGGTCACGATGCGCGCCAAGAATTCGACAACGACCCATCGCGAGATCTAGGAAAAGGTGACACGGTCGACTCCAGAGGCCGCGAGGGGCCCACGCAACAAACGGAACGATTTACCCTGGAAGAAAAATCGGTCGCGCGCGCGTGGCACGGCGTTTCGGGCTTTCGGGAAGGGCCGAGGAGGATCCGCGGAAGTCCCGCGGTTCGTTTCTTTTACGAGGGGTCCCTCGTCGGGCGACCCTCTTCCCGGTCGCGGGGTATTTCCCCGCCGCTTTCCTCGGCCGTCTTCCCGAAGGCAACCGAACGAGTCGATCCTGGAACGCCTTCGCCCGCCGTCTCGTCACTCGGTTCCGCAGGATCGAACCGGCGTAATCATAATTAAAACTATAAGAAATAAGACTGCGCACTGTCCAGATTAAATGCAGGATAAATCAGGACTTAAAACGGGAGGGGAGAGTGGTCCCTTCTCGGACCGCTCGCGGACGACGGCAGGGAGGAAGGGAGGAAGGGAGGAAGGGAGGAAGGGAGGAAGGGAGGAAGGGAGAGGAGACGGACTCGAACGGGAACCAAGCCACGGAAGACAGGAGCGCCGAAGGTAACCGAAAGAGGGGGAAAAACGCAGAAGTAATATTGGGAAAATAAATACTGACCTATGTAAGCCTTTGTTAATGGCAAGCATGGTCTTGCTAGCGCTAAAACAAAACACGAAAGAACAAAGTAAGAGAGATTTCTCGCCCCGTTCTCACCTCCGTCCAAGCCTATCCGACCCAGGGTCACCTCGTCGAGACAACGACGGAGAAAGAAAAAAGGCAAACGGATTCGGGGGAAAGCAAGGGAACGAAGAACGAAAGCGAGGGCGAGGGGGGTTTTTGCGTACGGAAAAAAACGAGAATCGAGTTACCGACCTCTGGTCCGCGGTCCGGACGATCGGCGTCGCCGCTCGTCGCCGCTCGTCCTCGGGGCGAGCCGAGCGACGAGAGGGCGACGAGAGGGCGACGAGAGGGCGACGCGAGGACCTCGCTCGGACGAGCGAGCGAGACCGACGATAGGGTAGAGTAGGCGAGTAGAGGCGAGTAGGTACCTGGATAGTGGCGACAGTGGAATGTACCTGAAGCGGCCGGTCGGGTGGTGGATGGGGCCGCCGAATCGACGCGTGGCCTGCGGCGCCAGGTAGGCGGCCAGGGGCGGCAAGGCCTTGTTGTTGTTGCTGGGGTTGTTGGCGAACTTGACGGTGATCGGCTCGGAGGAGCCCTTCGGGATGGTCCCGTTCAGCTCCTGGATCGCGCGCTCCGCCTCCACCCGCTGGTCGAAGCGGATGAAGCCGACTCCTTTCGAGAGACCTGGGGACACCGACTCGAGATCAGTCGCGAAGCGGCCCTTCCTCCGCGGGACCCGCTTCGCCTCCGCCTGCGCCGTCGCCTCGGCGAGACCTCGAAGGACCGATCGAGGTTCCGGGCTTTCGTCGCGATTCGAGGACGAAACCGTTTCCGGGTACCGAGACAGGGAACGGACGCGGGTAGGCCGATGTCGAGAGTCGCTCGAGTCGCTCGAGTCGCGCGTACATCTTGCTCCCTCGGCAAGCAAAAGACAAACCAAACGGTGTATACTAGAAGAAGAAGTAACAGCAGAAGAAGATGAAGGAGATGAAGAAGAAGAAGAAGAAGTGGCAGTAGAAGAGAACAAGATGAAGAGGAAAACAAATTATGAGTTACGTACCGGGCAAATTGTCTCCGCCGCCAGTCACAAACTGTCGTACTAAACAGAAACGAAAAATCATATCACGTTAAAATGTATAAACAATACACGCTCGCTCGCCCCCGATTCGCCGCCGGAGCATCGCGCGGTCGCCACCGTGGCCTCCCTCTCGGTTCTCGCCCCGAATTCTTCCTCGGACGCCCTCTTCGTCGCCGCCCTCGCGACGCTCCAATGCCGCCAGTGGCGAGCGACTCCCTCTCTCTCTCTCTCTCTCCTTTCATCGATCGCGAGCTACCCCGCGTTTTCCGGTCCGGACGAATACACGAGGGGATCCGAAAAGGAGTCGACGAAGGGAAGGTCAAAGGATCGATCGAGACCCCTCGAACTTCGGCACGCGTGGGCCTCGGGGCGACTCGAAAGCGCGATAACACGTCCGGTAAATAAACGAGCCAAAAAGAGAGACAGAGAAAGAGAAGAAGCAACGGGGAAGGGCGCAGAGGCCACGAGGCTGGACGGCGCAGGAGTCGAGACGAGGCCAAAGACGAACTCGCGCTCGTCCGGGGGAGGAAAATGAAAACTCGATCCGGGTAGGGGGGAAAACGGGAAAAACCGGAAAAACCGGAAAAACCGGAAAAACCGGAAAAAGCGCAAAAACCGGGGGCGGTCCTCGAGCCGGAGGACCCGGGCGCACCGACCCACCCCTCCGTCGTGCAACCCCATGGCCTACTGACCTCCCCTGACCTCGTCCCGTCCTCGTCGATCGCGCTTCTCGGCGGCGGCGGAGGTGGCGACGGCGGCGGCGATCGACTAAGAGGACGCGGACCCGGTCGGCGCTCGCCGAGCGAATTCGTCGCGCAGGGAGAGGGAGGGACGGGCAGAGCCGGCCCCTCCTCCCTCTCGCTCTCTCGGACGGAATCCTCCCGACATCGCGAGCGAGCCCGCTCCACCCGGAGGGTCCCACTCACCGGTGATGTTATCGCATAGGATCCGGGAGGTGATGATCCTGCCGTACGGGCTGAAGAGGTTCTCCAGGTCCTGTTGCGTCATGTTCTTCGGTAAACCGCTAACGTACAGGTTCGCCCCCTTGATCGCCTCGCTGCTCGGCCTGGCGTAGGACACCTGGGGAACGAGGGCACCGAATCAGAGAACGGCCGACGACCCGCCGGGCGCCGCCACCTCGCCGAGGAGGGTCGCGGCGAGACGCACCTTGATCGTTTTGTTCTGCAGGCGCAGACCATTGAGCGTGTTGATCGCCTTCTCGGCATCCTCGGGTCGGTGGTAGTTGACGAAGCCGTAGCCCAGGCTCTGCCCTGGAACGAGAGCGGGCGGTGAGCCGTCGGAGGGGAGGATCGAAAGGGGGAGACTCACCGGTGACTTTGTCACGAATCAGCTTGCAACTCTCGACCTCGCCGATGCTGGAGAAAAGGGAGCGAATTTCCTCTTGGGTCATGGTCTGCGGCAAGTAGTTGACGATGAGGTTGGTCTTGGACTCCTCCTGCGAGGTCTGCCCGAGGGTCGAGCCCCCGTTTTGCTGCACGACCGTGTCCATTCCGTTCGCCATCATTGCACGTTTCTCTAGCTACGGACGAAACCTGGAAAACGTAACGTTCCTTCGGTCAGATCCGACCGGTTTCGGGATAATCGGACCTCCGCGAGTCGACGACCGCCAATGGCTAATCGAAAGCAAAGTAAAAAAAGGCACGCGAGGGGGGCCGCACGCAGCGACGGGGCGGTTTAAAGGGCCGAAGGGTGGCTTCGAGAGGGGGGGCCTTCGGGCGGGCCCGAGGCGCCCGTGATTTAAAGGGCTTCGGCCCTCCCGGATGCGGCGTTCCTCCGGTCCTCCTCCGCGGGGGTCGGGATGAAAAGTTCCGAGCGCGGGGTTTTCCCGCGAAAAACGGCCCGACCGGGCACAGCTGGGTCGCTCTCCCTCTCCCTCGGCCGCCCAGCTGTCGCTCCCCGACGGCCGCCCCACGGATCGGGGGAGCGAAACTCGGGAGAGAGTTTCATGAATTTTCATGGGGCGTTCCTTTCAAAGGCCCTCCGCGGGGGCATCGGGGAAGGAAGCGGGGTTTTTTGCCGACACCTCGGAGTGCGAGGGGGGTCCGGGGAGGGGCTCGTATTTTTAGCGTATCGATCCTGGCCCGACGCGCCGTCGGACCCGTCCAGGGGGGACCGCGGCGACCTTTGCCCGCCTCGCCGTAGGTAGAGGTAATCCTCGGCTAATCGCGGCCGGAGGTTCGCGGGAGGCTCGGTCGGAGCAGCGGCCAGGTGGCCATGGCGACGGATCGCGAAAATCGCCGGCCGGGACCGATCAATACGAGCGCCCCTCCGGGGCGCGCCGAGTGGTCGGGGTCGCCCCCACCCGGGCCGGCGCGTGCCGCTTCCTCGGAGGGGGCGAGCGCGCGCACGCCCACCGAGAAGGAGAGAGCGACGGCGAGCGCGCTCCAAACACGCCGAAAGAAATCGCGCGATCGCAAAAACGCCGGCCGGTCGGACCCTTTTTCGCGCCGAACGCGATTCCGCCGGCGTATTTACTCGACCTCCGCTCGCGCCCGAAGGACGCCGGCCGAAACGACGTTCCCCTCGGCGCCGACGACGAACGAGCGTCGATCGATGACTTCCCCGGAAAAGTCCGGAGCGGCGGCAACGTCGCCGAGCACGTCGGCGACGCGCGGTCCACCACTCCGCTCAGTATTTCGGGTGACGGGAGCAACCGCGAGGCGCGCACGCGTCGCCGAGGGGGGACGGAGCGAGCGGTCGGCGTCGCACGTGCGCCCGCGGACGGGGAGGAAGCCGTCCGCGTCCCTCGCCGGAGAGGTTAGGTCCTCCAGGGGACGACGCCCGGTTTTGCGGGCGTTTCCGCGACTTCCGGATCCTCTTACCTCCCCTCGTGGAGCGGCGCTCGGCGGTGGTCCTCGACGGCCGTTCCTATTGGCCGGCGGTCGTCTCCGATAACACCCGACAACGATCGAGCGTCCGTCTAGCCGGTGCACGCGCGAGGGTTCGCGGCGCCGCGGTCGAACGACAGGGAAAACGCGGCGGGGGGAAGGCGCGAACCCCGCTCGAGAGCGGCATTTATCGGGCGCGACTCGCCGACGCCGGGCAGCGTCTCCTCGCTTTCACTGGGCGGCCTCGCCACCGTCCATGCTTCGCGCGCCGCTCGCGCCGCTCGCGCCGACCGCGCCGACCTCGGGGGCTGGGGGAGGGAGAGGGTGGCCGAGAAGGCGAGAAATAAACCGACGGAACTAGACTAAGGAAACAAAGGAACGGCGACGCGACGGAGGTTGCCTGCGGACTGAGGACGGGGAGAGCCGCTCGGGGCCGGCCGCCCGATCCGAGGCGCGCGCACCCCGGCCTCGGCCGACTTCGGCCGACTTCGGCCGGCTTCGGCTCTCTCCGGCACGCCTCGGCCGCTCCTCGGGCGGCTCGCCGCCGCCGCTGTTGCGCCGCTGCTGCCGCCACCGCTTGCCCCTATCCCCCACCGGGCGAAGCCCTGCCACGCGACGCGCACCCTTCGCGCACGGCCCGCGGGAGGGTCTTCGCCCCTTCCCCCGGGATCGCGGTGTTCGGATCTGCCGCGCAGGACTCCGGATCCGCGGAACGATCGACATGGCGGCGGTGGCGTCGTCGTCGGAGCGCGCCCCCACGCGACGCCTCGGGAGTCCTCGTTTCTCACTGTTTCTCACGGACGCCGCGGGCCGAGAAAACGACGAAAAATGGGAATCGTCCGCTCCGACGAAACGACCCCGGAGACGCGAGCCAACGTCTCCCGAGAGCGAGTTCCGACTACATCGCGCGCTCTATCGACGTCGCGTTGCGAAACGCGTTGCAAGAATTCAGCCGATATGCGTTTTCCAAAACGACCAAACGACCTCTCCGCTCGTCCCTCCGCCAAAGCGCGAAGGTCCGCTCGGGCGCCTCGAGTGGGCGTAAAAAGGGAAAAGCCGGAGAAACGCGGCAAGGTAGACCCGGCCGAGCCGCGACGAAGCGGTCGTTGATCGGTGCCAAGAAAGAAGGAAGGGAAGCGTAGACGGGGTCGACGAGCAGCCGATGATGCGCGACGCGAACGCGTCACCTCGACTGCCGTCACCGTTGTCCGACGTGACCTAACCTAACTCGGGCCATCTCTTTCGATCGCCCCGCAAAGTCCGCGGACGCGCCCGAGGTCGAGGACGTCGCGCGAGAGAAATTACGATATAAATACGTCGACGTATAAACACTATAAATACCTATACGCCGCCGCTGCCGCCGCCGCCGCCGTCGCCGCCGCCGCCGCCGCCGCCGCGACCGTTCCTCCACGAGAGAAAGGGAAACGGGGAGAGACCAGCGGTCTCGGCCAAACGAACCCCCTTTTTCCATCCGCTCCTTAATTTCCTCGTCAAAATTCGTTCGGGACGAATATTTCGGGAAATCGGATATCCCGACTCGTCCGGGCAGCTTTCCTTGCGGTGCCTCGAAAGAATCGAAAACGCATCGCAGGAGGGATGGATCGGGTCGCGTTTCGATCGCCGCTCGCTCGCTTGCGCCGTTTCGACGATTTTCCGCCTGGGTGGAAAGACTCGGGAAGGACGGGTGCTTTCGATTCATCCAGAACGGGATGGCAGCGAGAGCGGTCTCGGAGGCTCCATTGATTGGTCGGAGGCTGCCGAGTCGCGGCTGCACCGAGGGTGTACGGACCCCTAGACCGGTCCTCCCCCTTTTCCGTTCTCTCTCTCTCTCTCTCTCTCTCCCGGTGGCGGGTGCACAGGCGCGCCACGTGCGCTCCCGACCGATCAATACTCGGCCGCCCCCGGCCGCCCCCGGCTCTGCCGACCCCACCCGACCGCTCCCGGAACCCTTCCTCGCGGGTGTCCTTCCGCCCCCCTCCGAGCCCCCTTCGAGTGGGAACCTCGGTCAATCTTTGATATCGGACCGAGTACCGTCCGCGCCAAAACGGTCCTAGGAAGGGACCCCGGCAAGGGAGTTTCCGGGCCTCGACCACCTGTCCCCCTCGTAGTACGTTCACACCGAGTCGGCTCGCGCAACGCGGCATTTTACGAGACACCATCGATCGGTTTCGCGGTCGATAACAATCGGGCTCGGATTCGGGCACAGATTTGGGCATCGCTTCGCGCAGAGGGTTCAAAAGCCACGCCCACGACTGCTGGTCAACGAGCGGGCAGAATCGCGAAGCGGGAAAAGACGCCTCGCCCAGCCTCTCGTATCGGGACCGAGACGTCGCCCTCGAAAATTCGGGCACGGATTCCAGGGCGACCCCGCGACGTGCATCGGACCTTTCCAGTCCGAGAGATCGGGAGGCCCGGACTCGAAAGAAACGGCCGGAAATTCGAGGAAGAGACGCAATCCCCTCCGACGCTCGAGTTCCCGGAGGGATCCGTACCTGTGCGCTATCCATTTCTCCGTTTATCTCTCTCGCTTCTCCCTCGGTCGCCCTCTGGGTCGGGCGATCGAGTTCTTCGCCCTTCGGGCCGACTCCGCCGGTCGATCGGTCGATCGGTCGGTCGCCCGATCGATCGATTGATCGATAGGTAATGATAATCATAATGATAATAATAATGACGATGACGATGATGATGATAATAATAATAACAACGATAACAACAACGATAATAATAATTATAATGCAAGAAAGAACGCAAAGTAAGGGAACGAATCAACGTACCGGTCTGAACGATGAAAACAGTCGGGTCGAAGGAGGATGCCGGATGGCGCTTTCGCAGAACGGAAGCGGTAGGTCCCGAGTCAAAGAACCGACCGAACCCCGACCTCGTCCCGACGCCCCGCGGACCTTCACGACGGCGACATGGCGCCCGCCCTCGACGGCCCTCCCCGCGGTCCGCCCAGAGTCTCGAGAATCCGGACCGAGCGATTCGCGAGACGGAACCGCTTCCGCTGCAGCTCGCTCTCTGGAGATCTTCCTAGGTGCGGTCTCGTCCCGGTCGCCCTCGTTCTCCCTCGCGCCGCGCCCAAGCGACGCTTCCCCCGGACCTCCGACGCGCGGAACGCGAACGGGTTCGAGCTGGGATGTCCGACTTTAGGGAGCGAGACCGGTAATCGGAACGTAATCGATAAATGACAATTAACGGACCAAACGAAACAACGAATCGAATAAGTAAGGTTAAGTATAAGAAAGGTGAGAATGTGGGACGGGCGACGGCCTCCAGGAACGCAATGCCCTGGGTGGTGCGCCAACTAAACTGAGGAACGGGGTGGAACCGGGCCGGCCGCGGCTCCGGAGGGGGTGGCCGCCCCCGGGGGTGCGCGCGCCGCGCCCGAGTCGCCGAGTCGCGCGCACCCGCCCGGGACCCTTCTTTGTCTCGAATCGTTACTCCCTGTCGCTCCCTTCCCGCCCCCGGGCTCCTCGACCGTCCTCGATCGTCCTCGACCGTCTCGCTCGGCCTGGGCCACGTGGTGAACGCACTCCGAGAAGGGAAGGCGCGTCCCCGGTCGAGCTCGCCCAGCATCCCGACACCGAAACGGGCCCCCGCGGCACCCCGGGACCCGGGGACCCGGGGACCCGGGGTGCCGCGACTCGAGAGGGGGCGGCGGGGTCGTCGGGGGGAATCCGAATATCGATCCTCGCGTGCTCCCAGTCATTCACTCCCGAGCGACGGCCGTTCTCCGGGCGGCGGCCGAGCAGGGCTGCCAACGCGCCCCGGAGCTTCCCGAGATCCACTTTTCGCTCCACCTTTCGTCCAAGCGATGACCCCGATCCTGGACTTTCCCGGAGGGACCTCGCGCCGTTTCCTTCGGATCGAACGGCGGCGTCTCCCTTCGCGTCCGTCCGGCGAGAACCGGCCGGGACGGGGGTTAGCGAGTCGCGACGGACACGCAGCCCCCTAGGTGTGCGCCTATCGATTAAACGAGCCAGGGAAACCGGCGAACCGGCCGAGGGTCCCCGAGCTCTCGGCCGCTACGCCGGAGCAGTTTCACCCCGGCGATATGTCGGACGTCGAATCCGGTACGCATCCGCGTCGCGAGTGCCTCTCCGGCCGTCCGTCCCGACGTCCTCGATCCGCGATCACGCGAACCGCTCGGTACCGACGCCTCTCGGATCGCGTGACCTCGGCGAGATTCGGCCGACTCGTTCCGGACGCGTCTCGTCGAGGCCCGAAACGAGGATGGAAGGTCGATTCCCTCTCGGAGGAAGGGGAACGGAAGGAAGCGGTCGGGAGAGATCGCGGATCCGCCTTTCGTGACGAGAGGCATCCGACTCGGCTCGCTTCGAGGCGATAAAATCAATCGCCAGGCACGATCTTTTCTTCGAACTCGGGGCCCCTCGGAGTCCCCGCTCCCCCTGGGGGCCGGGGACTCCGAGGGACCGATTCGGGAGGTGGACGCGCAAGGGGAGGCTCGCGTGATCGGCAGGTGACGGATTTCTGGCAGCCGGCCGAAGTGGAAATCTCGCCTCGAACACGAACCGGGGGTCGACCCGGTACCGCCTTCTTCCACCCCCGAAGCTCCGGAGTCTCCGACGCCTCCGAGGTGCGAGAAATCAGTCCGTCCACGGGCCTTCGCCGACCGGGACCGTTCTGGACCTCGCGAGAGAAAGCCAGGGGGGTGGAAAATGGCGGAGGGGCGCGATCCTCTGGAGCACACGAGCCTGTATCGCAAAGCCGGTCAGGAATCTTCCATCCCGGGCCCCCGGGCCCCCGGGCCCCCGGGCCCCCGGGCCCCCGCGCCCCGACTCGGTCCCGAAGCCCCTTAACCGAGAGAGGGTCGTTTCAGACAGCGAGGAAAGCGACGCGGAGAGCGGCCTGGGGAACGTCAACCGGCTGGTGATCCGCCCTCCCGGGAGCAGCGGGAAGGCGAAGAAGGGTCACCTGTGCTTCGACGCCTCCTTCGAGACCGGAAACCTCGGCAGGGTCGACCTCGTCTCCGAGTTCGAGTACGACCTCTTCCTGCGGCCGGACACCTGTAGTCCGAGATTCAGGTTCTGGTTCAACTTCACCGTGGACAACGTTCGGGCCGAACAGAGGGTCGTCTTCAACGTCGTCAACGTGTCCAAGAGCAGGAACCTCTTCCGAGACGGCATGACTCCGCTCGTCAAGAGCGGGAGCCGCCCGAGGTGGCAGCGGATTCCCCGTCGACAGGTCGGCGAGAGAGAGAGAGAGAGAGAGGGAGGATCGCCCGACCGTCTCCCAATTGAGCTTTCCGTTCCAGGTCTTCTACTACGAGTCGGCCCAACACCGGGACCACTACGTCCTGAGCTTCGCGTTCGCCTTCGACCGCGAGGACGAGGTCTACCAGTTCGCCCTGGCGTACCCCTACTCGTACTCGCGGCACGTCGGCCACCTGGACAACCTCTGCTCCCGCTGGAGCTTCGTCAGGCGCGACACCTTGGCCCTGTCCATCCAGAAGCGGAAGGTGGACCTTCTGACGGTGACCGGGGTCCCGGGGTCGGGGGCCGAGGACCGCCCGAAGCGGGTCGTCGTCGTCTTGGCGAGGGTGCACCCCGGGGAGTCGCCCTCCTCCTTCGTCTGCCAGGGCCTCGTCGACTTCCTCGTGAGCGCGCATCCAATCGCGAGGGTTCTTCGCGACTACGTCGTCTTCAAGATCGTGCCCATGCTCAACCCCGACGGCGTGTTCCTTGGGAACTCGAGGTGACTCGATTTCCGTCGGTAGCCTCGCGAGCCCGCTCCGACCGCCCCGACTCGTTCCAGGTCCACGCTGACGGGGACGGACCTCAACCGCTCCTGGAACCGAATCTCCGAATGGGCCCACCCGACCCTCGCGGCCACCAGAACGCTGCTCGAGGCCCTCGACAGGGACTCCGCCTCGCCGCTGGACTGCGTCCTGGATATCCACGCCCACGCCAACGCAACCGGCGCCTTCGTCTATGGCAACGCCTACGACGACGTCTACCGGTACGAGAGGCACGTCGTCCTGCCCAAGATACTGGCCCAGCTCGCCGAGGACTACGAGGCCGGGTACACGATGTACAACCAGGACCCGCGGAAGGCCGGCACCGCCCGGCGGTTCCTCTGCCAGCTGCTGAGCGAGCGGGTCAACTGCTACACCGTCCACGTGTCCATGTACGGCTACGCGCGGAAGGGCGCGCCCGGAATACTCCCCTACACCGAGGAGGGCTGTATCCTTTCCCGAGCACCGGACCGCTTCCCCTTCGAGTTCCTTGACTCGATTCCCGACAGACTTCCGCCTGGGCCGCAACCTCGGTCGGGTCTTTCTGGACTACTACAAGCTGCTGGGCCTGATCCCGAGCGGACTGCCGGATCAGCCGACCGGCAGGCGCGGCCGGCAGGCCGGACAGCGGAAGCGGCTGCCTCGGCGACGGCCTCGTCCTCGAACCGCCAGGACGCCCGCCCCGCTGCACTTCGCCAGGATTCACGAGTACCTAGTGCCCCCCTCCCTCTTTGTCCTCGGTCGGAAGCGATAAACGGGTCGTCGTTGTCGTTTCCAGGTACTTCCGAGAGGACGCGGCCGGCGCCGAGAGGGGACCGGCCGTTTCGGGAAGAATCGGCGGCGCGAGGACCAGGGTCGGCGGACCTCGGCTCGACGGGGCCTCGCGCGAGTCCTTCCACCCGGCGGCGCCTCCGGAACCGAGGCTCACCGTGATCGACTTCAACCAGCTGACGAGGGGCGGCCTGGACCTCGCCACGGGCCGGACGGGCCGGACGGGCCGGACGGGCCGGCCGGGCCGGCCGGGCCGGCCGGGCCGGCCGGGCCGGCCGGGCCGGCCGGAGGGCCCGAGGGCGGCCGCCGCGGCCGGGATCGATCGCCGCGAGCCGGTCGCCCCTTCGGTCGATCGATCGGCCCCGGGCCCGGGGACGTCGCGACTTCCGATTCGGGAAAACGGTTACTCTCTGGCACGTACCTGAATCGGTCGGAGCCGAATGTCGGCCGGGGCGACGTTCGTCGGGTTGCCGGGTCCGTCGGTCGTCGCGAGGCCGCGGACGGTCGGGAAAGCACCTTGTCGCGCGTCGGCGAGACCGCGTGGCCGCGCCGCGAGACTCCCGTCTATGTACACGGTTTCCTATTCTTCGGTATACTTATGCGCGGACGTGTCCGTCTATCTACTCGTATATATATATATGTACATATACATATCATAAGCCGAAGGGCCCGAACGACGACTTGACTTTCTTTCTTTTCAATCAATCCGAGAACGAACGAATCAATCAATATACGTCAATCAATTCGAACTGAACGGAACTAAAACGAAATAAATGAAACTAGCGAAAGAAGGGAGCAGACAAGCGGCCAGTAGCTTCTACCCCTGGGCTCGACGGAACTGGCTGCCCGGCCGGAGCTCGCCGCCCCGCCGCCCCGCCGACGCGCCCCGCCCCCGACCCGCCGGAGCCGTAAAAACCTCCCTCCGGCACGGGGTTGGCCGAGAGCAGGGCGGTGGTCGTTGAACCATCTATATGTCTCTCTGTGTCAGCCGTGCCTGCCCGCTGCGCGGATCCCGATGCGCCGCGGCGCGGGACTCGCGCCTGCTCGCGCCTGCTCGCGCCGCCGAGTCCTGCCGGAGACGCCCGACGATGCTCGAAATCAGGAACTGCCAGAATCCCTTTAAATTGCTTCGACCGCTCTCCTTTCTCTCCTGCGAGTCGTAACCGTTGGATCGGGAGATACGAGGAGGATCGCCGGAATGATCGTTACGCGCGGGATGGTTATCGAAGTTGCGATAAAAATACGCCGGGGAAATGGTCGATACCTTGAAATAAGGACGCTCGAATGAACGACCGTAGGTATCGTCGGGCCGTTCTGGAACACAGGAAACATCGGCTCGTTCGGTCGAACGAAATCTTCGTTCCGTGGGTTGCGGATAATAAAAAAAAAATTTGACTTTAAAATGAAATAAATATTTGAACGGTAATCGTTGCGATTGGAACAGTTGTCGGGTGCTTCCTCGAGATCGACCGCGGCCACGACCAGCCGACGGTAAGCCTTTTCGGTCGAGCGCGCTGACACCAGCTGGCACTACCGGACCAGCACCGGGTACCGAGTCTAACGGAATTGAACGGAATCTCGGGCGATTGCGGGCACTCGCGCAGCTCGAGGACGGTGGGGTCGGTAGGGTCGGTAACGGGACCGCTTCGTTGCCCGCGCTCTTTGGCCAAAATATCCCCCGAGAGCGAATGTGCGATCCATTGTATGCTAATTGGATAACGTCCAACGTTTCGTGTCATCGATAGCGGTAGCATATTTAATGAGAGCTCTACGCTTATCAACGCGAACCGCATTTGATGCATCGGGTACCAGGGTGGCAACACGGGAAAGGAAAGCCACAAAGTACGGTCCATGGCCCTGCTCTTCTTTACTCTTTATCAAAGCGTATTCTGCCGGGCGTATTTGTCATCGGAGCGCTACGCATCTGTAAGTGTCCGTTCTCGTGACGTTTGCAGCAATTTACAGGTGTACCGTAGCTCATTTGACCGATGAAGAATGTAACATCCGATTTGTAGCCACGATATTCGTCCAAAGGACGGATCTTAGAAATTGGCAGGTATAACGTGCGAGAGCATGGAGGCGGGTGTTTTAACGAGGGTCCTTCACGATTTCTTCACGACAATGGACGGTGAACTTAGTCTTGCGAGAGGCGACTATTTCTTGGTAATTACGTTATCGGTCTTCATGTCTAATCTAACCTAACAGAGATTCTTATTACGTTTCGTGAAGAAACGTTACCGACGTACGAATTCGTTATACGATTCTTTGGCAGATTTACGATGTTATCGACAAACATTGGTGTTACGGTCAGTCGTACGATAAGTCTGGCCGATTTCCATTAAGTCATCTACATAAGGTGGATCTGCCGTCGGTGGACACCGATCGGTCATTATTTGTCTCTATCGCACCTTTCCCTGGGGAACGGGCCTCGGACTTATCTTTCGATAAAGGTAACGTCATGCCGTTATATCACTGGTAAAACAACTTCTGGATTGGTTGGTTTCCGCAGGTGAAGTTATCGTAGGAATACAAGATTTAGAATCAGGTTGGATGTTAGGTAGCATCGGAGGTAGACAAGGTGCATTTCCTGTGACCCACGTTTGGCAATTGGACGACGCGGTAATAAAGGTAACCCATGTTTTCTTTTATTATCATCTTTCCCTTTCTTATGTTGTCGATGTAATGTTTTAATCTAAATATATGCAATATTTACTATGTTTTTACAAATTTCTTCTTCTCTCAGAAAGCGACGTCTAAGAGAAATGTTTGCCAGAAAGCCGTAGTGAATATGAATCTAAAGGCAGAGCTTGAGGAAGAATTGGATCTTACCAAAGGTGACATAGTTACCATAATAGAGATTTTGGATGATGGCTGGTGTCGGGGAGTAACAAACGATGGTAGGAAAGGTACTTTCCCCGAAGGATTTGTAGATTATTTAAAAGACAACGAAAGCCACAATCGGTTGTCTACTGTCGAAAATGTACCATCGGTTGCCGTTCCAATGGTGAATTCTAGTACTATGGATGATATCTGTGTAAATAATCCAGTTAGTTGCGAAGACCCAGCTCCGAATTATTATGAAATATTTCCAGAATTTTTAAAGCCTATGGGCAGTGATTGTTTCGATATACCATACAATAATGTTAATCCCCTTGGCGTTAAGCCATATGCAATTACTCTATTTCCATTCAAGGCTCAATTTCCAAATGAATTAAGTTTTGGTGCAAATGAAGTGGTGCATTTAATAAAGCATATTGATTCCGAATGGATGGAGGGCTCCATTGATGGGATAAAAGGAATTTTTCCAGTATCGTACGTTAACATTATCGTGGACTGCGAAAATGCAAAAGTAGAACCCGTATCGGAGGAGTCCGAAATTATTTCTAAACAGCAAAACGCCTTGGACCCTGGAACACTAGTAAAGGTAGAATATACCTTTGCTGCACAAATGGATGGTGATTTGAGTATTTTTGAGGGTGACATTGTAACTGTCGTTGAAATGCCTAACAGCGATTGGGTTATGGTGAGAAACAAAAAAGGAGATGTTGGCCTCTGTCCCAGAGGATACATTAATTCCCAGGTAGTAGACCCGATTGAATCTGATTTCAGTCAGGATGCACTAGAAGATTTTGTAGTAATAAGAAACGAAAGGGAAAACGTTTCGACAGCTGAGGAGGAGAAAATAAAAAGACTATCTGAACCACATAGACCAGCACCTCCTGCACCTGATCCTGGTCGAGTTCCTTTAGAAAAATATAATAGTGACGATTCAACGGATAACGCGTCGACATTAATGAGAAAGAAAAAAGCAGACCAACGTCAGAACGTCATATCTGAATTGGTGATTACCGAAAGGGAATATGTGAGAGATTTAAAGATAACATACGAAACGTTCCATTTAAACAGTCCACAAATTTTGGAATCCAGAGGAATCGATGTTGCCATCTTATTTGGAAACATAGAAGAAGTCATAGAGGTTGCAGAGGAACTGTTGGATATGATGTTCCGGGCTATGAAAGGCTGCGACGAGGAGGTCCAAACAATTGGGCCATGTTTCTTAAAAATGTCCGATAAGTTACAAACGGTTTATGGAAAGTATTGCGGTAATCACGAAGCAGCGTTATCTTCATTAAAGAAGGTTACCGTCTTAATTAGAGGAAGCCTTTAAAAAGTTTTTTAAAAAAAGCGCAAGAGTTAATTAACTATAATTTTCTGGCTTCCGGTACTTTTTCCTAATCTAATGTTCATTTCAGTATGAAGAGAACAAAGAAATCATGGCTATATTTGAAAAAGGAATTGAAACATTGCGCCATCAGATAGCATGCTTTGATATGAGTTCTATTCTGATTAAACCTGTACAGAGAATCTTAAAGTATCCTCTTATGTTGAACGAGCTTACCAAGGTGAGTGTAGGTTGGATTATCTTAGTAAAATATAAAGTATCGTGTAACTAATTTTCTCTTCAGTGTACCGAAACCGAACATCCGGACAAACTCGAAGTAGAGGAAGCATGGAAGGTCATGACCGATGTAGCCAGTCATATCAATGAACACAAGCGGAAGAAAGATTTGGTATCCAAGTACTTACACGGTGACAATACATTAATGCGGAAAATGGCAAAGTTAAATATGCATTCGGTGGCTAAAAAGTCTTCCAGATTGAGCGCTAAACTATCAGCAACTCTAGGACTGACTAACCTCTCAGCGGATCCTGAATTCGAAGAGCTTGAACGGCAATTTAAGTCTTTGGAAAAGTGCACAATGCAGCTGGCCAAAGATGTCGAACAGTGTGTGCTTTACTTGAGCGACGAAGCCATGGCCGGAGAGGTTCTTTCCAATTTGCTTCACCAATACTATCAGGGTACACCGAACGACACGATAAAAAGACTACGAGAAACGCGTACGATTATTTGGACACAGTTCTTTAAAGAATTAAAACTGTGTCTCGAGAAAAAAGTTTGCGAACCAATCAACTCTCTTATGACATTTCTCGAGGGTCCTGAAATGCTCATTACGAAGCGGTATGACAAATTACTGGATTACGATGCAGCAATATCCAGAAGTGAGAAAAATAAGGATTCCAGAATGGTACCCATTTCACTTTGTTATTTCTAGATGGAACTGCTTTCTGCCTTGAAATTCAGAATGGGAAATTTCTTTACTCCTGTCTTTCAGGTACAAGAGGAATTGGCTACAGCTAAGAGTAATTATGAGGCTTTAAATCAGCAGTTATTAGAAGAACTACCTATTTTAATAGGTGCAGCAACAACAATACTGATCAATTGCATCGAAGCACTCGCAAGTGCTCGTCGACTCCTTAATGGAAAGGTCACTAACCGCTATCTGTCACTTTCAGAGGTAAAAGCGAAATCGGTACCATCTAGTTAATGATACATTGGAACTTCTGAGCAGCAGTTATATGTCTTAATGATTTGTTTCACATAGTATATCTTATTGATTGACTTAGCAATCAATGTCTGCCGTAACAGCATTAACCACAGTGTATTCGTTTCAGTGTCTCGCTCATGTAACGTCCCAAAATATCCTAGAATCGTTTCTAGTGAACCACAATCTACTGTGGAATCAAATATCTCGATTCAATGTGACCGGAATCAATTCCAAGAAGGAAGATAGTTACTCGAAATGGAGTATACAAAATGATCGCCTCAGAGCAGTCCTACGTGCCAAGTATCCAGCTGAGAAATTATACATAGTTACGGAAAGTGTAATAGGCATATCCCCACTGGATATGGGCGCTGGAAGGGGGACCCTGGTAGCTGTGATAAAGAAGCAAGATCCTATGGGCACTACGACGACATGGTTCGTGGATAATGGAGTGCAACAGGGATTCTTATCGAGCCAACACCTAAGACCTATCCAAGAACGGGAGTATGGATGCCCTGGAACAAATGAGGAATCTAGTCGATCGAGTACTCCGGATTTAATGTCATTGGATTCCCCGGAGAAACAATCCAGTACACTCATACCTGAGAGAGTGGAACACCGTTATTCGAATCTTATCGACCATAGCCAGAATACTCGAGACGACGTCAATAACAGAGGCAGCGTACCCCGGATATCCATGTATGATTTCGGTTCAAGCGATGGGGTTTGTATTAGATTTTTCCATCTATGTTAATTAAAAGAACTGAAAGGTAATCTTTTACCATCAAAAAATACGATCGAGTATCAAATTAAATATATTCAACGGAAATAGTGCCTGAAAACAAAATTACGATTCCATATCTCAAATTAAAAAAAAAAATAATTTTTTGCTTCATTTGTTGCAATCGCAAAAATTCTAAGCGTCTTTAATTTTACACGTGTTTTACACCTCGCATCGTAAGAAAATTAAATTTTTTCATAAATATTTCAGTTTTATAAGGTGCTCTATGACGTCTCGTTAAGGCACCCTGGGACGTTGAGTGCTTTAGCAGGACAAGTGCTGAAACTTATACAGCCCCATGATGAAAAAGGGAATGCCGAATGGTGGTTGATGAAGGATCGTGATGGGCATACTGGTTATGTACCAAGTAATTTTATGGAACCTCACAATTATTAATAACAGTTATTTATTCGATGTAATTTACTTAGAGTTTGTATATACCTAAAAGTACTTAGTTATGCTACTCTACCGCGATTTGCGTACAGTATAGGAATAAGAAAAAAAAGTGCTAGCTCCTTATCAACACAATCGTGTATTATATCGATACGGTATATTTCTATATTTCTGTACATATTTGGAAAAATATAGATTAAAGAATAAAAATGTCAACAGTTAATTGAGATTTATTACAGAGATGAATTGGGGAGATTGTTCACGGGCAGAGTTGCGCGATCGCGTTCTGTGCTGTCCCCAGTGGAGCATGCAGGCGGCTCATGCACCTGCTCCCAATGGCGGCCCAACTCAGAGATAAGTTGGAAACAAACATGAGTGCGTTAGCTGTCCGCATCCTCCACCGGGAGGCAGCAGAGGACGCGATCACGCGATCCTGTCCGTGAGCTATCTCCCATCTCATCTCTATAACCTTGAAATGTCATTCATAGTTGGACCCGGTATATTATTTCGCCTGCGTGTTGCGTACTGTTTATTCGTCGTCTGACTGTAAAGTAAGTTTTTTAAAATGGGTGGAAAATGGTCAAGTATGGATCCGTCCAACATCGATGTCCCTGAATTAAAAAATTTGTTGGAACGGGATCCTTATTTGAAACCGTATGAAGCGGAAATACGGAAAAGGTTGTTTTTCTCATACTTATCTTACTTTAATACTTAATTTCAATAATAATTGATTTCATATAAACGGCGTGTTAAGCCTAGCACTAACATACTTTAATGCTATAATTCTAAATTAAATTCAATTTATATTTAGGTACTTTTGAGAGTTATTGCCAATTATAAATGGCACTTGTTTAAAAACGTGCCCATGTTGCTTTGATTGATTTAAGGTATGCCGTATTTAAGGACTACAAAGACATGATAGAAAATGGAGACAAGACGATAGATGATTTTTCAAAGAGCTACAGAGATTTTGGTATACATATCAAAGAAGACAATAGCGTCGTGGCGATGGAATGGGCTCCAGGAGCACAAGAACTTTTTTTAACTGGGGATTTTAGTAAGAATATTTCATAGCCTATCGATATTTTAATCCATCTGAGTTTTATAACAAAAATGTATACAGTAGTTTGTAATTAAAGATAGTTGGAATAAGATGCAAACTCCGTATAAGAAATTAGAATTTGGTAAATGGGAATTGAGATTGGCTCCAAATGCTGATGGCAGTTGCCCGATTCCACATCTTTCGGAGGTTAAAATTATCGTTAAGACCAATAACGGGGAGCTATTGGAGCGATTGAGTCCTTGGGCAACTTATGTGACTCAGGCTATAAACCGCTGTGAAGGAACAACTTATAAACAACGTATCTGGCACCCAGAACAGGTATCGAATTTAATTCTTTTTTATAACAAAAACAGATATTAATATTAATCTCCTTGGTCTAAATGGTTTATGGGTCATTTCGTATAGGTTTACAAACCCGTCCATCCCAAGCCTAAGAAACCGGAAAGCCTTCGTATCTATGAATGTCATGTCGGCATTGCAACACAGGAACTACATGTTGGAACATACTTAGAGTTTGCTAAAAATATTATACCTAGAATCGTTAAACAGGGTTATAATGCTATACAGTTGATGGCTATTATGGAACATGCATACTATGCCAGTTTTGGATACCAGGTACTAACTAGCAATAATTTCTTCCAAATGTACGATTATTTCTATCCGCTAACCCTCTATAGTTATTAATGAGTTCTTTATATAAAATTAAGGTCACTTCATTCTATGCTGCTTCATCGCGATATGGTACCCCAGAGGAATTGAAAGAACTCATAGATGTTGCCCATAAGCACGGTCTTTTCGTTCTACTAGATACCATTCATTCGCATGCCTCAAAGAACACATTGGACGGTTTGAATATGTTTGATGGTACAGATTCGTGCTTCTTTCATTCGGGTAGCCGGGGTGAACATCCTCTCTGGGACAGTCGTCTGTTTAACTATGGAGAGTACGAAGTACTTCGATTCCTATTGTCCAACCTGCGCTGGTTTATCGAGGAATACGGCTTTGATGGATTCAGGTGCGGTGCTTTTGAACTATTCTTTTCGTTTGTATACTGGTTTCTTTTTCTTTTTTTTTTTTTATATAGTAACAAACGTGATTACAAGGAATTTATTTTAACATAGATTTGATGGGGTCACCTCAATGCTGTACCATTCTCGAGGAGTTGGTCAAGGTTTTAGTGGCCATTACGATGAATACTATGGTTTGAACGTCGATGTAGAAGGCATAGTATATTTAATGCTAGTAAACGATATGCTGCACAATTTATATCCCGAGATGGTTACCATCGCTGAGGATGTCAGCGGCATGCCAGGGGTTTGCAGGTATAAACGTACATTGCTCGAAGTATGCAATAACATTAAGCACTTTAACCTTTTTCTGAACTTTGAATGGTCAAATTTCTATGAATTTCACAAAACTATTAAGGGGACACTAAAAATCCTATGAGATTTACGTTTCATAGGCCTGTAGTGGAAGGTGGCATTGGGTTCGATTATCGTCTTGGAATGGCCATTCCCGATAAGTGGATTAAATTGTTGAAGGAAATAAAGGACGAGGACTGGAGCGTAGGTGACATATGCTGGTCCCTGACAAATCGCAGATGGATGGAAAAGACGGTGGCTTATTGCGAATCACATGATCAGGCACTAGTGGGAGACAAAACAATCGCCTTTTGGCTCATGGATAAAGAGATGTACACACACATGAGTACTCTTAGTCCACCTAGTCCAATTATCAGTCGTGGAATTGCTCTGCATAACATGATTATGCTGATCACGCACTCTCTGGGTGGAGAAGCTTATCTTAATTTTATGGGTGAGTACGTTTTATGATGTTTCAAAGGCTGAGACAAACTCAATATCAGAGAATTCTAATCACTGGTTGTAGGAAACGAGTTCGGTCATCCCGAATGGCTGGACTTTCCACGAGTAGGTAACAATGATAGTTATCATTATGCCAGACGCCAGTGGAATTTGGTTGACGATGAATTATTAAAATATAAATTCATGAATAACTGGGATCGAGCTGTGAATTTTCTTGAAGAAAAATACGGCTGGCTACATTCTAACCCCGTAAGACTTTGCTTGGGTTGTGCAATGATACGCGTTTAATATGTAGGTGATTAATGCCCAGATATTTTAGGGTTACATCAGTTGGAAACACGACACCGATAAAGTTATAGTATTCGATCGAGCTGGTCTTGTGTTCGCGTTTAATTTTCACCCAGCAAAATCATTTCCTGATTACCCGATTGGTGTCAACGAACCTGGAAGTTACAAGGTCATTTTAAACAGTGACCACAAGGAGTTTGGTGGAGAAGCACGAATAGATAATAGCGTGGAACATTTATCAATGCCCGAATCGTTTGCTGAAAAACCACACAGAATCCTTGCCTACATACCCTGCCGTACCGCAATTATTTTTGTTAAAGGTATTTATACCTATTTCATTCGGAACTCTACTTAGATCAATTATATGAACAACCATTTTCTTTTTCTAGTGTCCTGAATCATCGGTGCACCATAAATAAAAATAGCAGGGCATAGTACCGATCATACAATGAAAAGTGAAAGGAAATTATTTTTGTATCGGATCTATTTCATATCTAGTTTTATAGATCGTTAAATTCTGGACTTAATGAATTTGAGAGTTTTTCTGAAATATTAGCGTTCATACAGTAATAACTAAATTCAAGTACTGATGTCAATAACCATGTGTAAATATGTTTGTTGTCACGACTACTGTTGGTATTACTACATTGAGACATGTAGAAGTAATGATGTTCGCAAATATTTTTTTAAGGATGTTAAATAACCAGTCTGATTTAAGAAACAGAAAAATCCCTTGATCTGGGTTAAATTTGAACTCAAATGTTATTCTTTGTTTCAGTGGTAGAAAAGAATCGTATTTTTTTATTGTAAAAATCTCTCGTTTTAATATATTTGATTGATAAGTTAAAATTTATCATTTTTGTTCAATCATTATTCGGCAAACGTAATTTAATAAATTCTACCATACATTCACACATTATTCACTCTATGCCAATAATTGACCGTTACTTGGTAATATACTTAAATATTGAAATTGTGCTTCGTTTACATCGTAATCTTTCATCTTATCTTCTAAAATCCACCATCTATCTAAAAATCCGACATCAATTATTCTTTGATGGAATGTAATGTATCTTGGCTGCAGATACGGGCATGTAGCCTTATACAATGCACACATTTTATCATAATTATCCACCCAAATTAAGGACATTATACCTAAATTTAGGCAACGGATCGTTCTCTCGTTATAACACTGTTCAATCCACATTAAATGTTCAGTGCTCGCTGGGTTACGTACCATTTCGCCTACTTGAACCAGTTTACTTGCATTTTGAATAACTGCATCCCGGAAAGAAACTTCATCCGGATTATGCTTAGAAAGATAATACAAACCTCCTAAAACTAATTGAAATATATCAGTGCTTTGATACAAAATGGACTATGTGAGAATACACACAGACAGGGTGTCTCAAAATTTGTGCAATCTATAAGTAGGATATAATTCTTTTTGTAAAATTAATATATACGTAATTTAATTTTTGTAGTTAGCAGGTTCTGCACAAGATCAGGAAAGTCCCTATGCGACGACGTTTCAGTTTAAGAATAAGTTAACCATAAAGAGTATGGACGCGTATACAAGTTTGTCAAATTTTGGAACAACCTGTATATTAAACGCTATCAATATTTGTACGATACATACATGAGAAATATATAGAAGCACGTATCGGTCGGTCTTTACAGTCCTTGGTAATATCGATTGCAACATCTCTGTAATCGATATAAAGATTCCTCCAATATTTCCCTAAAAATAAATATCACACTCGTACTTGTTTTCATTAATACCACGGAACGTATAATTGAAATAGAAAAATAAGAATAAACCTACCCCAACGCTCTAAGAAAGTCCCTTTAAACCTTTCCGGTGTTTCAAAGTTTGCAACTTTATTCGCGATTTGATTGAATTTTGATTTATACAAACAAAGAAGAGATCTGAATCTTTGAACTGCATTCGCTTTCTGTGTCGCCATACTAACTTACTAACTAGCGCTAATTAGGCTAAATAAGTGAAAGTAGCCGAAAGTGGCCGAGAGAAGATAAGAGTACCCTCGACTCGGGGAGCACGGTATGGAATGGTATGGAACTTCTTGGAACACATGCGCCGTTGTGCTACGAAAGATTGAGGTAACCAACGCGCCATTTCAACACCGGACGAGGAAGGAAGCGCCATCTCTCATCTACAAGAATTACTCGATGCATCGTTCGGCATGCGATTGTATCGGTCGACCACGACCTATATGCCGATAACACTCCAATTTTTCCTAAGAGAAATGCAACGACGAGACGGGCATAAAAATCGAAGCGTTTACGAATACGGAATTTTTCACCGCCGAGCCCCCGTTGGATTTCGTCCATGTCGGTCTCAACGGAGGCCAGGCAATCGAAAATCCGCTGAAAATGACACGATCTCCCATCGAAAATCGACGCACCTCTCCGTATCTCTGGTAAAAAATCAAAGCTATCCGCACGAGGTATCGATTCGTTGACGCCAAGTCGAGTCGATTACAGGATTTATCCATTTTTGTGCTTCGGTGTCCGTTTTGGAATACGAGGGCGCGCGCGTGCCCAATCGCGATTCTTCTCCAAAATATTCGCGTCGCGCCACCGAGATTGCGCACGAACGGCACAATGCTGTCGCGAGCTCTTCAAAGGATAAATCAACGTTGAGAAAACTGTCAAAACAAACCGTGTGGTTTCTCCGTCCGCTCCCAGGAGTCTTACGACGACCTAGATACGGCGAGCGACGTGACAACGTTCGCTTTCGTTGCAGATGTTTCCGTGTAGGAATACGCATCGAAGAGGAAGGATGCGTCGTCACGGAGAAGGCGAATAACGCTCGCGCAGTAAAATCCAACGAGCTTTATCTCACCATGTTACGATAGGTTCGATCTTTTCAAAAGTCCGTAAGCGACGCCCCACGGAAGGTAACGCATAAAATCCCAAGAGAAAGGCCACCGCAAAGAGGTTTCCTCTCTCTTTTTCCGAAAACTAGGCTCGAGAAAGAAATCCTCGCTGCGATCCGTCCTACCTGTCTAAACGGTCCCTATTGGCCGCCGGGCTCTCGCAAAAGGAACACGAGAGGAGTTTACACGTAATTCTCGCTTGCGCAAACGGCCGACGTCGGCGCTATTGTTGCGCAAGTCGAGAAAAAACCGGCTGCAGCATGGGTGAACGGTTTTCGTCCGCCTATCGACTCGGATCGAAACGAAAGTCCGGGGGCTCGGATGAGGAGCGTTTCCTACCGTTCGCTTATCGACGTTTACCTCGTCGAACGACCACTTTGGAGAGACAACTCGCATCGATTTTATTCACACCGATCTTTCGTACACTAGGTTCGAGGATTCCCGCTTCCTGCCCTCTCAAGGATCCATACCCTTCGGGAAGTGAGTCGGTTTTAGATCGAAATCGCGACCTAACAAACAGAGGAGAAACAAATTGATAACGTTCGCGCTTTGCGAGCAAAAAAATAAAATGCACCCTCGCGGGGTCTGATACATAAATATTAAATAAATTGGGCGAACTATGACACGGGTGGCCTACCTATCTAATGCCCGCTTATGCGTACGCACAAGATCGAAAATATTTACAGGAACGTTCGCGTTTGCTCCTGGCCTGGACTGGACCTGGACGAAAATGCGCACGCACTCGTTGCGCTCGAGTTCGCACCCGAGGGGATATTCCCGCGCCTTTTTTTAACGACGCCAAGGACGCCGAAACGAGCACGACCGTCGAGATTCGCCTGGGAAGCGGGATCCTTGAAACGGAGAGAGCTTCGGATTTCTTTAAATATCGGGACATCGTCCAACGTGGTATAAAAATTCCGGGAAATCGGTGGTTTCGCCGGCAAACGGATACGCGGTGATACAACGGATCGTAGGTGAAATATTTCAAACTTCCGGAACATCGCCCTCCGAAACATGCTCGGAGCGGGTCGTCTCGACGGGATTTTCGTCATTCGGTTTTCTACGCGGGTAATGCGATTCACTTAATTTTCATATCTTTTTTTACATTATACGAAATGACACGTAAATGACTTAATTCGCTCGAGCGACGACGACGACGCCGCGTAGAAAGTAGGTAGGCCGGCGTAGGTTACCTATATCGTAACCTACGCCGGCAACGTAGAAGCATTACGGCATGGAGAGACGTTACGCGCCTCCACCGAGGGCGATCGTCGCGAGAAAAGCGAGAGCGATTCGACCACGACCGAGATTTCTCGCCCGTTGGCGCGGACGTGCGTTATCCCGAAAGAGAGGAAACCCAAGGAATGCAATCGCCTTATTGTCAATGTATTGACTAGAAAATTCTGGAACGTGGATGCCAAGGGCAAAAGTTTTCCCAAACGCAAATGTCGCTCGATACAGCGGAGACCGGATTTAGCTCAAGGTGCCAAACGCGCGATTACTTTAATCGCGAAACGGATTTTCATCCAACGTTGCGTTTAATCTTGACTGCCAAAATCGCGACGAGTATTATCGGACGATCGAAAGAAAGCGAGAACTCGGGCCCTGCGTGGCCGCGCTAAAAAAATGCCTGAAATTCTCCAGAGATCGTCGCCTTAAGGAAATCGAAGTCGAGTCGGGTCGGGTCGCTCGTCTCGCGAGCCACGCGAACAACGGGTAAGGACGACCGCGCACAGAAGACGCGTAAACACCTGTTAAATACGAGATACGGTTATACGAAGTCATGGAATAAAAATTCGATAAAAATGATCGAATTGAACGGAGCAAATTCTCCCGACGCTCGTTCGAACGTCGGCGATCCGTTGCGAAATATTCTCGGCTGAGATTTCCTTCGGAAAATAGCGAGGTATTCGTTGCGTTCGGACCCTTGGGACCGAGGGTAAAGGAGTGACCGTTGTCAACGACTTTGAGCTGCATAGAATACTGACCGACAGGGAGAGAGGCCCCCGACGATGGTCCTCGCTTGCGGCCATTGGGAGCCTTAGGAAAATCTCAATCGATAGAGAGCTCGAAGACGAGTGTTCCCCAAAGTTACTGTCGGCCCGAAACGTCGTCTTAAAAATAGGAGAAACCTTCCTTTTCATGAAATTCCGCGTTCTCATATTTGCACGGATATCTCTTGCTGCTACTACTACACGTATCAAAAATAGTTTAAACGCAAAATATACTTTACAGGAGTATAGTTCGCAAGATATTCGAGGAAATTTGATATCGTGGAAGTTCACTTTCGGAGGTCCATACGTCGGGCCGAAGATAGTCGAACGCTCAAAGAGACATGTTCCGTGTCTAGTTTTGGAAGTAGTTAAATTTAAAAATTCCCCACGGTTCCCCGAATCCTATTAAAATGTCCCCTACGGAGGCAAACGTTACGAAAATGGGAAACGGATAGAAAAATCGCGTGAAATAATCGTAAGGTTATGTGCAACTTTTCAGATGCGCGAGATTTTGAATCACGTTTGAAACGTTCTTCCAACTAGAGCGGGCTTTCTTCGGAGCGACCCTCGCACGGATTCCACTCATCCCCTACTTACATCACTAGAGCATATTAACCCTTTGCACTCCGCTGCCCCCTCTGAGGGGACATTTTAAGTCTAAATGGGATGGCGCGGAGTGCAAAAGGTTAAGTACGTATATCGCCAACGATAAGTGTACGGATTTGAGCCGTGAGCACGCCCGTAGAGAGCGACAATTGCGGTGAGGTACACGATAGAGAGCAAGAGGAACGTTCTTATCACTTGCACTTGGTTTTGCCGTCGAGTAACTTTTTCCAGAGTTCAAACTGCTCGCTGTATTTGACCATGTGTATGCTGATGCCTCGCTGCACGTTACAGGGACTGTAGGAGATTCTTTTGTTAAGAAACTCATTGGCATGGGCGCGTTTGATACCGAGTTTGTGAGCCACTATGCCCGTCGTAAAGACGTCCTCGAGTTTGAGGTAGGTCTGGTCGAGAGCCGCGTCGTAAAGTTTGTGAACGACGTCCCTCGAAAGCAGGTACGCCGGTCCCGTCGTGAAGTCAGGAAACACCGGCGGCTTGAACTGCGCTTGCGACACGTAATACTTGCTTCTCTTATTTCTTATGGGTTTCCACTTTTTTGCCAGTCTCCCAAAGATGACGTTTTTGTCCTTTGCGTGCTTATTAACGAACGAAAGTAATCGTGGCACGTTTATAAACATGTCATCATCCGTCTTCAGAAGGTACTTTGCCCTGGGACAGTAACCGTCGACCCACTCCAGGGTCGAAATGGTTTTAAGAGTTAAATTGGAGTAGGAATCGAAGAACCGACCACGTATCACATCCGCGAACATGTTCTGCTCTTGTTCCAGTACTCTTTCTAGCTTCGCGTCCATTGTCACGCCCAACATGAAGAGGATACCGACGTCTTTTCTTTGTCCAAAGTGCCCCCAGGTCTGTCTGATGGCAGTCCTAGCTTCTACGTGACTCGGGGCCGACATGATCACTACGATCAGTTCCATGCCCTTGCCGTATTCGGGACATCTTTCCGGTACCGATACGGAGTGTCCAAATTCATATATCGCACGTGCCGTATCTTTGCTCGTATTTACCATATTCTTGGTAGTATCGACCGTTCTTGCCAATTGTTTGATAAATCGATCGACGTTAGATTTGGATTCGTTCGACGCATTGGCAGTCAAAGATACCGGTTGAGAATTCAAAGTCGTGACAAACGAAGCGTTACTAACGTTATGTACCATGCTGACGTTTAGGCCGTTGCTTTCTAACGTTAAATTTCTTAATATTATCGTTACTTGAGAGTCTCCGCTAATATTCGAAGTTGGGTGGAGCGATTCTAGGACCAGAAGACGACCTGCGAAAAAACGTATAGCATGTTAGGTTTGTACTTGGGTATACTAATACAAAATAGAAATTATCGTTTGCAAAACTCAATCTTTCAAAGGATTAAAATATTCAATTTCTGAAAATAAATTTTGTTTGCCGTATCAAAAAGTGCTCGCGGGGTCGCTCGGTCAAAGAAACGTTTACCGGATATGATGTAACTAAATTTGTTTCAAGGCACTCTAAGTAGAAAATGGAACGCACGTTAAGCTATACATTTTACACGGCAAGCACGGTTACCGCGTCCTTGCAAATGTCGCAGATTCTTGAAAGACAACGTCCGATGAGTTAATTCTAATGCTAATCCGATGAAACTTACTAGCATTCCAAGTCGAAACCAAGGGTCGAAGCTCATAGACAGTGGTGCGGTAGTAAGCATAGAAGGTGAGAACGACGAGGCCAAGGATGAGAGTCTGCAGGAGGCGACTGCGTAGATGCAGGAACTGGTACATGATGACGAGTATCGCGATGTCCCAGGTCGAGAAGCGTCTCTGTCAACCAGTACCTCGGTGATGCGCGGTCAAATCATTTATATAACATCACGGCAGGCCTGCTACTCGTCGGAGTCGTCGCTTTATCCTTAAGCCGCGGTCCATTTGAGTCTTCTTCTGCCCTGCCTCGCAATCCGCTCCGTCCACCGTCGTCCGATGCCGGGCTCGGTCATACCGAGTCGAATGCGCACCGAAGGGTTCATCGTGCGCGTGCCACTTAGGTTAGGTTAGCGTTTCCTCGTCTCGATTCCGAAACTCCGACGGATCTTTCGACGAACGCGTCATCGCTCGTTACTCATCGAGTCGTTCTTTGCTCCACTCGCGATATTCGCGCATGGATACTGACAGATACCGACGTCCACAAGTGAATTCGACCGAACATTGGTCACAATTGGTCACGAACTCGGGAACGAACAGGAACAAACAGGAATGAACAGGAACGAAGGCACGGGCACGAGGCACGAGGCGACCAGAAATGAGTTGGGAGATTGCTCACGGGCAGGGTTGCGCGATCGCATCGTGTGCTGCCCTCTGGTTTCGTACATTAGCTTTCACCGTTTTTTGCCCCCAAGGGCGGCGCAACGAATTTCTGATAGGGACTGGCGCACTCGCGATGGCTGTGCCACCTACCAGTTGCCGTTGGCGACTCACGTATTCGCGATGGTAATACCATGCGGTAGTTGACGGTGGTGGCTTACCATTATGGCAATCTCCCAACTCATCTCTGCCAAATCAGAGATGAGTTGAGAGATTCACGGGAAGGATCGAGCGACCGCGTCCTGTGCGACCTCCGGTGGAGGATGCAGACGGCTAATGCACTTGCCACCTGTTACAACTCTGGGCAGCCGGAGAACCGGCTGAAAAAGTGAAAAACTCCTCAGAAAAACTCCAAAACCCTGTATCTCCTCCGAAAAAAATCGCAGCCACTAGCTCGAGAGATCAATTTAAACCGAACAACCTTCCCCATCAAGCTACCGTGGACGCAATTCGTATCGCGAAAAAAATTTACAAACATCCCTCCCTTACAAAAAGTCGACGATCGGAGGTCCACGTGTACACACGTGTACACACGTTCCGCGCGTAGGCAGGCCAAATTGGTTATCGTTACCGGAAGGAAAGCGATTACGGAGCGCGTCGAAGCCATTGGATCTCCACGAGTACGTTCACTTCCTTTCGACGATATCCTATCGCAACGTTTTCGTGCATTTCGGCAGGTTCCGGACAAAAGTTGAATCTCGTTCTTTCAAAAGAGAATAATTCGATTTTCGACGATGCAACGGAAACGCTAAGGTAGGGGTTTCGTGGTCCTCGTATCGACCGGTTTTCCGTCCTCGTTCGTTCGAGAACTTACATGACGGTTGACCTCGGGTTAAGCTAAAAGCGGAACGTATATTCGTATCTCCGGAGATTCTCCGAGAATTCGATACAGGCATTCGACGAAACGATCGAAAGAATGGAATCCGTTTCGAAATTGAAATTCTCGGAGAGGTCGGTCGCGGTCGCGGCCGGGGCGAATTCGGACGCGGAACCGGAGACCCGGACCGCGGATATTACCGAGCCCAAGGGGTTGATCGATAACCTATTTTTCCGGGCACTGGCTCGGTGCCAGAATTCCCGCGGAATGCTGCTGACTCTTTGACATCGCTCGACGCGAGCGGACCATCCTCGACCGTTCCGGCGCCAAGTGGTGCGCTCGGCTAGGTCACGAATGTTTTCGAACGTTCGCAAGGCCATCCCGGACGCCTCGAGCGCGAACCGTTTTCCTTTTTCCGGCAGCCGGGCATCCTTGGTCGACGGACGCGAGGGACCCGGACGAACGAGGGCACTCGAGGACGCTCTCGACGATTAATCGTACCCTTCCGGGACGATTTCGGTCGAGACGCCGGTTGCCAGAAACGGACCTCGCGCCACGAAATCATTTTCGCAGGGGAGACGTTCCTTCGTCGCAGGTTTCGTTCGCTCCCTAGCTCGGGAAAGGGACATTCGAATTACGACGGAGCCGTCCTTCGAGGAGTCCGAAAAAGAGTCCCGGGTGGGTCCGGACGGTCGGTCGGTCGGTCGGTCAGCTGCTGGAGCTCCGGTGCGCAGCCGATCGATGGCCCAGTAGCGTTCGGTGGCGCTCGGGGACGTTCGAGGGTGCTCGGCCTCGCTCGGCGGCGCTCGGGCGGTGCTCGGGCGGCGCTCGGGCGTCCCGAGGGCGGCCACGAGTCAGTCCAGCGCGCCAGCCAGCGAATCGCGAAGGATCCTCCGTGCCGCCCTCGCGAAGGACCGATCCTTCCGCGGCGAACTTGCCAGTTTGCCAGTTCCGGAGGAGTCGATCGTTCGAAGCGCAGCCGGAAGACTCGAGGCCGATCCCACGTCACCGAGCGTGACGGTTATGGACCCTCGACCGGCGGGGAGTCCTCCTTGCGACGGCTAGAGGTTGGTTGTGCGCCCGCTCGAAAAGCGTTCCGAGATCCGACGTCGTCCGAGTCTCGGGAACGGTGGAGGCTGCGCCCCTTGCCGTCTCCTTCGCCAGGGACGCCTCTCCGCTGCGCGCCTCGATCGACCTCGTGAAACGCTCAAGGTAGCTAGGGACTCGCCCGCGCGAATCGTTGCGAGAAACGGCCGGAGGCGCGGTCGCTCGGTCAGGGCAATGGCGACGGATTCGAACGCGTGGCTAGATCAATACCCGCGGCGATTCCACGGCGGAGACCGACCCCGAGGCCGACCCCGAGGCCGACCCGAGGCCGAATCCTCGAGGGGAGAGGCGCTCGTTTCGGTCTTGCGTTTGGCCGCGCCCTCGTCCCTGCGTGTCGCATCCCCGGGGTTGCTCGTCCGTCGCTTGACCTACTCCCTTCTCTTCTGGATCCCACCCTCGATCCGCCGAGAAAGCTACATTTTACGAGTCTGCGAGTTTTCGAGTTCAAGAGGTCCTCGGTTACGAGTCGAAACTCATCTCGTTCATTTGATTAAAACCAAGAGGACGTTCTTCTCCTTTAATTTGACCCGTTTTCTTCGCGGAAGGCGCGGATCGACCCGACGCGCGGTCACGTTCCTTCGAGCCCGAAAATTCGGCCGAAATATAATCGCTCGACGAGATCCTTCGCAACAAGGAGAGAAAAGTCGATTAGCCTCTCCTCGCGTCGTTCTCGCCCCCGTCGGCGGACCGTCGTTCCGTTTCGGGACCCTGACCTTCCGCGGGGTGGAAAGCGAACGCGCTCAAAGACGGGAACGGAAAGGGTCGAAGCTCGACTGGTACCGTAGCCACGTATACTTGGTCTCGATGACGAAACGTACCGATCGATGCTCGACCCAACGAATTACGCGCCCCGGCGGTACCGTCGGAGGAGGTCAACGGACAAATCGTCCGGTTGGTCCCGATAGCCGAGGCATCGTCGGTAACCGAATCGATCGATCGCCCCTTAGAATGAACGTCCGTTCGTTCCACTTAACCTACGTCGAGGAGTCCTCGCCGAGAGTGGAGACTCCCTCCGTCGAGTGCCAGCTCCCCGGTCGAATTTCCATCCGGCTTGCAAATTTCCTCTTAGAGTTTGAAAGCTCTCCTTCCGACCCATCGACCGGTCTATTCCGCAGGAGGCTCGTGACGGATCCGGCCAGCAGAGGAGGATTCCGCTCCCGGGGGTGACGAGGAGAAGATGATAGACCCGAGCTCCTCGGAGGAGGAGAGCGAGGAGGACCAAGGCCCCCGCCACGGGGGTGGTGGAGGAGGCCGCGGCGGCGGGTCGCACGGCCCCCGTCGGCACCCCGGCGGCGGCGGCGGCTGCAGCGACGGCGGCGGCGGCGGCGGCGGCGGAGGCGGCGGCGCGGGTGGCGGCGGCGGCGGCGGCGGCGGCGGCGGAAGCGGAGGCCCCGGGTCGGCGGGACCCGCGCTCTCCGCCGCTCCGGGACCGACCGCCTCCCCGGGGGGACCCGGGAGAGGCGCCGCTCACGGGCCGCGCGCGACCCACGGCCGTGCCGACCCGGCCGCGGGGGCCCAGCAGGAGGCGGCGGCCCAGGGCCTCGACGTGCCCAACCTCGCCAGTGCCCGCAACTCGCTCTCGCCGTCGATGGAAGCGGCCCAGGACGCGGCAAACTACGCCAAGTCCGCCCCCAGGCCCACGAGCCCCTCGCCCTCGGTCGCGAGCGAGAAGACGGAGGCCGAGCTGCAGGTTCGTTCGCGTCTTTCTTTCCTTCTTTCTTTTCTCGCGGTGACCCTCGGTCCTGGATCCGACCTCCCCGAAACGACGAGTTTCCTCGTTATTTTCCAGGACAAGCAGGAACGCGAAGAGGAGGAGCGGAAAACTCGAATCCAACTTTACGTATTTATTTCGCGATGCATCGCCTATCCTTTCAACGCCAAGCAACCTACGGACATGACCTGCCGCCAAATGAAAATTACGAAGCAGCAGCTGGAGACCCTGGGCTCCCGATTTCAGGTAACTACGAACGAGATTAACCGTTGGATCCGATAATTAGGTACCGACCCCGGGACCGCGAAGGGCGTAAACGCGAGAAAACGTAGCCGAAAAAGTAATAGGAAGGGAGTCAACGCGAATTAGCGTACCGCGAGAGGGTCGATCGTAAGGTAGGCGCCCGTGATATTTATGTTATCACTGTCGGGAGAAACCCTTTAAGGAAAGGGTGTAATTTCCGGAAGCCCTAGTACGGGTCTTACGGTTGACCGAAGCACAACCTTCGCCTTCGCGAGACAACGATAAATCGATCCGAATTATAGGAGCGTTACGCGAGCGCTCCAATGTCAATCGATTTCTTGCTTCGTTCGTCCAAAGGATAATCGACTACTTGAAAATTGGATTAAATGAGCGCTCCTCGCAAGGATCGGTCGGACGGTTCCTGTAACTTTCGTCGTCTGGTCTTTTCGGACCCTCGCCTCTTTCGGTCGCGATCGGAGAAATCCAGCTCTGCATCGAATTCGAAAAATGCGATGCGAATCATTCCGTGCCCGATTTACTCGACAGAGTTTCCTGAAAGGGGAGATGCAGATCATGGCGGACGAGGCCTTCCACAACGCGATCCAGCATTACTTCGACGTGTTCCTCAAGTCGGAACGGGTGATCCGTATGGTGCAAAGCGGCGCCTGCTCGCAGTACGACTTCCGCGAGGTGTTCAGGATCAACATAGAAAAGAGAGTTCGGTCCCTCCCGGAAATCGACGGGCTGAGTAAGGAAACGGTCATCACCTCCTGGATGGCCAAGTTCGATTGCATATACAAGGGCACCGGCGACGAGGAGACCAAGAGGCCTTCCAGGATACAGCAACAGTCGTTGAAGTCGGAACTGATCCTCTCCAAGGAACAGCTCTACGACATGTTCCAGCAGATTCTCGGGATCAAAAAGTTCGAGCACCAGCTGCTGTTCAACGCCCTCCTGTTGGATTCAGCCGACGAGCAGGCTGCCGCCATCAGGAGGGAGCTGGACGGTCGCATACAGAAGGTCAACGAGATGGAGAAGGTAAGGTTCACCTCGAGGGACTCGCCACCGGATCCTTCGTCCTCCGCTGATCGGCCTCTTTCTCATCAGAACCGCAAGCTCATGCCGCGGTTCCTCCTCAAAGAAATGGAATCGATCTATATAGAAGAGCTCAAGTCGTCTATCAACCTGCTAATGGCTAATTTGGAGTCGTTACCGGTCTCCAAGGGTTCGATAGACAGCAAATACGGGCTGCAGAAGCTGAAGCGATACAACCGCGGTGATCGCTCCCGCTGCCGCAGTCAGAGCTCTCTAGCTAAGTTAGAAGGCGACTCCGCCGATTCCGATCCCCAGCTGACCAAGATGGACGTAGTCCTGACCTTCCAATTGGAAGTTATCGTAATGGAGGTCAAGGGCCTCAAGAGTCTGGCACCTAATCGAATAGTCTATTGCACGATGGAGGTGGAAGGCGGCGAGAAGCTGCAAACGGACCAAGCCGAGGCCTCCAAACCCATGTAAGCTTCCTCGAGGTGTCGAAAGGTATCCCACGGTACTCGTAGTCGGGAAGTTTCTTCCCCCCTCGTGGCGCGACGATTCCGTTTTTCTTTCCCGGGACTGACCCGAAACCGTTGCAGGTGGGACACCCAGGGTGATTTCTCTACGACGTACCCCTTGCCCGTGGTAAAAGTGCGTCTTTACACGGAGAATCCTGGTATGTTGGCCCTGGAGGACAAGGAGTTGGGCAAGGTGATCCTCAGGCCGACTCCTCTATCCCCCAAGGTACCCGAGTGGCATCGCATGACCGTCCCGAAAAACAATCCCGATCAGGACCTTCGAATCAAGATTGCCTGTCGCATGGACAAGCCGCTGAACATGAAGCACTGCGGGTACCTTTACGCCTTGGGCAAGTCGGTATGGAAAAAGTGGAAGAAGCGGTACTACGTGCTGGTCCAGGTCTCGCAGTACACATTTGCGATGTGTTCGTATAAGGAAAAAAAGAGCGAACCGTCGGAAATGATGCAGCTCGATGGCTATACAGTGGACTATATCGAGGCCGCTTCTGCTAACCTCATGGTCGGCATGGATCTCGAGGGTGGAAGGTGAACCCCTCTGACCGTTCCCTTACCGCGAGCCGATGACTGCCGTAAAAGCAGAGTCGCGAAAAGTCCTCCGTACCCCTCGGGTTAGGCCCTTCGATCACGAGCCCTCGAGGTGGAATTCGGAGTCCGAACGTTGAACGTCGTACGCCGTCTTCGGGTTCCGATTCTTCTACGAGGTAGCAGGAAGCGGCGCTTTAGAAACCGAAACTTCGCTTTGCTTTTACGGCAGCCCGGAGGTACTCGCGACGGAAACATTCCGTTCCGAACAACCGTCGAGGCATCGCGGAACTCTACGAATGATGGTGTGTCTGGCGCAGATTCTTCTTCAACGCCGTCCGTGAAGGCGATAACATAGTCTTCGCCTCGGATGACGAGAACGAGTGCCATTTGTGGGTAATGGCCATGTACAGGGCAACCGGCCAGTCCCACAAGCCCACGCCGCCCGTCTCCGTTGCTGACAAAAATTCGACCATCAGCAAGATTCAAGGCGATGCCGATCGGGCGAGGAAACACGGGATGGAGGACTTTATCAGTGCGGATCCCTGCAAATTCGACCACGCGGCGCTCTTTAAGTTCCTGCAGAATCTGATGCTGGACTACAGACTGAACGATCCATACTGCTCGCTGGGCTGGTTCTCTCCAGGACAGGTTTTCGTCATCGACGAATATTGCGCTAGGTCTGATAATATATTTACGGATACGATGTCGATGTAGCAAATCGAAACCGGCTACTTTGGTCTTGGACGGTGCTAGCTATTCATGTACCGAGCATTTCACCGCGTTCGCGATCACGTTGGACGTTGTGCGTCAGGGAAATGGAAACTTTTTGTACTTAATAAGACGAGGGGAATACTCTCCTTGAGTTTCTTAGCCGATCTCACTGTCGTCCGGCCGGTGGATGATAGTCTCGAAAAACGAGTAGCGCGAACTCGGGTGAATTGGACCGTTTAATTCGGTATCGAAATCCGTGCGCGACCGTTGTATCCCCTGGCCGTTTCGGAGAAATGCCCGGTCCATGTGCAAGTATCGTCTCGCGTTCTCAGCTCTTCCCTCGAATTTCCAGATACGGAGTTCGCGGTTGCTTCCGTCACCTGTGCTCCCTGAGCGACCTGCTGGACAGGGCGGAGCGAGGGATCATGATCGACCCGACCTTGATTCACTACAGCTTCGCGTTTTGCGCGAGCCACGTCCACGGAAACAGGCCCGATGGCGTAGGCTCCGTCACTCACGAGGAGAAGGACAAGTTCATGGAGATCAAGGAGCGCCTGCGGCAGCTTCTGGAGAAGCAGATCACGAATTTCAGGTAAGGACTGCTCCTTGATGGTCATTGGTTCGCGAGCGAGATAATTCGACGAGGCTCGCGGCCCTTTTTAGGTCGAGCTTCCCGTTCGGTCGACCCGAGGGTGCCCTGAAGGCGACCCTGTCGCTCTTGGAACGGGTCCTGATGAAGGATATAAGTTCCCCGATCCCGGCCGAGGAAGTACGCGGCATGATCAAGTCTTGCCTAGAGACCGCTGCACTCGTCAACTACACAAAGCTCTCCGCCGTGGCGAAGATCGAGGACGATTTCAATGGGGAGGTCTGCGTGCCTCCCAGTAAGAAACTCGAGGACCTCATCCACCTCGCGGAGCTTTGTGTCGACCTGTTGCAGCAAAACGAGGAACATTATTCGGAGGTATTAGTTAGGTTTTTAGAACCGAGTGTTCTTACCCGGGGCTCTCGAGAGAGAGGGTAGCATGCAGAGCCACGGGCCTGGTAAGTGTCCGCCGCCTCCTCAGAAGACAACGTTCGTCGTTCACCCTGCCATCCTTGGTTCTCGTTTTCTCACCGTCGTCGGTTCGGTACATGCAATCCAGGTCGGTCTTGCGAACTAAACTTTACCTCGACGCCGATGTCTCCCGAACGAGTCCGTAAAGCCTGGCCAACGGCGGGGACGAGAGGAGATCGTCGCCGAGGTTAGCGGCGGGCTTCGTAGGGCTCTTCGTCTACGCCGAAACTTGCCGAAGGAACAATGGTAACCGGTGGCGTATACGCATTATGGCGCTCATCCCGCGGAGGGAATTGTATACGTAGGGGTGGTTACCGAGTTCCGTCCGATACGATCATTAACGATCCTTTTCTTTTTTTTTTTTTACCTTTGGTACCGTCGATGCCTCTTGCAATCTCGGAAAAAGGAGACGATCCCTGGCGGAAGGCGTAACCACGCTCGCGCGTGTACCTCTCTCCGTGGTTAAATTTGATTGTTTCTCGCACTCGGCCGAAACGTAGCTTCGGTAGTGTCTTCTGGGTGCTCGAGGGCTCCGCGCTCGGGATGGCGGTCCCACCATCCCGAGCTTGAGAAGATTTTCCCACCGTATATGTGTGTCGTCCAATATTTTCACGTGTCGCTCCTACTACACCGCACCGCAGGCGTTCGCCTGGTTTAGCGACCTCCTGGTGGAGCACGCCGAGATCTTCTGGTCCCTCTTCGCGGTCGACATGGACAAGGTGCTCTCCGAACAGCCGCCCGACACCTGGGATAGTTTCCCGTTGTTCCAGATCATGAACGACTACTTGTCGACCGATGGTGAGTCCTACTTTACACGGTATACCGAGAAAACGCACGTCCGTGTACCGAGACGAAGCAACGCGAGATCGATGAGCCGCCGATGAGGTATCCTTCCTCTCCTCTCCTCTTTTTCCTCAAAATCATTTGGCGAAGGTTCTTCCGCGTCAATCGCTTACCTTGACCGGCAGACAACTTGAAGAACGGGAGATTCCATCAGCACCTGCGGGACACGTTTGCACCGCTCGTCGTCCGCTACGTGGATCTGATGGAGACGTCGATCGCCCAGTCCATCCACAAGGGCTTCGAGAAGGAGCGCTGGGAGATCAAGGGCAACGGGTGCGCCACCTCGGAGGACCTCTTCTGGAAGCTCGACGCTCTGCAGACCTTCATCGGCGGACTCCACTGGCCGGATCCGGAGTTTCGCCAACATCTGGAGCAGCGACTCAAACTGATGGCCTGCGACATGATCGAGTCCTGCATCCAGAGAACCGACGCGGCCTTCCAGCAGTGGCTGAAGAAAGGCGTCACCTTCATCTCGACCGACTACATCATACCCTCGGAGATGTGCGCCATGGTCAACGTCATCCTCGATGCAAAGAACAAGAGCTTCAAGCTCTGCGCCGTCGACGGCGTCGACGTGGTGAGTCGGCATCCCCTCGGGAGATTGCGCGAAAACGATGCCACGCGGATATGTACTCCCGTTTTCTGCCTTTAGCACCAATACCACGCCAAGATCGACGACCTCATAGAAAAGACGTCAGCGGCGATGACTCAAGGAATGATCAACAAGCTGGTGACTGTTCTGGAGACGACCCTCTCCAAGCTGGCGCGGTATGACGAGGGCTCGTTCATCGGCTCCATTCTTAGTTTTACGGTACGTAAACGAGTTGTAACGGCGAGATATCCCGCGAATCTCGCGGCTTCTCGATAAATCTCGACTTCGGTTCGCAGAAGGTCTCGGGTAGCGGAAAAGAGATGGGTCAGGCCTACGTGAATTTCACGAGGAACTGCATGGACCAGATTCGCAGCAAGGTCATCGACGAGCTCTGGATTCTGACCTTCTTCGAGGTATGAATTTTCGCGTCCTCCGGAACACCGGCTGTCTTTGGCTAATGGGTTATCGTGCATCTCCGTTATCGCGTCCAGCAATGGTACACGGCGCAGATCCAGATGCTGTGCAACTGGCTGTCGGAAAGGCTCGACAACAGCCTGCACCTGTACCAGTGCACGTGCCTCGCTCACATCGTGAAGAAGGTTTATTCGGACTTCGAACTCCAAGGAGTTATGGAGGACAAACTGAACTCGCAGACATATCAGACGATATCGCAGAGGATGCAAACGGAGGAAGCAACTTGTGCCTTAACCATGAGCGCTCAAAACGAGGAGTAAGTCGATCGACCTAAACGGTTTAATCTCGAATCGTTCGGAGCAACGGCGAGAAATTGGTATTTCTTAGCCTATCTCGAAGAGCTCCTCTGCTGGTTCTCGGTTTCCGATACTTGTTCCAAATTCAACATCTTTATCCGTTCCATTCCCTATTTTTCAGAGGATTGTCGGAAAACGGCAACGACGAGGACGTGGAGAGGCCCAAGACAAAGGTGACGGTCGTCGAGACGATCGCTGGGGACGACGGTAACTACGTAGCGAACATCTCTAACGTGACCTCCAACGTGGTCGGGAAAGTGGGCAGCATGTTCGGCAAAGGCATTGGTGGCCTTTCAACCAAATTCGGCGGCGCCACCAGTTGGTTCTAACAAGGAACAACCCGCCGTTAATTTAATTTCACCTAGGACGTCCCTTAATCCGCTCGTCTACCGAGTAGGTTGCAGCGAGAAGACCCAAAAAGTACCTAGGATTCGTAGGAGCTAAACAAGCCTTAGAAGTTCTTCCCGGCAGAGGAGCTGACAATGAGAAGAATTTCCGGAAGCGATACAGCCGAGATGGCTTCCGAATCTCCTAGTCGCAACGGGGTCGTCGCGTCGGACGTGGTTTCGTCGAGAGTCCACCGGAGGTCCTAACCCGAGACCAACATCGAGTTCGGCCGCGTTCTCGAGGAAGGAGGTCTCCTCTTTGACCGGGCAATCGAAGCTGGAAGAGAGTCCCAGTCCCTGGGAGTACCTGGAATCGGTGGATCCGCGCCTTCGCGGCCGAGGCTTAGTCTCCGAGTGGAGGCGCAACCGGAGAAATCGAGCGGGAGGAAAGCTACGCGCGCGCGTAGAGCGAGAGGCACGCGAAGGGGTGACGCAGCTATTGGATACCCGCGCGATCCCCGAACCGGAGGTACGCGGTTAATATTAGATAAGGATCGTCGTAACGGATTTTCCTATTTAGCGTGTATTGGAGAGCAATTCAGTCCGCGAGGCGTACCGAAGAAACGCACGAATTGTAGAACAAGGGAAGGCCATGATCACTCCGCCGGATAGGAGATGGTCGAAGGGAAAGGGACGGGTCCGGGTCGAGAACCTTCCCAGGACGCGCTCTTTGTGACGTCGATGAGCGATCGGTGCCTTCGAACCATTTTTAAGATTCGCCCCCGAGGGCGCGAGAGATTCTAAAGAAACGGAGGGTTTTCGCGAACGAACGAGAACGGACGGACGCCCGGCGCATTTGGCATCGAGCGTCGCGTTCCGAATTTTCGATCTCCAACGGGCGGTAACTCGGATTTGTCGGCGGTTACGGGTTATCTGGCATATTTTTAACGAGATCTCGGGATCGCGGGCGTGGTCTTGCCTGGGCATACGTTGCAATTGAAGTATCGGGAAGAGCGCTCGCACGAGCGGCGCAACCGAGACCGTGCCGAGCGCGCCTCGTTCGCAAGAAAGAACGGCCGAGGTCGGTCAGAGTTTGCGATCACTTTGTAAATATCGTTAGTCGAAGCTTCACCGGACGCGAGAGAACGGTCGATCGTCGAGCGCGACTGCCAAGCTCGGTCCCGTCGAGGTCTGGCAATCTTGGAAGTCGCGCATATCGTTCGAGTTCGGGAACGCGAGGCGCATTCTCCGAGGAGGACTCGAAGTGATTCGTGATGGCGGAGAAGAAAAGAGAAACGGCATTTGTCGCTAGTCTCGCGCGCAAACGAAAACCGAGCGAGGGGATTCCTATTGGCCCGGAGCTATAAGAGCCTCAAGAGAGACACGACGCGGCAGGAGCGAACCATCGTCGCACCGTCGAAGACGACGTTTACGGGGTCGTTCCATCGTATCCGTGACGATCGCGCAATGATTCTATCTAGAGCTCATTATGATTATCGTTATATTATTCTTCTACTATCGGTAACGACTCTACTGTAATCCATATACTAGGCTAGGACAGTTACGGAACGATGTCTCTTTCCGCTCCGACGATGCTATACTCCAGCACTACGGTACCGAGGTACCTTTTTCTCCCCCACCTCGTCTCTGTCTCTGTCTCTGTCTCTCTCTCTCTGTCTCTCTGTCTCTCTGTCTCACTTTCTCCGTCTCTATCTCCTTATTGTGTTAATCGTGCCAGTAATCGACCACAGAGGGGACTTTTTACTCTAGACGGTATTCTAGCAAGTTTTAACTTCGATTCCACTGTTGTTCTCTCGTTAATAAAAATTCGGGCACAAAAGCCCCGATAAAAGGTCTCTCCGAATTTTATTTCCTCGTTCGAACCGGGACACGAGCACCGTCCCCAGTGGAGTCGTCATCGGCGCGCTCGGGAGGGTTTTCGGTTCTTCGGCTCTCCGCGTCTCCGCCTCGCCCCCTACGTCCTTCCGATCCGCGAGACTTATCGGTTCCTCCGGTTCCCCTTTTGCTACATCTTCATCCCCGGCACGATTACCGTTTCACGCATTGCATATTCCTTGTCGATTCGAACAAGGGAACTCGCTCGCTCGCTCGCCCGTCCATCGTCGATCCGACTCGCACAAGATCGGCATCGCTTTTCGCTTCCGTTTCCACGGCATGACCATTGTGCGGACTGTTTATGTAAATAAATCACTTGCAAACGCCTTGCACTTTTGTTCACCATCGCGTGCCGCGTTCACCTTGTGCCGTTTCGAAGAAAAATCGCAGCGACTCGCCCGACGGCTCGTCTTAAAGGTGAGAACAGGGGCTTTAAAGCTTAAATGAAAGTAAGTGCGGACAAAATTCAACGGAAGCTCAGAAGTCGAAGATCCAATGAAACCGTCCTCGCGGACGGTTCGATCGAATGTGTCCGCGTCGTCGATGTAATATCCCTCGAAAAAAAACGGCGCAATTAACTCGCTTGGCTCATTTTAAAAACCTTTCAGCGCTTTAACAATTGTCGATACTATTCAGGATGGATTTACGTGATGGCGTAGACTAGAGTCGTCCTTCGTCCCGTCAAGTACCTAAAACGTCCGCAACGATATCGGCGCTCGTGTCGCAAAAAGTTCCATAACTGTGCTTTCTGAGCCGTGGCAACTCTCATCTTCTCTGTCTGCTTTTATTCTTCATGAATAGGTGTATTTCGGTATTACCAGTATTAGCATTGTTTCCCGTGAGTTAGATTTGCGTTAATGAATTCGCGTTAAAAATGTTGGCGTAATGTGTTCTGTATTGTTAATAGGTAAAGTCGTTACCCTGGATTTTAACATAGCCTTAGATAATTAAAGGTGTTTCTAACTGGATAAGGATCATACTGGGATCGACACGGGACCGACATTCAGCACGGATGCAGATTTAGAACTGGTTAAGGACATACAGTAAAAAATGTACTTTGTACGTGACGGTAACTTACATCGTGATGCATGATTACGTGTAAGTTAATTCGTTATCAGTCAGCGGCGACATAACCTTAAAGGAAATTAAATATACTCCCTTCCTTTGAGGAGTCTTTGAAAATTGCAAGTTCCTCGAAGGAACAGTTGAGGAGATATCCTTTACTAAATATCATCGATTTAGGTCTTCGACAATGTCAGTTCTTGAGTTGACATTATTTTGACATAGAATTGATTTACATGAAAGTACCGCTACTTCTCCGAAATATCCTTGTAGGCATCCCGATTGGGATAACCTTCTTGGATACGGTAGGTTATGTGGCCCGAGTAGAAGGTGTCTCGATGCAGCCTGTCTTAAATCCTGATCTTCGACAAACCGACTATGTCTTTCTAAATCGATGGCAAGTTCGTGGGTATAAAGTGGAACGTGGAGATGTAATATCTCTTACTTCTCCCAAGTACCCCAATCAAATGTTAATTAAACGAGTGGTAGCGGTAGCAGGAGATATTGTACATACGATAGGCTATAAATCTGAATTTCTTAAGGTATGAAATATTATTTAAGTACCTTTGAAATCTGTATACTATTGGGTTGGCAACTAAGTGATTGCGGATTTTTTAATACCATCTATCGACAAAATCTGCAATTATTTAGTTGCCAACCCAATACAGTGCATGGTATGTATATGCTTTTGTATGTACTTCTGTTTATTTCGATTCAGGTACCAGATGGTCACTGCTGGGTAGAAGGTGATCATACCGGTCAGTCCATGGATTCTAACTGTTTTGGACCAATTTCGCTTGGTCTGGTTACAGCAAAAGCCACGTGTATCGTCTGGCCGCCAAACCGTTGGCAATATCTTAACTCTTCGTTACCCGATCACCGTAGACCACTTAATTTACGGAGAACCGTAACGATATAAAGTTCTGATCCAAGATGAAAGCCGTTCGCTTTATTAAACGTTTGCAGTGGGATTTGCCTGGAACTGTTTGTAGACACGGACTAACGATCGGAGATGTTGATAACGATGGTGATAATGAATTAGTTATTGGTACCACGGAAGGAGAACTACATATATTCAAGGTACATTCGTGTACTTTTAATAATGTACAAATTGTTATTAACACAGCAATTTACAAAAGTACTGATATTACATTGATTAGAGTTTTCTGTGTACCATACACTTATGATATTATGTCGGTACGATACAGGGATCAGAACTGTGGCAAAAGATAACGGGACTGGGTCTTGTGACAAGTGTCGCAATTGGTGATATTTTCAATTATGGCTGCAATGCTCTTGTTGTAATTTGTGGAGATGGGTGGGCCCACATTTTTTATAGTCCAAGGCCTGCTAATTCAACCGCAACTGCATCAAATTCAGCTAATCTTCAGTCCGGTAAAGAAGTTATTAGCTTGGATAACCTTAAAATAAGCTCAGGTATGCAGTGTTTAATCTAAAGAGAAAATTTTTCAATTTTTTCCTATTGTTAATTGTAACACTTTTACAGGGCAAGGTACGGTAGATATAGGAACGGATATGAGTACATCGATTGTCACCGATCACATTGATAGTACAAACGAAGTTAACGAGTTGTCTGGAAAAATGGAATGTGTCCATGTTCAAAGAATCCCAACAAACACCAAAATTGTTCTCATTGCAGACATCGACAAAGACGGAGCAAACGAAATGGTTATTGGTTTGACCGATCGAGTTGTAAGATCATATCGATGGTCATGCAATGCTGATTTAGGCACGGGTAAACTAGTTGGACTTAACAAATGGGAATGCACTGACCAAATTGGAACGGTTACGCTTCAGGTACATAATGATTAATTTTTTTATTATTATAATTAATAAAACATAATTGAATTTAATGAGTCCAATTTTATCTTCGTACTGATAGCATTCAGGAGATGGAGTACCTACGTTGCTAGTAGCTCAACCAGGCGGTACTTTTATGCGAATCAAGTGCAATCCAGACAACAGTCACTTTGAAGAACATAATACTTTAGACGTCAATGGTGAAGCTGCAGCAAGTTGCATAGATTACCAAACGCTGGGAATTTCCAGAATGCGCAATCCAAATATTTCAACTGAAATAATGGGCGATTTGGAATTAGGAGGAAAACCAATTGTACCTTCAACAGATCGAGATATATCAAGGGACGGGTCAAAAGTCTCGATATACACATTGGATGATGATTCGATTGGTCAGATTTCATCGGTAACAGAACTCGAAAGTGCGGAATGTACAAGACAGTTTTCCCATTCAGAGAAGAAAAAATTTGCGTTGGACGCAACGGATCATTTAAGAAAAGGGCAATATTCACATGGTGCAAATATTGTAACAAGTATATTTTATAGTAAACTCGATTCAACTGAATCCGATCAAGTGGATGGTAACTTGGTAGGTGGTAACGTTATTCTCGGAGAGTTTGACTCAAAAGAGGAAAAGAAATCCGTGCTGTCAATGTACAATGATTTCTCGCACAACAATAATAACAATAACAATGATTTCGCCACAAAAGATAAAGTTAATATACTTGGGAATAGTGAGAAAAGTACTTCAAACGGCAAACCATATGCTTTAGCTACGTTGGATGGAACCATTATGTTGGTTCAAAACGAAATAATTATGTGGTAATTTTCCTCCTTAGAGATGTCCATAAGCAGCGACAATCGCTCACGTTGGTCGTGCTTTATGAAAACGAACATTTTTAAATTTATAAATTTCTTCCAGGGCCATGCAAGTTGATCATCAGATTTTTGCCCTATGTCGATTAGACGTGACGGGAGATGGCAAGGATGAAATCGTTGCATGTGCATGGGATGGGCAGACTTACATACTCGATCAACAAAAGAACAGCGTCCGTTTTCAATTCGGAGAATCGGTCAGAGCTTTCTGTACGGGAAAATACAGTGTTACCCAAGGGAACTCGACGCCATCTTTAGTGTATAATACCTTTACTAACAAGGTATTTAGACTTACCGATTACACGAATAAGAACAGATTATTTGCTGAAATAGTCGCGCTCCGTTTTAATTTGTTTGTACATTGAATTTCCCAATGTTTGTCTTCAAAGAACTCGCGCCAATTCCGTTTAACGTCGTTAGTTAAGTTGCGAAAACTTGTTGAAAGAAATATTAATACGCGATATTCCGTTTTATGTTAGATATTTCTATATTACGACGTAATTCTGCCACATATGGTGATTACTCCTATGGATCCAATAGACGAATTAGATCCAGATGAAAGACAAGTTTTAGAAGAGATGCTGGATTCAAGCAACGAAGGCGAAAAACGAGAAAAGCTGCGACAACTAACGGAGTGGTTGTTGTACGGACAACGCGATTGATCGCGACCAATACATCTTAAGGCGGCTCAACCTATCGTTCTCCAAATCCTGTGTAAATGACGACGGTTCAAAACACGCCATGCGCAGAAGGCATGAATACAAAGGAACGATTTAACCAAATCCCCGGTGCGTAGGAGATACAGGGGTAGAAACGACGGTTGAACGATCGTTAGGAAGAATATCGGTACGATTCTACTCGGTCGTTATCAGGAACACGATTGTAGGATACTTTATAGGGTCGCGCCGCTTTTTTCGCCGGGTAAACCCATCCACGCCACGAAGGACCTAATCGACGGCGCTATTTGCGGCCGTTCTCATCCAGCGCCAAACGCTCGTTATCGCACAGTTATAAATTATGCTGGGAATGTCAACAAAGTAGGCCTAATATATAACATCGAATCGCTTCTTACGATCGTCAGTGGAAATGCAGATTCCCTGTCTTTCCGTTTGACCCGTTCCACGCATCGGTCGGTCTGGTTCTCGAAATATTCATCACCGAGCTCTCCACGGTTGCGTCACCCGCGCGCGCGCGCGCGTTTAAGATCTCGATAATCCGGGATTAATACCGAAGGAACGTTTGGAATTAACAATGACGGAGAACGGTACGGCGATAAATTCGTTCAACACCCAGCTGGAGCATCTGACGTTCGGATGGACGGACTACGTTCTGTTCGGAGGCCTGCTGGGGGTCAGCATCCTGATCGGCATCTACTTTGGCTTCTTCGGGAAAAAGCAGGATAATACGACGGAGTACCTGCTCGGAGGGAAGACCATGGCATTCTTCCCAGTGAGCATGAGTCTGATCGCGAGGTAAGCCCCGCTCAGGGGGGACCGCGGCCGACGCGTTATCGGACCGCGCGGGTCTCCGCCCAATGGGAGCTGTCGCTGCTCCTTCCGATAAGACGCCACTTGTATCACGCGAGAGCACCTGCCACCCGTGGCAAATGTTGACGAAACGGACGTCACGATAAGACCGCGAGAAGGATCCGTTCCCTTTGGGCGAGGTCGTCGTCGACGCGGCGCGCACTCGATCGCGCCCAGCCCGGTCACGAGCATCTCGAATTTCAGCCACTTGTCCGGAATATCGTTGCTGGGCGTTCCGTCGGAGGTTTACCTGTTCGGGACGCAGTACGCGGCGTGCGTCGTCACGTCGTTCGCGTCGTGCTTCCTGGTGTCCAGCGTCTACCTGCCCGTCTTCTACAAGCTGCAGCTCACCAGCACCTTCGAGTACCTGGAAGCGAGGTTTTCGCGGCCCGTTCGACTGCTGGCGTCCTTTCTTTACACCTTCTCGCTGATCACCTACATCCCCCTGGTCATCTACGTCCCCGCTCTGGCCTTCGCTCAGGCGACCGAGTTCAATCTGCACGTGGTCGCGCCCGTCATCTGCGTCGTTTGCATCTTCTACACGACCATAGTAAGGCGAGCCGATCGATTCGGGGCGGTCCGTCGCGAGGAAATGATTTTACGTTACTTAGGGAAACGGGGACGCCTTCGTTTTCAGGGTGGCCTGAAAGCCGTGGTGTGGTCGGACGCGATCCAGCTGACGGTGACCATTGGAAGTTTGTTCGCCGTCCTCTTTTTAGGAATCTCTTCGGCTGGCGGCATCTCGAATATCTGGAGGGTAGCGGGCGAAGGAAGCAGGCTCGAGTTTTGGAAGTAAGTCGTTCGAGGCGAACTCTCGACCGATTTCTGATTTGCGACTTCTGCTCGTTCGCTAGCATGAATCCGAGTCCCTTCGTGAGGAACAGCTTCTGGGGGATGTCGGTCGGCATGGTGCTGACGTGGACCTCGTCGCTCGGAGTGACTCAAGGATCGATGCAGAGGTTCCTCTCGGTACCCACCGTCAAGGACGCGAGAAAGTCAGTGTTCGTTGGATCTCTCGGAGGGCGTCGGCTCGTTGCTCGCGTCCGTTCGAGTCGGAATTATCGAGAGCGACGCGACAACGAGTCGATCGCGCCTACTTTTCCCGATTCGCGTATAACAGGGTACTCGTCGGTCATTTGACAGAGCTCTGGCGGTGATGGCAGTGGGACTGGTCGTCATAAAGTGGACCTCGATCTTTACGGGCCTCGCCATGTACACCAAGTACCACGACTGCGACCCGTCCAGCACGGTAAGAGGCACCCCGAGGTTTCCCCGACTCGAGTCACGAATCGGGTCGATCTTCAGGTGGTGTCCAAGAGCGATCAGATCCTGCCGTACTACGTGATGGACGTCGCCGGCGACATCCCGGGCCTTCCGGGACTGTTCCTCGCCGGGCTGGTGAGCGCCGGCCTCTCCACCATGAGCGCCTGCTTGAACACGGCGGCTGGCACGATCTACGAGGACTTCGTGGACCCCTGGATGCCCGAGAGCGCCGACCGGGAGGCCAGGGCCGCGGGAATAATGAAGGTAAACTTTCCGCGGGTCGGCCCCCGATTCGCCGTGCGCGGTGGAGCGCGAATACGAAGGAGTGGTCAATTTTGGTCAAATGTGGTCGGTCAGGTGACGGTGGTCCTGCTGGGAGTGCTGTGCGTGTGCATGGTCTTCGTGGTGGACGAGCTGGGAGACATATTCCAAGTGTCCCTCAGCCTGAACGGAATCACAGCAGGTGCCATGTTAGGCCTGTTCTCCTTGGGTATGCTGATGCCATGGGCAAACACGAAGGGAGCCGTGGTCGGTGGTGCCTGTTCCATGTGCCTCATGATATGGATCATCGTCGGTACTCAATACTACATGGCGCGTCGAATCATCGTTTACGAACCGCTGCCGCTCTCCACGGAGGGCTGTCCACTTTCGGAAAGGTTCAACGCGACGACGACGACCCCTGCGTCGATCCCTTCCGAGGACGAGCCCCTCGCCCTGTACCACGTGTCCTTCATGTACTACACCTTGGTAGGCGCCCTGACCGTCATGGTCGTGGGCACGATCGTCAGTTTCCTTTTCGGACCGTCCAACTTGCAGGATCTCGACAGGGACCATTTTCCTCCCATCGTCCGCAGGTTCGTACCCTTTGCGTCCCGTTGCCGTTGTCGCAAACGAATCGGAGCTCGGATCGCTTTCGTTGCCCGACAGGTTCCTACCTCCGAAGAGGTACACCGAGGTCTTCATGCACGCGATTCAGGAGGCGAAGGGCAAGGAGAAGGAGAAGGAGGATATCGACGTTTACCGATTGCCGTAATCCAGGAAAAAATAAGCAGAGTCCCGGAGCCCGCCGTCGCGGAAAGAAATGCTCGGTTTCGGATCCGATCGACGACGCTTTCCGTGAAAATCAGCCCTACCGATCCGTCGAGGACCGAACGCGTCCATTAGCGGTCGACGAGGGTGTCAAATTGACCAGATTACTTATCCGCCCGACGCATCTCGACGCAAACGGACGCCAACATCCGGAGGAGCGATCCCTATCGGATTAGGGCAAACGTAAATTCGTTGGAAGAGGAGCGGGTCTTGCCGAATCATCGTCCGAAGCTCCCTCGCGTCCCGGCGTCGTCCCGGTGTCGTCCCGGTGTCGTCCCGGTGTCGTCCCGGTGTCGTCCCGAGCGACGGACTCGCGCGGATTCCGCTTCTCCGGCTCGCTCGGGACGTCCCCGCCGCGTCCGGAGACAAAACTTTGCTCTCCGGCCTCGGGACCGCATTCCTCCGGGCATTCGTTTTATTGGGCCGAGAGGTGTCAAATATAGGCGCGAGAGTGGCACTTTGTGCGGCGCCCTTGTGTAGGTGAAAATCCCGGAGCGAGGTCCTGCCAGGACTTTTCACGGATTCCGTCCTCGTCGGTGTCGAGTGACGGCCGAGCCCTCTTTCTCGCCGCTGACGTCGCGCGATCCCGATGCCATATACGGGGTGTCCCGAGAGTCGGCGGAATCGGTCGCGTCTCCCCCGCGCGCACAAAGGCGGCCGAGGGGTGGGACACGGCTTATTGGCGACAATGCGCGAGCCCCGCGGCCACATAAAGGCGTATAATGCTCCCCGCTAACGTGAAAATTATTCTGTCAAACATTCGCCCGTCGGATTAGCTCCGAACCGACTCCCGCCCGTCGATCTCGCGACGTACCTCTGTACGACCGTCAAATAAACGCCCGTCGAAAGCGAATCGAGTCGGGGAGAAGGACGGAAAGGAACCCGCTTCGGGCGACTCGACCGCGCCAATTATTTCGAGAGCGGATTGGGTGCTTCCTCGCTAAATTACCCCTTCGGAACGGTACATTAGACGCGACGGAGGAGCGCGGTGGAAAAGGCGGAAAAGGCGGAAAAGGCGGAAAAGGTGGAAAAGGCGGACACGACGGACAAGGCGGAAAAGGCAGGAAAAAAGCGCGCGCTCGCCCCTCTCCGCGCCCGGGCCGTCGCGCGCTCGATCGAAACGCCGCGCCCCCCTCCGCCGCCGAAATCGCGCGGGAGCCGACGCCCCGCCCTCCCCGCTCCCGGCCGGCCAATGCGCGCCGCGGCCGTCGGCCATTTTGGTCCATGCGGAGGCTGCGGGACGGACGCGGGCCCGTAACGATCCGCCGTGGAGGGGGACCGGCGGACGCAGCGCCTTGCACGGCGCTACCAGGAACTCGGGGATCGCGAGACGCGGCCGAGACGCGGCCGAGACGAGCGCCCACCGATTCCGACGAGCCGCGCCACGGAGCCGCGCCACGGAGCCGCGCCACGGAGCCGCGCCACGCCGCCGCGCGCGAAGGACGATTCGCTCCGCGAGTGACTCGCGAGTGACGACGACGTCGACGCCCGGGCCGGGCCGAGGCACGCGGCCCAGGAACCGGCCCAGGAACCGGCCCAGGAACCGGCCCACCGACCGAGCCGGAGACGGTGCGAGGACGACGCCGAGGAGATAAGGTCAGAAGGTGAGAAGCGGGAACGCGATCGCTTCGAAAGAGGTGCGACTTGGCGAAGGAGAAGCGTACCCGGCAAACGGAGGTCGTCCTTGTTTCGTCCCCTGGCCGCGGCGTCTGCCGACGAGCGTCCGCCCGAAACGTAAACATCGAGCAGTTTTAAACGGTAGGCCAACGGAGCGTCCGTGGAATTCCGTTGCGTTCCTCGAAATCGAGCGTCGGCGGCTCGTCTTTGTTTGCGATCCCGAGGCGCGGACGACCGGCAAGGGCAAACATTGGGCGGATCTTCTCGGGTTCGGTCGGGTCGAGGGCATGGACGCGACGGTAACGACGTCTCGGGGATCCTCCCGTCGGCGGGCCGCCTCCGAGTGCCTCGTCATCTCCGATAATCATCGCCGTCCCCTCGCTTTCCGCTTCTCTCCTCCGCTGCGAAACTCCAGTTCCGCGCGAACGCGCGAACGCGCGAGAGCCGACGGGGAACGGAGCGAATAAAAAGGGGCGGAAAGGGGCCATCTCTCGGACGCGACGCGTGGGCCCGACGATCGGGGAGTCGCATCCCGGGTAATTAGGAGCCGACGCGGCTCCGGATTCCACGAGGACGCGTCGGAGCGGAAACCGGAGAGAGGCGCGAAAGCGAGCTCGCATTCCGGAGGTCATCCCGGTCCGACCCCGACCTAGGGACGTCCGCCTCGCGACGGTTTCTCTCTCCTTGCCGTAATCCGGGCGGGGGCGGCCGCTCCTAAGCGGAGTCCTCGGTCGTTTGCAAATAGGCTCGGGGCTCGGCTGACCAGACCCCCCGGCCGGGGTAATAATCGCGTCGATTGTCGTCCCCGAAAACAGAGCCGGCTTCCTCGGACCGGCCCACCCCGGGCGCGCGCGACCGACGCCTCCGGGGGGTCGGGGTTCCCGCTCCGCGGAAAGACGGCCGCACCTGGCCGTCGACGGAATCGGGGAAGAGATCGGCCCGGAGAGGAACGCCGGACCGGCCGAGTCTCGGGTGCCGCAGGTGTAGAGCCCCCCGGCCCCCGGCCCCCTCGGAAGGGCCGAACGCGGCGGCATATTTCATCCATTGTCGCCCCTCGACTCCGGCGGCGGCACTTTTCAACTTTTTATAGAGATTTTTATACCGCTATATCTATACCGGCGAGGGTGCCCCTTCGCGGCCGAATACGAATACGAATATAATAACGAGAACGGGTTCCGCTCCCCGGCGCGTCGCCGCCGTCGCTCGGCCCCGTCCGCTCTCCTCGCCCCAGCGTTTTTTCCGCCTCGACGACCTCTCGAGTCGCGTCTCGATCCAGTTCCTTCCCTCGCGGATCCGCGCCGGGTCGCGGCCGTCGCGACGGCGACGGCGACGGCGACGGCGACGGCGACGGCGACGGCGACGGCGACGGCGACGGCGACGGCGACGGAACGAGGAACGATTTACGAGCGAGGCGCAATTTATCGTCACCCTTTGACCGATCCGGATCCAGGAGGATCGGGCTTCGGGCCCCGAGATAATCCGGAGACCTCCGAGGACGCGGAGGAGTCTCGCGTTTCCGCGGATGGGCGGCGGATGGCCGGCGGATGGCCGGCGGACCAAGGTCCCTCGAGGCGGAGAAGGAATGTCGTACACAAAGGTGTCGAGCCGGAGCTCGGACGGGCCCGCCGCGAGTTTCGGTGCGGCGTATAGATATCGATATATTACGCGGCGCGGGCCGCGGTCGGGAGTGCGTGTGAGTGCGAAAGGGTGAAAGGAGGGACATATTTTATATTTATGGGTATTTGCCGCTACCGTGCTCTCGCGCGGCGCGGAGCGGCAGAGAGAGCTAACCGGCCGACCGACCTCGGCTACACCTCCCAGCCGGCCCATGTGTCATCTCCCGAGCCATCCCATCCCGGCCCGTCCCGGCCCGTCCCGGCCCGTCCCGGCCCGTCCCGGCCCGTCCCGGCCCGTCCCGGCCCGTGATATGCCCGAGGCTCGTTCCACGCGAGCGTGGATCTTTACGGGTATGCGTTTGTCCCACATCTATATATAGACGGGGAGGGGGTGCGCGCGAGGTACAGCCGAGGCAAGAACCCGGGGTCGCTCCTTTATCCGGCGCCGCGGAGCGGGACCGCGGCGAGACCGCGGCGGGGCCGCTTGCTCGGCCGACTGTACCCGCGTCGGAACGATCGCCGGCAGCGGCACCTTCGCTCCTCTCGCCCCCGAGCGGCCCGAGTCGCCTCGGTCGCCGCGGCTTCGCTCTTTTTGTGCCACCACCTCTCCCCCTCCGGTGAAAAAATTTATGAGTGTAGTTTGCGACCCCGGCCCGAAGCCTCACCCCTTAATTAACGATTGTGCCACCGACGCGCGCGGCGAGTAGCCGTTGGATTTCCCCGCGCGTAACGACCTTGACCCCCGAACTTTTGTCGGCGGAGGTCGTTCCCTCTCGAGAGCGGCGGGCGAGAGATAAGGCGGTTCCGCTCTTCCGGCAGCTGGCCGCGGTCCGCGGTCGCCGCGTCTCCGACCGCTCGTGGCGGTCGCCTTTGGCCCCCGGGGGACGGCTCGAAAACGCTCGCTGGACCGTTAAGCTTCGGCGAGGCACAAAGAGGTGGAGCACCGGGTCGGCTAAGTAGCGGCCTCGCACCGCAGGCGTCGCCCGTCAAGGGCCCTCGAGAGAGGAGATCTACATCTAGTGACCGGTTTCCCGCCGGTTTCCCGCCGGTTTCCCGCCGGTAATCCGCGGTCCGTCGGTTTTCCGTTTCCGAGGTCGCGCCTTCGGCCCCGGACCTCCTCGACTCGCCTCGGCCGACCGCCGGAAAGGCCGCGCCGTCGCGTAAATCCGTCGGGGCGCTCTCGTCTTATCCAGAGATTTCATCTCGCCGAGCCAACGAGGAAACTATGAAAATCTTGCGAGGTAATCCCCGTAATTACTCGGCGAGCCGTCGCGTAAATCTCGACGCGTAAAGTCGTCGCGCCGTTTACCGGGGCCGCAATCTAACTTTGCGCCGGCAATCGTTCCACCCGGTCGTAAAAACGGGCGTTCGATCGAGTCTTACCTCGGAGTCGCGCCGACCTTTGGACGTCGGCCGGGGGACGCGCCGCGAAACGAGGGCGAGCCGAAGATTAATCCCGAAATCGGAGGTCCACGCGTCCGGTTCTCACGGGGACGACGGGCCCGGCCCGGCCCGGTCGTCCAAAGCCCGAGGATTTATAGGCGAGGCCGTCAAGGAACGGTCCACCGCGACTTTCACCCCCGAATTAATTTATATTTCCTGCCCGTCCGGGCGCGATCGGGGGACCGGTCCACAAAGGGCGCTCCACCCCCGATCCGGCACGTCCGCCGGAATTTCGGGAGACCTCTCCGAAGGCGCGTCCGCCCGTTCGTCGACCCGAGCGCTCGGGAGAACGAGCAAAAAGGGCCGAAGGGAGGAGAGGAAAAAACGAAGCCAGTAATCGCGCGATCGCGGCGCCGAGTGACACCGCTATCTCGGGCCGCATCTCCGAGTCGGGTCGCGCCTTCCTCGGGGGCTCCCATGGCCGCGTCCCCGGAGGAGCGGGGCGTGTCGTCGCCGACCGCGCGTGGGCGCGGATGAAATCTCCCGTATCTATTAGCGCGGCTCCGACGCCGGGCGCCGTTGGGAGCCAATAAACGAGTCGTTTGCCGGTGATTAGGCCGGGAGCGAGGATCCCCGAGGGGCCCGCAACCTCGTATTTCCCGGGCCACGCGCGGAGCCGGATACGGGGGAAAAGGGCCGTCTAATCCCATTGGGAGTGCCAATCTTTGCGCGCGCGACCCCCCTCGACCCCCGAGCCCGACAATCGACGCGACCACCGTGAAACGCCCCCGACGCCCGCGACCTCGAGGCGTCCTCCGGAGGGCCGGGCCGAGTCGCGGACCCCGGTCCGGATTCCCCGCGTCACGCTCGCGTCGATCGCCGCCTCTTTTTGTCCTCGACCTCGGCGTCGATCTCGCTCTCCGGGATCCGTCGCGGCACGGAAGACGCTCGCGACAATAGCGGAGGACTCGGCCGGGCCGGGCCGGGCCGGGCGTCCCTCTCCGGAAGCGAATTTGTTGAGCCTCGGAGGAATAATGGCGGGCCGAGCGGGCATGGGTTTCGGCGACGCAACAATGGGCGCGACCGGGCCCGGGTCTGGTCCGATACAATAGCGCGTTGACGTGTTTATATAGCTGCCGCCGCCGCCGCCGCGCCCCGGGACCGTGTAATTTAGTTATAGATCGGTTTGTTACAATTTGGCGTCTCGTTTGTTCGCCGCGCTCACGGCCCGAGGCCGCTGTTTACCCGGGGCCCGTGATCGACGAGTAAACGAGTTTGTTTAGGCGCCTGCCGATCTCCTTCGGTTTTCGCCCTCGACTCGTCCGACGTCGCGTCGCCGGGCGGCGGAATCTCCGCTTTTGCAATTAGGCCGGGCACCGGACCACTCGGCGGACGTCTCTTTGCCGACTGCGAGCGCGGAGTCCGGTTTAACGCGGGCTTTAACCAATTTAATTCGTAAGCCCGGGTTAAGCTCGGATTTGCGGCTCGGTACTGATGGTGTTTGCTACCACCGAGAGATTTAACCGTTTCTCCGAGAGGCCAGGTACTCGGCCGGGCGCCGCGCCGCGCCGCGCCGCGACGAGCTCGAAAGCCGACCGCTCCTCGCCCCCCGCCGATTCAATGGAAAGCGGCCGCTTTCCCGTTTCCCGTTTTCCGCTTTTCGCTTTCCGCTTCGGGGCCCGCGCGAGTCGCGAGCGAGCAGAACGCGGAAGAGCGCTCATCGCCGGTAGCGGCCCGCGGACGGGGGTGCCGCCGTCCGGAGGAAGCGGAGGAAGCGTCGATTTAACCGGAACGCAAACGGAAAGGCCCGCGCGCTCCTTAAGGAGTCCCATTGTCATTCGACGCGAGTCGTAACGATGGGCGGGACTATCGCCCCTTCTCTTCCAGGGTGCTTTCCGCTCGTACCGCCGCTCCTTGGGAATTCGTCCTCTCCCCGGTTCCCCGACACCCTGGGCACGACCGTAAATCCGAGAATCAAAGTGCCTTCTCGCGGGCGCGCGCGCGAGAAATGCGGCCCTACGGGAGCGAAAAGTAAAAAAAAGTGCACGCCGCCTTAATAAGCGCGAGCGAGCGAGCGAGCGGCCGATACCCGGTGCGCGTCCGTCGGGTGTTTATGCCGGCGAGCGGCGCACACTCGTCCGCCCGCGGTCGACGCGTAGCGGGCCAGTCGGACCTCTAATGATGATCTACGGTCAGCTACCGCGCACAGCTTCTATAAACCTCCTAATTTCTCCTCTATAAATTCGTCCGGACCCTGCCAGGCCCTCGCCGCCACGGCCCGATCGCCCCCGACCCCCTTTCCCCCCGAGCCGTCGTAAATATACAACTGTATTTAATATTTATGTATATGAATTCGTATCATTTATTACCCGCGCCGTATACGCGCCAAGACTAAAGGATCGGGAGGAGGGCACCCGGGAGCCGAGGCCTTAAAGCTCGCGGGCCCCATTAGAAACGACAAAAACGCGATTGCTCAAACGAGCCGGGAGCCGGGAGTCGGGAGTCGAGTTTCGCCCGCAAATTCTTAATCGTTACCGAAAACGGGAATAAATCGTCCTTAACCCTCGGCCGGAACGGTCCCCTTCTGGGCTCCTCTTTTTCCATCCTGGCCCGAAAATCCTCGGAATCCGAGGCGGCCCTCTCGGTGCGGTTCGACTCGACGGAAACCCATCGCATCGGCGGGATTCCGGTCGATCGATCCGCGCCGAGCTAGACGGAGTATTAACGGCGTGTTATACGAGGGCCGGCGGAAAACGAAAATAGCCCGAGTGCCGTAAGCCTCCCGGCGAACCGATCGAAACGCGCGCGATGCCCCGCACCCTCCGATCCGACCGGAATTAGTTTTGTTACCGTAATCCGCGCGGCCGCACGGAAATTGGTCTCCCGCGGCTCTCGCGTCCCCGTCGAGCCGACGGCGGAGTCCACCGAGTGCCGGGCGGCCTCCGCGGCCGCGGTCGGCGTCGGCGTCGCGAAACGCGGGGAGGGCGAGGAGGCCCGGCGAATCGATGGAGGTGGCGGCGTCTCGGAGACGGTCCTCCTTCCGGAGGTCGGCGTCGGCGCGCGGCGCGTCGGGTCGCGTCGGCGCGGCGGCGCGGCGGCGCTCGCGGGTCGGTCGCGAGTGGCCGAGCGCGGGAGGGCGGAGCCACCGGCGGACGGCGCGCCTCCCCCCGCGGACCGGACCGGTCCGGGCCGGACCCGGACCGGTCCGGTTTCCCTCCTATCGCCCTCGTATGGATTTTTTCCGGCCCTTAATTCCCGGGACGGCGACCGCCGATCCTCCGTAAAAGGACTCGCGCGTCCGCGGCCGGACGGAACCCGACGCGACGTCGGAAACGAGGAACGACTCGGAGTCGATTCCGAGGTCGAGTCCTGGTCCTTTCGCACGCCGACCCTTCGACGACGACACCGCCTCGACCGAAGCGTGCACTTGTACGACGTCTCCGCGTTTCGACCCTCGAAATACCTAGACACCCCTGCTCGAGTCCCGCACGGAAAGCGGGCTCTACCTGTCGGTTTCGCACGAGGGCGGTGAGGGTACGCGGCGCGTCTTCGACCCGTGATCGACCCCGGCCCACCTCGGCCGGCATCGTCGGTTTTGAGGAACTTCAACCGGCCCCCTTGGTCTCGGCGAATAAAAAAATGGGCAAGTCTCGATTTTTCTCGACGAGCGATTCCGAAAAGGCAACGGGACGGGCGGGAGGAGGGAAAGGGTGTCCCTCGAATCCCTTCCCGACCGATCGCGCAGCCCCCTGTCGGCCGGACGTGGAAGGTCCGGGTAAATCGGCCTAAGGACTCGAACGGACCCGTCACCGACACCTTCTAATGTTTACCGTGGTTAGTTAATACCCAGAAGGGCGTTACGCGACAATGCCGGCGCGCCATTGGAGAATGGGCAACCGTTTAGGGTTTTCCCAGTCGGAGTCGGCAGGGGTCCCGCAGGACCTCGGGGACCCCCGGGACCCTGGGACCCCCCGCGATCGACCTACCGTCGTAAAGACGTCTTTAAGAGGGACAATGGGGTTCGAGGATTAAGATCTCCGTAAAAGTGTTATTAATTTTTTGATTGGCCCTCGACTACCTTGGACCCTCCCAAGGGCCAGGTAGTCGGGGCGCGGGAGGAACGTTGGACCGCACCTTGCGATCGCTGCAATCCGACTTCCTCCTCCTCCTCCTCGACCGTTTCGATCATTTTCGCGCTCGCCCTCCTCCCTTTGAGCTTCCTCGTTGCGCTCTCGCGCGGTCTCGCGCGGTCTCGCGCGGTCTCGCGCGATTTCGGATTAAAGACGCGAGGAAGAGTTTGGACGACGGACGGAAACGCGAACGGAACGGGGCAATGCGTGCACCTCGCTGCATCTCCCTCAATTTGAGCTTCATTCGCCGTAAGCGGATCGACCGCGCAGGCCTTTTAATGTCGGATAGTCTCACCTTGCGGAGCTCGAGCATGGATGCCTGTAACAAACGTTATCCAGCATAATGCCCCTGGATAAACTACCCCCCCGACCTGGACGTCTCTTTTCGCGTTTTCGCGACTTCCCGACGACTATCTCTCTCTCTCGGTTTGTTTAGCCGGTTAGAGCCACGGGAAGTTAACTTTCGGGGAGAAGTCGGGTCTCGGAGACGTTGCTTTTTTACATTTTTCTTTAACCGAGAGGTAGTTAGTATTATAAAGTCGTCGTAAAAGAAACGCACCCACCATTGAACCAGGAACGATCCTTTATCATCGTGCGGCAGTAAAGCGGTCTATTGAGAGAGACGTCCGTAAAGGCATTTGGAAGAAATGGCAGTGTTTTGACATCGGAGCCCAGGTGGCTCATTGTCTTTTATTCGAGCTAACTTGAAGGATATTAGGCTTTACAGCCAGGTCTAACGACCGATCGTAAAATGCGCGACACGCCGGTCCCCCCTCCCCCGACCGCTGCTAACTTTTTCAACGATAGCTTCACCATGCGAACGAAACCGTTACTTAATACTGGATACCGAGTGCGTTCGATCATTCGAGGAACGGGGAAAACGTGGAAATAGCTGACAGCTTCGAGTCAAAGTCGAGGGTTCGAAATCGGACGGGACGGAAGTTCGAGGTAACGCGTTGCGGTAGAATTGCGATTCCGATCCATTCATCGAGCGTTCCGTCGAAGGGCTCCGACAAAGGAAATCATCCACCCAGCAAATATTGGAGTTTAATAAGACGCATTCGGCCAAACTTAACTTCCGAGTTCGACCTAACTGCCCAAACGACTTCCTACGCTACGGGATTCAGTTCCTCGTGCTCGTACTTTTCGGAACTCGGAGCGTCGGAATAGGATCCTACCGATTTTAACTTAGCCTTTCCTCTAACGTGACTTAATCGTTGAAACCCTCGAACGGCCGGACGGACAACGATCTCGAGATCTTTCGAGAGATCGAAAGATCGAAAGGGCGTTCGATGCGCGTCCAAGATGGCGTAAGCTCGCGTTGCCGCGAGCCTTTTCCGCCTTCTCGCGAGGTCGGGAACGAGGAGGCTCGAGTCCCCGCGGGGAGCGGGAAAAGGCCGAGGCCCCGAAAACGCGGAAAGGCCCCGCCGGGAGGCCATTCGTCCGAAGCCGGCCCCCACTCCGAAAATCCCCACCCCCGACACGGGGTACGGACCCTAGGGCCTGGAAAACTATTTAGGGGTCTTCCCAGGTGGGGATGGGTCGCAGTTTGACCGAGTCTTTCCAGAAGTGCGCGACGTCCGTCGGAGAGTACGACAGGCGGCGGAACGCGAGTGTGGCGGAACGCGAGTGCGACGGAACGCGAGTGCGGCCATGGATCCTCTCCGGACGCTGTAGCCGCTGTAGCCGCTCGAGTCGCGGATGCGAATGTCTACCTACCGGGACCTGTCCCGCTCGTCGTATCGATCGGTGAGTCGGCGACGTATCGAGATCGGGCGCAGTCCTCTTTCCCTCCTCCCTCGGGCAGAAACCAGCGGTCGACGTCCCGAAAGGGCCGCGCCGGGGTTCGGAATTTCCATGTCGGACGTCGGAGAGACGTCAACCCTTGACGCGACGTTAGGGTCGGCCGCCACAGTTTTTTTTCATTACGAAGGGCAAATAACAGTCGGGTCATCGTCGCGGAGGCGCGTTAACGAATCTCGCTCGTTCGCGACGGGGCTTAGCGGTCGAGGGGAGCACGGGGAGGACGCACCGATAAAGAGTTGGAAAGGAAAAGGACGGGGCCGTTAAAGGTTTGTTACCGATGCGTCGAATTCGGGATGCCAAGAAACTCGTTCCCACGTCGTCTCGTCGAGTCTCGCTCGGATTCGGGGAAGATGTTCGACGTTCGGATTTGCGCCCGGGTCGGCAACGAGCTTCGAGCGTCTCACCGATTTCTTTTTCTTTGTGTCCGCTTTGTTTTCTTATCTGGATTTAGGTAACGGTGGTCTTCGATTCGCGTAAAACCGGAAGAAAAAGCATGGCGCGTCCCCCGTTTGCTTACGAGGTAGAGCGCGGCCACGTGGTTCCGTCTACAAATAAGATAAGAAATTGCCGGACCGAATCGCTGCGGCGTAGGCTCCGGACAATGGACTCTTATCGGTATCGGTCCAAAGAACGGTGTCCCGCTGGAAACGTGCAAGTTTAACGGAAAGAGTCGTCTCGTGCGACGTCGCTCGAGGATCGAGGAGAATCGAGTCGCGCTCCGTAACTCGGAGGCATTCGAAATCGATTACCTTCCGCCTCGTTACGTCTCGGATCCGTTCGAAATACGGTCGAATTTACGCTCCTTTCCGTCCTAGGGACGCACCCGCGGCGAAGGACCGCGCTTTCTCTCCCTATCGGGCGACGCGTCGTAACTCCCCGCGGGACGTTTTCGCGATTCGGCTCGTCGGCGGAATCCCGTGGGCAGCAGCGGCCGGCGCGCGTCGACGACGGGCTCTCACCTCTTCCGTGGGACTCTTTCGCAGGTGGAGGACTACGAGGAGAGCCGCTACTCCCTCGGGACGAAGAGCAGCGGGGGCGGGAGGGAGGAGCGGGACTGGTGGGGAGCAGGGCCGGCGGAAAGCGGTGGCAACCGGAGGGAGAGAGACAAGGGTGCAGCGGTGGCGGGTGAGCTGGCTTGCCTCGCGGGCTACATGGCGGGGTACTTGAAGGCGGCGGGCGCCACTTGCGCCCCGACCGGAAGTCCTCAGTATCACCACCCCCACGGTCACCCAGCCATGGGGGTGGGGACGCACCCGCACCCGCACCCTCACCCGCACTCTCACCCGCACCCTGGCGCCCCGCACCCGGGGCTGCCCTCGCCCTTCGCCCTCGCCACCCACGGACATCCGCACTCGCACCCCCTGGACCACGGCCTCGCAGCGTTCCCGCCAGGTGAGTCTCTCTTCTGTCTTCGTCTCCGCCTCGGCGTTCCTCCGAGGCGGTCCCTTTCCATCCCTTCCCGTCTCTTCCCGAGATCGATCGCGTCGCGTCGCGTCTCGCCTCCGTCCTCGACGCTCGCTATCCGAGCTTCATCGGTCGGTGGGCGTTCTTCTCGGTAGCTGGCACACATGCCTCTATCGATTGTCATGCAAATCGATGCATCGACCAAAGCCGTACAAGCGCCGAGTTAAGTCGGGGCTTCTCGGGCGCGGGCGGCGGTTCGCGTCGTTTCGTCCACTCGATTCTTTCCACGGCATCTTAACGAACCCCCCGGCGCTCCTCGCGACCGCCGCGGAATCGCAGAAAGTTTGGCCCTTTTCCGTCGCGGGGCCCTCGCCGCCCGGAGGGCCCAGGACGGCGGCGGTCGGGGGGAGCAAAGAAGAGAGCGGAGAGAACCATGAGAGTAAGCCGCTTATCAGGGTGGCAGCAGGCGGTATAGGACCGAGCGACGCGGATAGGTGGGTTTCCATGGAAACACGGATCCGTCCGTTGGGTCCGTAGGTACGCGCGGCCACTCTCTCGCGTTCGATTTTGGCGTTTCCGGCGGGCGAGAGTCACCGCCGGCCGGGAGACAAGGAGGAGTCGGGCGCGACGGGTTCGCTCGCGAGTAAGGTGACTCTTGACCCGAATGCGCTGTCGGCGTCGTCGGCGTCGTCGACGCGGGGCCGAGTCCGAGGGTCGAGCGAGGGAACCCTCCGACGGGGCGCGCGTCGGTGTTTACTTTATCGGGCGGCCGCGCGAGGCGAGATAAACGGGCTCGGGGCGGGACTCGCGCCGTGAGAATCCCGCCACTCGGCGGGTCGCCTTTTCCCGATTCGACGACCCTCGCGTTTGTTATCGCAGAGAAATTGCCCGTCCACTCGAGCGCCGCCGCGGCGACGGCCCGGGCCGATTCCGAAGACTCGCCGGCTCGGGAGGACGGCAATCGGTCGATTAGGTATCGAGTGCGCGGTTCGGCCGGCACGTGGTCGGGCACGTGCACGAGAGGGCGTCGAGGGCGTCGAGGGCTGGCGGCCAAGTGACCGCAGAGCGCCGCGGGGCTCGATCCAGGCCGCGTGTCGCCGGTGGGTGGGAAAATGAAATACAAATCCGGCCCTAATTGTAGGGTAAACACTCGAGGACGAAGCGCGACGTCGCGTCACGGCCCACTCCCCTCTCCGGCCTCCCTTTCGCTTCTTCGTCGTCTTCCCGGTCTACCTAATTTATTTCCTCCGTACCCGCGCCGTGGAATGCCTTTGCCTCCCGTCCCACCTTTCGCGTTCTCCGTATCTCTTGGCTCGCTCGGTACCCTGGACCCCCGGTCCCGAGTCCCGCCGCCGCCTCTCCACGAAACCGGTGCTCGGCGAGCCGGCGTCGGGCGGCTCGGAAGTCTTCCGGTGGACTCGGTCGACGGGAAAAAGGAAGGAGAAAGGGCCGTTGCGTGGTCGCACTCGTCCGGACTCCGCGGCGGCATGGCGGAAGGCGTCGCTCGTTCGGTAACGCGAAACTTATCCCATTACTCGTTTGCTCCGGATGCTCGCCGGTATTCCGTTACTCGCTCGCGCTCGTCTCTCGCCTAGATTATCGCCGGGACGACCGCGCATCGCGAAGGCCACCCGCGCGCTTCTTCCTTTGTTTTGCCCGGTCTTCGGTTTCAAGTTGGCGTCCGCGCGCCAACGAGCATCGGACCGACGCCGACGTCGCTCGGGTCCCGATTTCGTCCGCGAAAGCCCCGTTCGGTTGCCTCGGTTCTCGCTCGTATCGAAAAAGCCATAAGGTTCGGCGTATCGGAGGACGCCGGAGGAGTAAAATTAGTTGCGCGTCTCTCGCGCGATTTAAAGCCGCCGACTCGTAACCTCCGCGATTTTTACTTTAAGCGAAGGCAGGATTCCGAGACGGTCGCTACCCGTAATTACGATAATCACTTTGGACGAAATGAAGAAAGAACCATTTTACGGCGGCACGCGTGACAAACTTGACAAATCCCGTTTCACGGCGTCGAGAACGGAAGGGTTAATCTCGTGGGCAAGAGAACCGAGCCAGCCACCTTCCGTAATTGCATCTCTTTTTCCCCCGACCGTCCGTCGATTGCGCCAAACGAGGGTGGAACGACCGATTCCCCTCTCTTTCCGGAGAAAAGTGCCGGCCGATCGGACGGACTCGCGACTCGATCGCCGAGTCGGCGGAAGAGTCGACTCGCTCGCGCGTCACGAGTTGGCCAAATGTTTTCGCAGTTGATGGCCTTTTAGAGGACGGGCCACGTGCCGTCGTCCCACGGTCTCTCGAATAATCCAGACCGCCCCGCCGCCCATGCGCGCGTTTTAGCTTTTAATTAATTTCCGATTCTCTCTCCACCGAGTCTCCTCCCGGCGCTCCTCCCGGCGTCCCTCCCGGCACTCCTCCCGGCACTCCTCCCGGCGCTCCTCCCGGCGCTCCTCCCGGATTCCACGAATGCGACAGCAGTCGACGAGTCCTTTCTACCCCCGGGAGAGGCGTCTCGACGAGTCTCCCCCGCGGCCGGTCGAAGGACGCGACTTTCGGGATTTCGGACGGGCTCGAATCCGGAGGCGCGCCGCGCGCGGGAAGGGACGAAGAGGAATCCAATAAACGGAAAACGAATTTGCCATTAGGGTCGCGTCCGATCTCGTTGCGGGCCAATGAGCCGGAGCAACCCTTGTATCAACCCCCGTATCGTGCCATGCCAACGATAATAAATCGAATCATACTCCGGAACCCAGCGGGTGTTTGCCGAGCCATTAGGGCCGCTTACCCACCTTCTCTCGTTCGCTTCTCTCCGAGGCGGAACTTTTCTGGCGCGTCGCTTCCCTCGATTTGCCGCGTCTGCTTTTTATACCCGACTTTGCGACTCCCGGGGCGTTTCCCCCTTCTCGTCGCTCGGTCCGCTCTCCGTCCGGACGACCCGACCTCGGACCTCGGACCTCGGGCCGCGGCCGGGAGATCGGGACGGAGATCGGCCCACTCGCGCGACCGGTTCGTTAGTGGCTTCCTACCTCGAGATCGCGGAGGGTCCGGGGGTTCCTCGCGGGCGCTTCCCGTTGAATCGTGAGACGACGGCGGCGGCGGCGGCGGCGGCGGCGGCGGCGGCGGCGGCGGCGGCGGCGACGGCGACGGCGGCTTCGTCGGGCAGCTGCCGGCGACGCGGTCCTCCGGCGCGTCCCCACGGGCCCCTCGTAAGCGGATTACGCGGGTCCCGAAACGAGCGATGGGGGCTGCTCGAAATTACGCTATCGCGGCCTCGCCACGCTCGCGCCCCTCTCCCCGCCCCACCGGTCCAACGGCTTTCGGAGCGAGCGGGGCCGCGCGAAGGGTTTCGAGGCGCGACCGAACACCTTCGTCCTTCCGTTGCAGGAATGAACCAGCGCAAGCAGCGCCGCGAGAGGACGACCTTCACCAGAGCCCAGTTGGACGTATTGGAGGGGTTGTTCTCGAAGACGAGGTACCCCGACATCTTCATGCGAGAGGAGGTTGCCCTGAAGATCAGCCTACCCGAGTCGAGAGTGCAGGTAACTTTCTCGCCGTGGTCCCCGGGTCGCCTCGAGATTATCCGCCCCCTCCCGCCCGTTCCGCCCCGAATCGACCCTCTTCCTCGCGACGCGTCGGCGCGCGGAAAACGCAGCCACGCGCAGCCACGAGACGAGGAGGGCGAGAGAGGGGGCTTCGTGCTCCCGCAATGCCGCGCGAGATTTAAGGTATTTACACGAGGCGCCCTTCCCCTCGCCTTTCCGCCATTGTTGGTCGAGGCGCGTTGATGGATGCGTCGACGAGCTCGTTGACGCTTTTACTGCGGTCGCGTAACGTCTCCATCCGCGCTCCCGCGAGCTCCGACCCTCTTCCCCCGCGACTCGTGATTCACCGCGCGGTCGGCCTGGGCGGAATCGGGCCGAACTGCGACGGTCCCGAACCGGTTCCGGTGGGGGCGCGACGCGACGCGACGCGACGCGACGCGACGCGACGCGCAATGGACACCTAAACGCTCGGTCGAGCCGCGTTGCCGGAGTCGACGTTCGCTTATAAATAACCCAACCCGCGTCACCCTTTCTCGTCGTCGCCGTTATTTTTATTTCCGAGCGTCCTCTCATCGGCTTACCGGGATCATCCTTGATTTCGCGTTTGCAAAAGCTGGTCGGCCGCGAGACGAAGGCGCTTACGACCTTCGCGGGAGCAAAGACGTCGCGGAAAGGCGACAAAGGCGACAAAGGCGAAGGGAATACATATTTTCGAGACGCAACGGCCCGCGCGGCCTTTTCGGATTCCGATCGCGACGCGACGCGCCGGGGCGAGAGCCAGGAAAGTCGAGTCGTCCGGAAAGGGTGGCGTCGAGCCGCGGCGGGTCAGCCGGAGGGGAGGGAGAGCAGCGGTGAGCACCTATGGGGAGCGTCCCCGCCCCGTGTAGAGAAACCCGGAGGTACGGGATACGTCGCGTACGAGATGGTTGATTTGTTCGCGGATTATAGCCCCTGCCTCCGGCGGCGCGATCCGCTCGCGAACGCCGCAGATGCGCGCGCGGCGCTCGGTCTCTCCCGAAAAATCGTGGTGGATTTTCGGCCGGTCGCCGCGAAGATCGGATCGCCCCGAGACGAGCAGCTGGCAGCTCTCCGGCGAAGGCGCTCGACTCCTCTTCGCTCCGAGACGAGCGGGATCGTCACGTTCCACCTTACGTGACTACGCGACTCGACGACGATCGTCCGCGGTCCTTATCCGGGTAGATTACGTTCGTCTGTCCAGGACGTTTACGCGAATTGGAAACACAATCCGCTAGCCTGTAATAGCAACGACATGTCGGCGCTGGCGCGTAATCCGCCCTGCGGAATTAATCGAATGGCTTTGGCGCATTACCGCCGTTTCCCTGCCGGTCGCGTAACCCTCTGTCGATTGTTGTAACTTATTCAGCCCGATATTGGCGCGTATCTACTTAGAATCTCGAACGTGTAAGCTTCGATTCGCGTTTGGTCCCGTGATCGGCGATTTTTATAAGTCAGGATTTTCCCGCATCCCGAGTAGGTTTCGGGTTTCCCCGGGTAGGAGTCGGTGGTCGGAACGGTGCAAATAAGGAAATATATTTGTCATAACGGTGTCGACGCAGCTGCGGCCCGAGATGATGCATGCGTGCGGGGGGGGTGCGGCCGTCGCGGACGCGGACCAGATGGTGGCGCAATTCGCACCTCGACGCGGACGCGCGAAGGTTAACGTATGGGGCTTTGCTGGGTGTCGGGGTAGCCGCCGAAGCAGGCTCGCCCTCCGTCGGGGCGTCGCTGGGTAAACACTGGGTGGTAATGGGCCGCTCTCGCCCCCGGGGATCGCTTCTCTTTTGCGGTTGATTCCGCCCCGCGTGCTTTGGGTGAAACTTTCGACGGTCGTCGAGTCTCGAATCGCGGAGGAACGGCGGCTCGGGTCGGGAGCTCGAAAACGTTGTCCTTAAGTAGCCGCGATGAATCGATACCCCTCGAGAGAAAGGGTGAGGGAGAAGTTGTCGTATCGATCGGAGTCGATTCGGAGCGCTAATTTGTCGGCGACTACGAGGTCGGAAGGATCGGGCTGTCGAGGCTGCTGACAGGCAGCAGTTGCTGTCCGACAATAAATAACAACAATAATAACGACAACACGGGTCTCGCTTTTAAAGGCAGGCATGGATTCATAGGCTCGCACCCCTGGCCACATTGTGCCGGGATTACAGGGGTGTGCGCGAGGTTGCGGCGTACTAGGGGATGCTTTTTGTCCCCGCTTGTCCCGGTGCACACGCTTTTCCGTCCCGCGAGTGCGTGTGCGTGCGCTTCTGTTTGTTGTCACAGTCACGCCACATAGGTACCCGGTAAGCATCCTCGGATCCCGTTCCTATCCTTGCCGAGGGTGGCCAAGGGTGGTCCGACTCGGCTTTTGTGCCGGCGCATCTCGTAGGCGCGCGGTCGAGGGCGAGGGCGAGCGCGTGTGCGTGGACCCGCGAAGATCCCACGGGGGTGCGTCAGAATAGGCCGGCGTTGGGCGCCCTTCGCTCGCGGACGCCGTTATTGTTGCGATTTAATGAAATGTTACGCCCATCCGCCCGCGATTGCTTTCCCATTGCACCGATTAACTCTCGAGCCGTGGAGGCTCCTTTGCGTCGCGGTCGCGGGCTCCGCCTCTCCGGGGCACGGGGAATCCTCCGGGGAGATCCCTACCTTCGATTAGCCCACCGGGCAAGCGCCGACGAGGTCGAAGCTCCGTTTTCAAACGCGCGTTTCGTCTTCCTTCCAGGTCTGGTTCAAGAATCGTCGCGCCAAGTGCAGGCAACAGTTGCAGCAGCAGCAGCAGCAGCAACAGCAGCAGCAGCAGCAGCAGCAGCAACAACAGCAGCAGCAACAGCAGCAGCAGCAAACGTCTCCGCCGAAGGGCTCGCCCAGATCGGGCCAAGCGCAGAGTAGCGCAAACAAAATGACGGGGGCCACCTCGACGCCGAATCGACGTTCCTCGCCGGTGTCACCTCCCCGAGGAAAGGAGGCGCCGGGCCCTAACTCACCGCTGCTGTCGACGAACTCGACGTATCCGCGGCTGGGAGCGACGCCGACCGGCGGAAGCGGGGCCAGCAGCGCCCTGACAACGCCGTCGCCTCCCCTGACCCCGGGTTCCAGTCAGTTGCCGCCCTCGTCGTATCCACCTCCCGTCAACCAGATTCACCACGGCGAGTACCGCTTCCCTTGGAGCTCGGTGTCGCCGGGCACCGTCAACCCTACCCAGTGCTACGCCGATCAAACTTACAACGCTTACCAGAACCCTTACGCCTCGAGCGACTACTACCAGACTCAGATTGGCCACATGCACCACAGTCCGCAGAGCAACTATCACCAGCCGCAGTACCATCACAACATGACTCTGACCTCCTCCATGTCGCATCTGACCGGACACCACTTGAACACGGCCTCCAGCGACATGACCTCGTCTCCGGGCGAGCCCTCGGACTCGTACATATTGCCTGACCAGAAGTACCAGGCGATGGTTTAGCAGTCTGTCGGTCCACCGGGTCCGTATCGGACCCGGGACCCTCCCGCGAGTGCGCCCCTCTGGCGGGGGACGGCTCCGTTCCCCTCTTCGGAGGACTCTCAACCGAAACCCGAAGACAATCTGGACGGCGTCGACGACGACGACGACGACGAGAACGACAACGACAACGACAACGACGACGACGACGACGACGATGACGACGACGACGATGACGACGATGACGAGGACGACGACGAGGACGACGACGAGGACGACGACGAGGACGAGAACGAGGAGGACAACGACGATGACGTCGGCGATAACAACGATGACGATAACGAAGGTATTAACAACGACTGATGGGTTTCTGACGGATATTTATCTTCGGACGCGCGGACGTTCGGCGGCTGGTCCCGTGCGCAAGTAACGAGAGGACGATCTTGTTTACTTCGTGCACCGGGCCTGCCGGCCTACCGAGAACCGAACCGCTCGCTGGTCTTCAGTCGTTGCGGGATCGCGGTTACGCGTAGACGTAATCAGCCGAGAATCGGGAAGCGGAAAGGGTCACTTCGTCGAAAGGATCGCCGAATGTCGCCGCGCGTTCTGCCTCGCCGAGTGCGACAGTGGACGGTCGCGGATAACTAGGAATGTCCCTGGCGTCGTTCCAACCTTATGGATCTCATAACGCCTTTGGATGGCGGATAACGACTCCGCTTACCGTACGTACGAAATGCCAGGTTTGAATTTTAAGATAGAACCGACGTGTATCCGATAACAACCCTGAGGGCGACGCGACCGTTTGTTGCAACATGGGGATCGAACGTGTCTGGGGTTTTTCGACCAATCGGTGCACTCCATTCGATTGAATTTCTGCTTCCGTCCATGCACATTCGATTCACGGTATGGCATTGTTTTTCGAAGGTTTTGGATCGTTACCTATAGTTTTGCGATGGTAGCTTCGCCGCGACATCGATATCGAGGAATCATGAGCCGGGATGTTAACTTTGCCTAACGACGATTGTCAATTGGCGACCCGATGAAGGATTTCGGTATGATTTTCGCGAGTTGCGCGATTGGACCGTGATCACGCGACGGTACAAACGATAAAGGAAGGGGGCATATTCGTAACGTTCTCCGATCGCGCGAGAATATCGTAGATACGTCGGAAGAGCAACATTTCCTGGACCCACCGTTCACGCGATCAACTTTCCGTCGGACGGTTCGCGGTCTCGCGAAACGTCGTCAAAAGTTCTTGAGAGCTTAAACGTTACTTTCCGTTGTACGTAGAAACCGTTAATTCCACGTCTTTGAACCTCGGTGATAAGGATAGATATTTTGTCACTCAATGCGCACTGTTTTCGATCGAATTCTTGTTTGCCGGGAATCGGTTCTCATCTCCCCTCGATTCCTTGCACTAGGAGATTTCGGTAAAGGCAGAGTTTCGTTTTAATCCGTGGATCTTTTTGATTCGGCGGTTGCGAGGATCTCCTTGGTCGGGTTAGGACGGACGATCGAGGTCGGTGGTCCACGTGGAAGGGCGTTTTATTTTTATAGGTCGTGCGCTCGGTCCTCGAGAGCGGCGAACGACGAGCGAACTCTGTAGATAGGTAGATGTTACTTTGAAGCCGTAATCGTCGTACTTTCCTATTTATTATCTAAGATCCCAGCGAGGCGCCGATCGAGTGTCATTATGATTTCCCCCTCGGGCCTTAGGATGACCATTAATTACTGCCGTCGTTATCATTAGCGTTATTATCGTTACTAACATTAATATCGGATCGATTCTGGGCGAAGTAGTCGGAAGGCGTATGTACATAGCGAGCGGAGGACGCGCGACGGGTCGAGTGGAAGGGCCGAGAGAGGACGCGCCTCGGTCCCTGAGAGCGGTTTTTCGACGTCCTCGCCGACGCCTCGACCCTCTAGAAACTCGAGTCGTCGATCGATTCGCGGTTCCCGGTCGGTGCAACGCGCGTTGCGGGTGGAAAGACGTCCAACGGAGCCGAAGCGCGGATCGCGAGCGGGGGCATACTTAGCCGTGTGTGTATATTTCGTGTATACAACCTCAAGTGTATATTATCGTGGAAACAGAAGTAGGCGTACGAACGATATCAACAACGTTAACGATATTAAGGAAAAGTTAAGATTAAAGCTAGCGAATATTGTGCGCAACGTAGATGAAAGCTACTTTGTAATAATACGACTCTACGCCGTTGTACATATTGTCACATCACGTTGCTCCACCGTGCGAGACGGATCTTCCTACGTCAGAATAAAACATCGCATATTATTAATAAAACGTTCCTCTGATTTATTTAACGTCCATTATGACTTCGGGACAGATCGCAAAACTCTACTTTGCTCGTTCTCCTTCTCGTTTAGAGTCGTCGTTGACCGATCTGAAACTCCTTTGTCGCTTTTCAGGGTACCGTTTGCATCGTGTTTCCGATAGTCTCGTTCGATTACGTTAACATCAAAAGCGTGCCCTTTCGGAAAGAAGTAATTGGTTTGATGCGGTAGCATTCTTGGTTTTTCTCTACTGGCGTATCAAAACATCTCGTTTTTGGTATAATGGGCTCGTCGCGGTACGCGCGTTTGTTCTCCGTTAATTAAAGCGATGGCATTCTCCCGCTTTTGACTCTGGCGGCAATTCGGGTAACGTATCTAAAATTAATTAATGACAAGGTGCTCTACCCAACGCGCACGGCTGGCACTTTCCAATCGCAAAGTGCGACCGAATATCCCGGCGAATTACTAGTACGCGGTAACGGTTGCGGTGCACCGCGGTAATACGTTCAACGTTTTGAGTGATACCGCTGAAAATAGCCACGCGACGCATCGAATCCGTAGAAACGTTTAATTTCACCGCCCTCGAGGAAAATCGTGAGTTTACGGCAACACATTTTCCCCTTCGTTGCGAATCTCGCCGCGATCGCGATATAAGGATTCGTATTAGGAACGCGAGATGAAGGGGATCGGATTTTCGGCACTCGGAGGTACTGGCTGGTTTCCTATTATTGGCCGTTAATGCACGGTCGTCCTAAAGGGGCTTCTCGGATTAACCGAAGGGACTCGATTCATCTTCGACAGTCAATCGGTAATGCGGAAATCCGCAACACCGATCCAACGGGAAATTTTCTATCGTACGTTTGGTTTCGATCCGTTTCGATCCGTTTCCCGGACACCGTGTAACACTGCGCGACGCCAACGTTCTCACCGCGCAGAAAAGTGTATTCGGGTCGGTACGTTTATCGATCGCCGAGGAGCCAAGCATATACCTTGCTTTTTTAGATTTCCCGTACCGAAGAAACGTCCCGACGCGGTCGACTGCATCTTTAAAGACTCCTCTCCGCGAGCACATAGCACAGAGCCCACGGCATCCAGCGCACAAAGGTCCGGCGGAGAGCGGACGGGCGGATTTAATCTCCCGGACGAACCCCGGGTTATTACTTCCTTAAGAGCGTGCACTTATCGGGCGTGCACAATCGGCCCTCGGAGTTTATCTTCAAAGTCCACAACGGTCCATTAAACGATCGCACAGGTGCGCCCGGGAGCGGCTGCCGCGGGACGGACCCCACCGGGACGTCTAATTGGACGGCGCTCTTTGGCCCCGCAGCTCTCGCAATTAACGATCGGCCGCGTCCCGCGTCGACGAGGACGAGCGAACGAAGCGGCTCGTTATCGGGCCGCTTTGTCCGCCGGACCCGCGACGCGGCCCGAAGACGGCGGCCTTGAACTTGGCCGAGTGCAGCGGCGAAGAGTTAAAATCGGCTTGCGTTTAGCCGGCGGATCCCATTATGACAACTCGGAGCCGCCGTAAGCTCGTGGCTCGCTTCCGCTTACCGTGTCACCGGGCTAAGCCCGGACTTGCCCGGACTCGCCCGGAGGAGGCGTCCGTTCTCGCCTCCTCCGGCGACGGCGACGGCGACGGCGACGGCGGGAGGGAGCTCCTCTCCGATTGGCAATATCTCTAACGAGACGGGGCGATCAAAGAGTCGAGTCGGTAACCAGATTCCACGGTCGCTCTCTAATGCCCTTAAGCGCGCGCGGTCGAAACGGCGGAATCGAATCAGCCGGGGCTGCCCGCGCCGCCGCGGCAAATTCGATTGAAAAATCGTCAGCAAAGTCGGGCGCCGGGCCGCGACCGGATCGCCTTTGATCCGCCGCGATTAACTCGATGCGCGCGCGGACGAGAGCATCTCCGGATTCGCGGCGACCCAATTTTTCGTCCGACGGCAAGAACGAGATCAGAGGCCCCGCCAGGAAGTCAAGGGGGCGCGAACGCATTGTCGAGCTCCCTCTGTCCAAACATCGGGCTCTCCTTCCCCTCGGCCGATCCCTCCGAAACGTAACGGCGGATGCGTGGACGGGCGCAGGACCTAATCCTAAAAAATGGACCGGCGCTTCCGCCTCTCTCGGAGGCGCACACGTGGGCGCTGCCGGCCTCCTCCTCGCGGCCGGGCCTCGCGGGCTCGCTATCTCCGCCCTGGGAAGGATCCCCGCGGCCGGGGGCAGGGAGAGTCCTATAAATAATTAGCGAGGAGTCGCTCTCCGCTCGGCGGGCGTAAGCCGCTTACGACCCTCGTGCGCCCGGCGTCCTCCGCCCCGCCCCGCCCCTCCCGGGTGGAGGCGCGCCACCCTCGCGCGAGCGATCCCGCTCCCGGGCTCCTGCCTCGGGAGATACGACGGCGCGCTATTATTTCGGCGAGGGCGTTCGTCCTTTATGGCTCCGCCGGCGCCTAATGGAGCTCGGGGCCCCGGCGCGCCGCGTCGCGACGCCGTCGGTTGCGTATCTCGGCGGTCTCGAGCGGGTCAGCGCGCGGAACCTTGGCTTGCAAAGTGAATCTCGGATTACCGGTCTCTGGGGTTCGGGGAAACCCTACACCGCGCGGAGGGGCCGGCGGGATGGGCGCGGGAAGCGATGGAAAGCGCGAGCCGCGCGGCTCGCGTTTCGGCGGGTGGCCCCCGAACCTCTCTTAATGGCCCAGTAATAGCCTATTTGCGATCGCTAATAGCGACCGGCTCCCGGGGGAAATCTGCCGAGTCCGTCGATTTCATTTTTTCCCGCGCGGTCGCCGGGCCGCCGGGCCGCCGGGCCGTCGGGTCGCCCGTGGGACCTCGAGGGGGGTCGTCCTGGCCAGGCGGATTTTCCCCTCCGGACGATGTGCGGGCCGAGCGCAGGTAGACCCGGGCCAGGGCTGCGG